TTAATTCATTTGGGTCAGTACATTCCAAAAGGAGATTTATGTTGTTCAACTCTTTTACAGCTTGCTCATAATCAAGAGTTTGAGTAGTTTTCACATATGAACTTTTTGGATTTGAACTATTCAAAAGCTTTAGTAGAACCATTTCATGATCTGTTACCGTTGTCTCAATTACGGTGACAAAAGCTTGCTTTTTATTTGTGTCGACGTTTAACATGAAGTGATCCAGGCAGTTATTTCCTCTAGTTGGAAAAAGATGTCCAGGGAGAAAACCATGCACCGAGAGCATGTTAAGATAGTTTATTCGGTTGTTACGCTCTTGAGTTGGTTCATTTTCTTTTTCTATCAAATTTATATTTATGTCCCCCGTCAATATAATATTTCTATAACCATGCAGTTTATTTAAATATGAATTAAGGGAATCTATAAAGCTTTCAGCATTGACATTCGATGGAGAACGATATATGCCTATTATTACAATATCTCGAAAGGAAATTTGAAGGCAAGATGCATGTACAAGTTGTATCTCTACAAAATTAACTTCGTGTGCTTTTCTAACAAATGCAACTACTCCGTCATTCTGATTTATATGATTTGTTGTAGCAAATGAATCATAATTAGTTATGCATGGAATGTTTTTGTTAGAGCTTAGACGGCACTCTGTTAGTATTTGGACATCAATTTCAAAATTTAATTGCTCAAGTGTAACCTGTAAATCGTCCAAGTTATTATAAATACTGCGAATGTTTTGTGTCACAATTGTTACATCTCGATCGCTTATGTGTATATATTTCATCACTTCATCAATTTCACATTTTACAGCGTGTGCTGTTGCAATGTTGTCTAATTCGCTTTCGTTAGTAAAAGATCTGTTCATAGCAATTTGATTATTTGATTAAATATTTTATTGTTAAGTCAGTGTTATCTGTAAAAAATAAAAGTGCGAACAGATAGAAACCTGAGTATAAAACATTCTTAACAACGAAGACAGTGCGTAAATTATTTGAATATAACAAGGTAAATTACTTAACGGAGTTTTAATATTAACATCCCTCACTAATGCCTAGGTGTGTGTGAAGTTCTTTTTTTTTTAAGTGTATATGAGAAAAATGGCATAATGTGATGTTTTTGTATGCACATGAGCTCACAAAATCCATACAAACAAATAAAATATATTAAGACTAAAAGACTAAGACTAAGCAGGCTAACATTCTTAAACAAAAATAGGAATTTAACTAGTCATGCTACTTGCAACAGATGATGAACTTGCGATTCACTTTTAATTAGAATGATTGGTGTTTGCTCGTTTTTTCTGACGAAAACCCGACCAAAGCTAGTCCAACAAAATTTGTAGGACTTTGTCTTGACGAGGTCTCTTGCTAAGAAGAAGAGTCTAGAGCCTTTGGCAGTTAGTTGCTCCGAAATAAATATGGGAGTATCTTCATTTACAGTGAATCCCATATTTTTGCCACATAATTTCCCTCTATGTTTCACATTAAACGATTTACATGATTTTAATAAATCATTTTTCAATAGCGTCGATCCAGTCTCTACTATTATGGGCATATTATTTGGACCCTCTTTCTTACTCTTTATTCGGTAGATGTCCTTTATATCAGACTTAGATAATTCACAGCCAACATTCTTAGATAGAGAGAGTACTATATTCACTAGTCCATCCTTTGTTTCATTCTTCGCTTTTGGGACATTTTTTATCTCCAAATTATTTTTCCTGTCCAGTCTCTGTAGCTCCTCGATTTTATCTTCAAGCAAAGTAATATGTTCTCGGTCTCTTTTAGCTTGTATTTCATACTGTTCTATTTTCCCTTGCAGTTCTTTATTTTGCGACGTTAAGAAGGTAATCGAATTTTCAATATTTTTGTTAATTTGCTGTATTTCAATCAATGTAGGAGAAATCTTACTTAGTTCAGTATTTTGTGGTGCTAACATTTAATGAATCATCAATTTTATTTCCTCTCTGAATTTGTCCATTTCTTCAAAAAAGTCATCATCTCTTTTTCTTTTTATTCGCTGAGATATGAAGTTAGGCGGTGTCTTGTTAGAGTCAGTTGCAGTTACATTTAAATTTGAGTCGGAGAAGGATTTGTCCATCATGCTGGTGATTACGTTTGCATAAACCAGAAAGAGGTGACCTTTACTAACTTATCAATGCACTTTAAATTTTTTCTCAAAAGCAGCAATGGACTCGCAACCACGAAAAGTGGGTGGCACCTAGTATAAGTGAGTGGCCAGTCGAGTAACCGGGCGTGTCAACTTACCGCAATTAGTGTAAAAGGGGTGGGCACTGTATTTGTTGCGCGTGCGTTGATTCGTTGTTCAAGTAGTAGAAAGTACCAGGGCAACAGAATATAGGAGGTACTCACATGTAGTCTTGATTTGACTCTTCTAGTCTTATGCAGCCCTATTATTTTTGTTCTTTTAAATTTATTTAAATTTGAACTATTTTCTAAATAATTTTAGCACAGATTTAGAGACACGTTCACCTAATGCGGTGGTCCGGGGGAAGAGGCCAGACACACACAAGCCATTATATTTGCTAGACAATTTAAAATTAAAAGACACTTTAATTTATTTATATATGCTGTAACTTCACTTAACGTGAATATTATAATACATGGTCTTATCAGGGCGCCTAAAAATCCAGGAAGCTGCTTAGAAACTATCCAGGACATCCCAGGACATATTAAAAAAACTAGGATACGTCCCGTCCTGGGAAAGCAGAATATTTGGCAACTCAAATATGTATACCTATTCAAACAAAATGGGGTTCGTAGTTGACAAAGTAATCAATGAACATACTAAAAGGAAGGTACATTTTGTTGAAAATAACTCGGAATTCCCATTGCGCTATCAGTAAGGGTATAATCCCTTTCCGATGTTATATCAACCGGCTTATACATTAATCCAGGGTTGATCGAAAGAGGATTTCAATTCGATTATTCTATGTCTTTTTATATTTGAAAACTCGATGGCTTATTGATTAGCGCGTTAGGTTTGCGATTGCAGAGGTTCAGCAATTTAATCAGAGGTCGGTCAAGGGATGAGTGGGTAACAATTAATTATATCAAACTCCTTCACGCTTGAGAAGGCACTGTAGTTATTAACAACAATCCGCAACTGATCCTGAAAGTTAAACCTGTTCTTCCATTCGTGTAATAATGTATAGTGCACTAGCACTTTTCCCGCGATTTCGACAAAAACTGTCGTCGGAACAAAGAAACTTTACGGAAGATATAGATCATTCCTCTTTATGTCATCAGTATGTTCGAAGCCCTAACTGTAGAATAAAAGATAGATGTTAGTAAACGTTCAGTTAAAAATATGTTAAATTTGACTTTACATTCATCTTTACCGAAAATGAAGGTAAATATACTTAATTTTAATTATCCCGCAAGATTTACATTACGAAAGTAGTTGCACGAAACTACATCGAATTTTGCCAATAATTATACGCATTTACTTACTTACTGCGAAAGTAAACGCGTATAATTAACTATGCAGTTACAAGGAGAAACGCTGGAAACTACTAAGTATACTAATTTGGTATTATGAATAGGTCCAATTGTATTAACAAGTTTTAACGGTATGTGAAGAAAATCTTTATGGAAATAATCAAAGACTATAAGATATAAGATTTCCTATGAACATTAGAAATCTTACACATACTCTTTGAATATTTCCATAGAGAATTTGGATCATAGTCAAGAAGTTAAGATATTTTTTATTTATCTTCATTTAGTTCTACATTTAAAATTCTTGATCATAGTATAGCAAAATTCATAGATTTATAATACATGATAATTATTTCGTTCATAGACATAGATGATTTTTTTATATATGAAATTCATAGAGAAACATGTAATTACGTCTGTCAAAAACGATTTTTGTACTCAAAGGGAATTTAAACGCTAACTTTTATTTGTATCTATCTCTTTGTAAATATTTTTTACGTATCTTTTTTATTCACTTTTCCTGAATTCTTGTAAGTATTCGATGTAAGTCTTTCTATTGGATTTGTGAATGTCGTTACTCCCATTAGAGCTGGTGAGTTTCTTGCCCGTTCTTCTTATCAGCCAAAAGTTTACCTGAACGAGGGGTAGGGAAAAATGTTGGACGATTCAAAAGTACTTTTGGGAAATGTATTTGAATAAAGATTATATTGACTTTGACTATTGAGTTTACTCCAATAATATGTAGTTATACATGTGCTTTAAGTGAAGGACATTTATCATAGCCAAACAGTGAAAGATGTCAAAAAGTTTATGTATTTCTATAAGATTTCTATCTATAAGTATATAAGTAGATCATTTGAACTACACAACGGCTTTGCATGCGGTTTAAATATACAGGATAATTCAGAATGAAGGTTTATATGTATGTGTAATACAGATACACGCGTGCGAAGCTACTGTGTAAAGCTAGTTTACATAATATATAAGCTTCATTAAGTATTATATACTTAATGAGGCTTATACCATCCATAAGGAAGGCCTGAGCCCCTGCAGTGGAGACGTAAAAGGGCTGGTGATGAAGTATTATATACTTATGCAGAATGTCGACTAGCAACCAAATTTACTTAAGTTGAATTGAACACGCGACTTCCGATGTGTACTGTACACGCTTATGCAATTAGTCTCCTGCAAGTTTTAGTGACTTGCCAAACTTGCTAGAAGTAGCATATATGATTGTAAAAAATTTACAATCAGTGGAAACAGTCGGGACAATTTACTTCTTTACATAATATTATAAAGCTGTAGAGTACGTCTGTTCAGTAGAACTCGATGTCTGGATCAAATTGAAAAGTTATTTTTACGTTGAACTTTTCAATCCATTTTTTAAAGGAGGCTATAGACATAACATCATAGTTGATAGAAGTGGAACAGCAATGAAAAATATTGCAAAAACGGGGAACCGTCTTTGGGTTCGTAAAGTATAATAAATAAATATATATATTTTGACTACTTTCAGGAAAAAAAATCGTGATGATGAACGTATTCCGATCTATGTTCGGAGTGTGCAGCAGCTCATCGGAGAAGAGCGAAGTTCACGACACCGTGAAGAAAATATTCGGGAATGATATGGTCTTAAAAGACAATACAGAGCGTCAATATCAGTGAGAATAAAGTTATATCTATATATTTTTAAAGACACAACATTCATATATATGTACTACTCTTTATTGCACAAAAATATTAACATGACAAAAGTTATAAATTAAAAGTGTTAGTTACATTCAGCCTGATCCTCATGACACCACGTGCGCGTAATTATTATAGTCTGTTTCTATGGTAAGCGAAACGATTTATGAGAGCGTTGAAAGGAAACGATACGTATTGCTATCCATGTAAATTTAGATTCTTTTTCACGAATTACACACAGATTTACGCTACAGATATCGCCGACACAACCCCCTACAACAATAGGCATACAGAAACGATACAGAGTTCTATGGAAAGCCATACGTATCGCTTACTTTACTTTGAATTATCGTCCGTATTTACGCCCTTAGAAACACGACTATAGTTATCATCCTTGCATGACACACGAAACGGGGCTAATAATTATAATTACTCCCATATCATATATGAAACTGATTCAAATATATTTAACAACCTCTTAAGGCTCTTTTGTACCTCCGATTACGTTCCCATACAAATACGCAAACAAACACACGACGAGAGTAAAGACGCACACGCTTGATATCATCAAATTTTAAACACAGAAAACAACAAATGCAATTATATATTTTTTTTGTATATTTTTTATATACCTAAGGTGAAATCTATTTCTTTATTTATTATTACAAGCTTATCACTATTATTACAGCTAATCCCAATACAACAGCGTAGTCACATTATCTAAATACAATTATAATATTAACCATTACTATAACATTATATATTTTTTTTAATTTTTTTATTTTATATACTTTATAGGTTAACGCTTGACTACGATCTCACCTGATGGTAAATGGTGATGAAGCCTTGGGTGGAAAAGCGCATTAACGTAGTAACAGCCTATTCACTCTTGATAACTTGAGCTACTTTAGTATACTCACACAGGGTACAGACAAAAAGATCGATTTCTACAGATACCTTATTCAGAATCCGCATCGCTCGTGTATATTAGTCGTGAAATCGATCTAAAAAAACCTATTTAGAGTCATCTTTGCGATTTTTTTCTATCGAGCCAATTATTGAGACTTATGTTTCTAATTTTAGCAAGCAATCGATCATGTGCTTAAAATTCATGATATGATTTTGATTTAGCCAATATTAGCATACCCTTAGAATAAGATTGGTTTAAAATGTGGTAATTTACAACCTCGCTTTATATCAACTAACTATTGGCCATAAATGTCGAATAAACAATTTAAAAGTAGGAATATTTAAGGTATTATATTATCAGTTCAAAAATTTATAATTTGATTCCATGCTATCAACTTAGCCAATCTAATCACTCTTTATTAATTTCAGAAGAAACAAATATATTAATCATATAAAAGAAAATCTTCCAAAAATTCTTGATGCCAAAATAAATCAAGCACATAAAACGAAACCTGCAAAGAAACATGGTCCTATAGTAGTAGAGGTACGTTAATAACGAATTAATTTAGGTAATATGTAATAGGTACCATCATCAAAAAACTGTATGCACAAATCTTAGTATTTATGTAATAGGTATTCGTACCATCATCATAAAACTATACGAAAAAATCAAAGGTAGATCTTAAATTGACTCGTTAAATTGAAAAACAACTTTTTAGTTATGTAATTTTGGGATATTCTTATATTTTTTTCTAACGATCTTTTGTATAAAAAATTAAAAATAACACTGTCTATCTATCTATATCTTCACTCCGCGCTGTGTCCCTGCGGAGGACCGAACGCCACAATGTGCGGTCCATTTTATCTTTCATTGCTCTTTTCATACATACTCGCCGATTTTTTATAACATCACCGTGTAAGAGAACGCGATTGATTTGATCGTGAAAAGCGTGTCGTGACTTTCTTAGCTTCTGGCTCCCTCCACTTTTTGGCGAGTTTACACAGTTTAGGCATTATATACTTTTCATTATATTGTCAACTTAATCGGACTATTTCTTTGTTCATAATCAATTTTATTTTAGCACCGTCTGAAGATATATACCTAGGTAGGTAGGTAACATCCGGCGGGCTCCGTGCTGGATCCGGATGCTCCTCCCCATATCGAGGTTTTAAAAAGGTAGGTAGGTAACGCAATTGGAAGAGCAGTCAAACAATGAGCTAAAATTTGCTTGTTCGAACTGAGACCAACCTTGAATAAAAGAAAATTGATTTTATGAATATTAACTTAGACAAAAGGTTAATATTCCTAGCAAAGTTTGTTATATAACTATGTCTCTAAGAGTAAATATAGTTAGAATCTGCTGGTGTGGTAGTCTAACCAGTGCGTTTAGAATATGCCAGTGTGGTAGTAGTATTATATGTTTATCAGCAGTACTTTATATGGAACATAGAAGTGAGACAGCCTGTGTGTAGTGTTCCTATGCGAGGCATTGGGTGGCTAAAGGGGAGGTTGGAAGCCACAGGGGGGACAAACCCCAAACAGTTTATTTTTTTAACTATCGCAATGGCCTATCATTGAAGAGGTGACCAAAAATGTATTATCTCGAGCTCTTCCGCGCTTCGATTGGCACGTGAAGCCATTACCCGGCTGTATTTGCAGTCATTTACACGCACCAATATACACTGAGCCCGCGAGGTGGGTCATGACTATTTCTTCCTATTCGATTCGACTTCATCCGTAAGAAAGGCCTGTGCCTCAACTATAGGGACATTAATAGGCTGATGATAATTATGATAAAACGGGACTATTAAACTAAGCTATTTTAATTAAGTCATGTCGCAAATGAATGAAGGTTTCATTAGAATTATGTCAATGCAACGCCTACATATGTCGCGTTGGGTACTTATGTTCTTTTGTCCCTTCGATGCGATCCATTCTAATTGGTATACTGTAATATATTCTAATCATAAAAAGGTTGGGAATATTATTGTTGATGAGTTACTGAAACTGCGTCAATTTTGTATCAATTTTTTTTGGGTTGTTTTGTATTAGCATAGTATAAGGCTTGATATTATTAAGCTATGAGGATGGGAAAAGAAGATTTTATTTTTTTCATCCTATTCATTTTTATTAGGTTAATTAGGCTTTATTCAGATCTATTAGTAGTATTAATGTCCGCGGGTAGGAGCGCTGGTGACCTGTGTAATTAACGGGTTTTGTAAAAAAGACCTATTTCAGGCACCAGCTCTTCACAGTAAGGATATATATACTCGAAAGATTAGAATTCCTATATTGTACAAATAAACATATTGTGAAGAGGAAAGAAGTTAATTTTATTATTATTATTATTGTACGTATGCCTTTATAAATGCCTTTTAAAACAAAACTTTTTTGTTTGTTTACAGGTGACTCCAGAACCGACAGATGACAGACCCGGTCGCGTTGGACCAAAAATTGTCGTGTTTGATGCATCTACCGGTATTAACTGTAACAGTCTATTAACGTCCCCATAAAGGAAAAAAAAATAACCTAGTGCAAATGGGCCATGAAGCAATGAATCCACTAGACAGGCATACCCGCGAACAAATCTGCAGGCATGCCCTCCGGACCTCGTTACTGTGTTATGTAGGCCTGTGTGATGACTGTGTGACGGCCCTAAACTACCAAATATACACAGATATGATACACATATATAGATAATTTGCACGCGCCTAAGCCCGTCTAGTGAGTTTCCCGCTTAACCTCAAAACTAACAATTGATTGGTGGGTGTAAACGACAGCAAATGCAGTCAGAACCGAGAATTTAACATTCCTTTCGAAAACGGACGCGAGGATTTTTTTCACGCTGCATTTTTTAGATGAATGACCTTTGGGAATGTTGCTTAAGCTTCGAAATTTTAGGTAGACTGAAGCCTCTTTACATGCGGTCAGTAACTGACCCCGAAAAACAGGCGAAAATGTGCCTAATCTTATTGTAAATTGAACTGTAAAGACCACGACTACTGACGTATGAGACATAACTGACCCCGTATAAACAATGCGGTCAATTTTCGGCGTCAGCACTGAAGCCGGTTACTGACCCGTATTCCTTGTATTTGGACCCACGAAAAGCAAATAAACTAATAACATGAGAAAGACGTCATTTTACATTTGATCCTTGTATGTACTATATTCTACCAAACATGTGCTAACCGATTTGATGGTGTCATTTTGTGTTTAAAGCTGTACTCATGATCATAGCATGGTTATATGTATGCATATAGATGATATTGTTATCTGTGATAATATATTCCTCAGGAACTGGCCGTCTTGTGTTAGTTGGTGATGAACGAGTCAGCGTGCAAGGGTTATCTAGCTTTGCTACTATCAGAGCGACAGCTTGCGTATTCGCTGGCAAATGGATGTATGAAGTGCAACTTGGTACTAAGGGAATAATGCAGGTAAACTTATTATGAAGTGATGTATTCAAGTTCTAATTCAAATGGCCACTTAACATCTTTACTGTTTAAAAATATTGCTGTCAATAACGCCTAAAGCAGAATTCAATCTTGCGTTCACTATTACACTGAGAATCTGCGTCAAGTCATTACCCATCGAAAATAATAGTTTGTAATATCGCACCTCACTTGATCCTCGCTTAGTTAACACGTTTCATTGCTTCGTATACTTAAGCAAGTTTTACTTTTCTTTTAAATAGTATACTTACTTTAGATCGGGTGGTGTACTGCGTCCTGCGTATTTTCTATGGACACAGGAGTAGGAGATACTGCCCACTCATATGCCTATGACGGTGGCAGAGTGAGGAAGTGGAACGTGGCCACCTCCCCTTACGGCCAAGCGTGGCTGCCTGGTGACGTCATCGGCTCCTGTTTTGATCTCGACAAAGGAACATTGGAGTATTACAGGTGAGATTAAAAATAATTTTGTACCACAAATTGATATTTTGAGTAGTTAGGAGAAATTCAAAAGCACGTATTTGTGGTTTGAGTCTTAATCTAATATAATCTCCTTTTAAACCGCATAATACTAGTGCTGAATAAAAATGAACGATATATAATAGTATCGCTTGTGAACAGAGAGCTGTCTCAAATACATCTTATATTGGTTAAATAACGCGGTTTTAAATAAAGGCCCTTTATTGTCATTCTGGATCTTCAAAGCGTTACAACTAACACATAATCAAATATGTATATTATCTTATTGTATATTAAGATGTTAAATTATGGCAAAATTGTCACGGTTGATAGCTTTAAAATGGCAATGTTCACTTTTTCGTTAATTTAAAAATTGGCGAAACTAGGTGCTCATCTTAAAATGGCTAAAGTGAGGTCATCTGCCCTACTGTGTACTTACAGGTTTTATACTGGTTATGTTCCCTTGAACAATTGATTGTATTTCTTCGCAGAAACGGAGTGTCGTTGGGCGTGGCGTTTGACAAGGTTACCCATGGTGCTGGCTTAGCGTACTTCCCGTCAGTGTCTTTAGCAATGCAAGAACATCTGTACGCCAACTTCGGACATGTACCTTTCGTGTAAGCATCGTGTTATGTCGAGCTACAAATTATAAAACAGATCGATACTTGAAATTCAATAAAGAGGTTAGATGATTTCCAAATTTAACCCGAAAAAAATTGACAATGGCAGCTTTGTTTTGTAACATGAGACAAACAAATTATAGAGACCATTCCTTTTGTCGTTCAGTCATCGTTATTTCAGAGTTATTATGTTGATCTTGTTGGAAGATTTATTATAACTATTTAAGCAACTAATGAATAAGACTAGTGCCATATTATTGTTACATATAGTTTCTATTGAATCAAATATATTGATTCAAACAATTAACAAACGTGGCTTGATGTATAACTTTTGTGTAACCAGACTCGCCAAGTTGCCAAGAGCTAATCTTATCAAAAAACATGCTAAGTGCGTAAGACTTACGCAACCCTTCATAGTGAGTTGTACCAGAAACGAGAAAAAAGTCATGTTTGTTGTATTAGAGCCCTTTAATAATTTTTTTTCAAGTTTTTGTTGTTTTACCGTCTAAAGAATCCAGCATGTATAAAAATTTCATGTGTCTAAATTTCATGTTTCATGAGTACAGCCTGGTGACAGGCGGATGGACAGCGAAGTCTTAATAATAGAGTATCGTTTTACCCTTTGGGTACGGAACCCTAAAAAGGCCTCGATTAAATATTTATATGATTCTTTTAGATTCCCAGTTGACGGTTATCTACCCCTCCAAGCTCCACCTCATCGTGAATGCACGCGCGCTACTATCCTGTTCAAGTCTTTAGACGCGTTACTAGACGAAATGATACATTTATCTGATTTAAAAACTACTATCAGTGCGAAAAACAGCAAGGTAATTTTTATCATAAACTTTGTAGACTGGTGGTGGTGGTGGTGGTAGTTCGAAGAAGCCGATTAATTAAGATTATTAACCTGATTTAATCAAAATAGGTTCAGTTATTTAGGCATGATAGACAAACAAAGTTAGCTACTTTATTTTATTAGAATGAATAGATCACCGATACTATTCATAACAGTTTGTCATTTATATGTATTTGTCGACTGACATCAAAGACGGCAATTTTACCACCCACCGCAGACACACGTAGCATACATTTATCGTTTTATTTGTATGCGTAAAAGATATAAAAGTAAACGGCCTGTTTTAATGCTCTCTACGAAACACGTTATTAACCATACCATGGAAACTACCCAGCACAAGGGACTATTTAAGAATCTTTTTATAGTTCACAGTAGATTAATCGCAACATAAAGGAATAAACGTTAAGCAGACGAGAAATCTTTTGTTTCGAAATTATTCAGAAATGTAAGTTTATTTATATTTTAATGAATTAAAACCTGCTTCAAAGCATTTATTTCACAAACGTCATATTAAGTTTTTTGACTACTTTAAGCTCTAATGAATAAAAAACGTTATAACCTCAGTTCCAAACTGATTCCCGGTCGGTTCAATGTGGAAAATGTGAAGAATACGAACTTTACTATATTATCTTGGATTGTGTAGTCGTTTCAAATCTGAGCGATGTAGTTGGCTAACATAATTGTTGTAAATACTTCTGTATTTTCAGACAAAGTCAGATTCGGGTAAGATAGCCGAACAAGAGGTCGCACTTAGAATACACTCTGACACCGCATATACTCCCAGATCCTCCCCACATTCCATCATGGACTCTCAAAGCATGGAGATGAGAAAAATCTCGAAGAAGGTGAGAGTGAGAATTGCGTAACGACTTATGTGATTCCCAATTACATCTCATCTTTAGGAGTAACAATATAAGGAAAAAAATAATCAGTTTTAAATGAAATAACTACACTCGCTAGTTCTAAACCCAGAAGTATTCTTTACGAAATCTGTAAAAAAAAAATAAGGAACTTAGGTTTTTGAGACGAAGATTATTTGTAACAGCACGGATTTCTAGGATTTAAGTGCGTTTCGAGCCACGAGAAATTGTGAGAGGCGAAAAATTGTGTTGTCAAATGGTTTTAAATTCTTAGTTATGTTGTAACAAATCAATTACACAGTGCTGTATCAAATAAATATAGAACTTCGAGCTCCCGATTTCGATTACTTGATCAAAATAATCATTTTGTCTTATGCAAGTTAAACAATGCACAGATCAGCATAAAATACCAACTAAATACCTATTTAATTGGGGCTACCGATAATGTTAATTAAGAAGGAATTACGTTTATGAAGTTTTATCTGTTTTGATACAAGTACAACTACAACTTTGACAGTTTGACCACTGCCTGGCGTACTCGAGTTCTAATAGAAGAGTACTTATATTTTATAAATAAAAAAACAAAGTCTAGGGTGGACATTAGAGAGAGAAAGAAGATGTTATATCTGTCTCTTTTAAAGTTAAACAAACCGCAGAATTATCTGCATCTATACTTGTTTTGAGATTCCACAAAGTATCTTCAGAAGTTTTTAGACTTTACGGTGCCAGTGAACTGAGAATGATAGGTGGGTGGCCAAAACAAGTGCAGAGATTGTTACGGGATTTGTTGCCATTTGTACATGTGTATGGATACACAGGAGGTCTTGTAGATACTGACTGGATATGGTATTTGCTAGATTTTGCAGTTCCGCAGTTATATGAGTGGAGCAATAAATAGGGTACCATGATCATATTTCTTTTTGTAATCAAGGGACAATGATCTATCTATAACACTTCTAGGTTGCCAACTTTTTATTTATGAAGTATTCAATAGTAAGTGAAGTGTATTAAAGCATATAAAATTATAATAATGACGATATATGGTTTGATTTTTTTTTATTTAATAAGGTTTTGTTCCCCTATTAATAGTAATTGGTTTTTATTACATTCGGTACTGTAACAGACATTGGTTCAATTGGTTAAAAACTCCAGGCATAATTGTATGACCATTTTATCACTTGTGTCAAACAACTAACGAATTCCTTTATATTTTTTGTTTCTTAAACTCAAATGCGTCAACCATCAATGCGACAAACAATCTTATATTTTACTTTTTACTTACAGGCCTTTCTCATGTCTATAGCCCGTATAGTAGTGATGGAATTAGGAATAACTTTCCGCCTCTCCTACGTGGTGGTAGGAGAATTATTGCCTAGGCTAAGAGGATATCTCGGAGTTAAGACTAGAAGTTATCAACCAGATCCTCTTGCTTCTGATTTCTATTCGAATACAAAAGAAGAACACTTTGTAAGTTAAAGATCTGTATTTCCACTTATTTGCCAGAGATCTACCCCAACGAACTCAAATTATAGTGGTTATAATGTTAGACCTAAGCATTTTTATTTTATTTTCTGTATAGGTCTAGGTGTATGTAGGAAAAACCTCACATTATCCGCCAATAACTAGACTCTTCTCTTCCACAATAAGCAGTCGAAAGCCTGCGTTGCAACCATGCCCTCAACTAAAATATTTGATTTATTTATTATAATTGTAAGTTAATATGGTAATAATAAATTATATATGATGCACTCAGTTCCAGAAAAAATCACTTTTAAATAATAGGCTTTAATAATAAATATTAGTATTTCTAGAAAGGCCTAGAAATCCCTAGCAGTTTAAAATTATCTGTGAATCAAAGCACAGAATATATCAAAGGCAGTGCGATGTCCTATCACCGTTGAATAATGCGTTTCTTTGGAATCGTCGTTCGTTATCGTAGAAAACAAATAGCTCTTCAAGGTTTAAATAAGCTCATTCTATTTTGTTCTATTGCCATTTGATTTTAGGAAGGACTTTCCACCCAGTTTCTGTCGCAACCCCAGCCTCGCCTATGCATATTACTCGACTTACTGTGGACTTTTCTAGATGAGTCTACACTATGCGATGTATTTGAGCACTGCATCGTCAGAGAATGTCTGCTGTTCGACCTGGTTTCTCCAGTGAGTAAAAATATTCTGGAATATTTAGGGAGAAAGTCAGGCTTTTTAAGTATGGCAGTAGTTTTAAGAATTATGTTAAATATTGTGTCAACATTTCCAGGACATGAACTTCACTCAACAAACTGAGGGCGTGTATGTGATTTGTGGGTTGATGCAACACCGAGAGACCAGACATCATTTAGTAAAATATGTTTTCTTCAACAAGATTACGTAATATTATATTTTGTTTCATTCTGTAACTTCAATTATGAGTAATTTTTAAGATTCAGCTTCAATTTTATTACATAGTAATGGAAATCAGATGCTCCATTTAAAAGGGGTTAATAGGCCAATTCTAAATTGGCTCATTCCTTAAATCGATATTATCAAAACTTTTAACGATTACAATTGGTAACGAAAGAGGTGGCGCTGTAAAATAAGATCCAAATATTTAGATCAAATAAACAAAACACATGCAGTATTGATTAATATTATTTTGTCAGATTTGACAATTTTCTGAACATCAAATGTCCTGACGAAGTCGTGCTACGGAGTATTATAAGGAAACCATGGTGGCAACGACCCACCCCAGTACATGGTGAAACAGATCCCAGAATTGTTGGTAAGTTGAATAAATAAAACTGAGTCAGAATGTTTCCATATTATCTCATCAATACAAAAAAAAATACTTAGTCAAAATTCCACAGATTTGATTCGTAAATCAATGGCAGTAGACTTTATACCGAAGAGAACTTTTTGTTACTTTACTTTTTACATATTTTTTCTTTTAAACTTTATTTTTCTTTTCTTTTAGAGGTAGATAATGTATTTGATATTAATTTCTCCATTTGTGTTTTTAGATACAATAAAGAGTAAATCAATGAAATCTTATTATTCCTAATATAATTCTATAAAATTTGTCGAAATACTAAACGTACATATTATATGTATAATTTATACAGTCTATACGAATAAGCAATAAGGCTTTACTTAAGAAAATTACCCAAAGGAGACATAATTTATCTTCCCTAAAATGTACTTGATTATACAAAACCTTTTAGAGTTATTCTCAAGGACAAAGATTTTTATATGTATACTGGGAAGAAACTAATTATGGTTGGACAATGAGCAAGTTCCCATTTTTTAATTAGTAATCTTGTATTTATCGTAGTTTTCATAACCAAGTTATTTTATGTAATAAATTACTATTCAGGGCGACACCAGTGTGCCTAAAATTTGTGACGTGAAATTAATATTTAAAAAAATACAGTTAAAATTTCATTCTTTTTGCACTCCTTCAAGATATTAAAAAATACTTATTTTGCTAGTTGACACTACTATTATGCTATCAAGTCAGCATTTGCATTTTGGTTTGAATGAGAGATAGGAATATTCGTTTTGCGTTCTTCAAGGGTCCACAAAAAACCGTTATTATTATCATTATTTCAGTCAAATAAGAGTCCTCGTTCAAAAACTCCATGACGGTCGTAAAATAATATAGTTATAATATTATTCTTAATAAAAATTGATTAATAAATCCACTTTGGCGCTGTATAGTATTGTAAATACAAAATTAATCAAATCTTTATCGAAAGTTTAAATATTTGTAAAAATATTTCTTTCGACTTTTTGGGTGGATTGCCTAAACATTGATGAGAATACGCTCTGTAGTAGCGAAAAGTAACAAGTGCTTGAAAGATTCGTCAGTCCTGTTAGGGCCTGGGTAGCTTAGTGGTTCGAGTCCCATCTCAGAGTGCCTTTTTTAAGCATTTTTCATTAAGAATATTTTTAAGTATAGCAATTATGAATGCAAAATTGATCATATATAATAGTTATAATCAATTACAGAAATGACTGAAAAAGGAATTCTTCACTGTTCACCCTTTGCGCCAATAGGAACAGGTGATTATACTTTGAAAAAAAAAGGAAATCTATCTTATGTTTGATTTAATATTTTTAAATAATTTAACCGCAGATGATTTTCAGATAAAATATCCAAATTACTTGCAACATCTGATAAAGACGCTTCATACGAAAATCAATACAGAGCTGATTGCGAGAAAATAACTCAGGCCATTGAACCGCTTGAACAGATACAGGTATCTTTATGAGCTTACTCTCTACTACCGAAGTGTGTACAATCGCTATGGGAAAAAAAGCATAACTGTCGACCAACGATTGCCGACGGAGCTTTGTCTTTCCGAAAATTCGGGAATCGAACTCAAGATATAGCACCTCCTCTGAAACCGGCATACGAGCCACTCAATCACGTAGGTCGGTCAATATTGTGAATTAAGTATTTTGTATTCGACTTTAATGCCATAATTCTTAGTCAAGATTCGGGTAAATATATGCAATAAGTAATAATGATAATATGATAATCATAGATAATTTTAAGTTCAAATTCTTTGATATTGTGAAAGTTTCCCAAGTAATACTTTGACAAGACCCGGAAATGGCTAGTAAATCGAATAACGAAGTTATATAAACTTTATATTGCCTTTGCCTCTGAGGAAAATTAGATTTGCCAATTCTTACTTTTATGGCTTGTGGGTTCTGCTTACTTGCTTTTTACCAGTGGCGGATTAACTTAAGCAGAAATAACGAAACTTGCCATAAGAATGATAAGGCAGTACCCCTCGCCCCCCCCCCCCCCCCTTAGTCCGCTACTGCTTTTTACAGTAAAAATTGTAATTAAGTTTAATAACCGTTCTTACTTTAGTGTAATAAACGTTTACATTATAACTGGAGAAGTTTTTGCTTACAATGATTTCTTTACTAAAGAATATAAGTCTTGTTAGAGTACATACCATCCTTATAATAATCCTAATAAACACTTTAAAATTGGTCATGTAATATGTTATAAATTATTTTTAAAGCTGGAATTTCTGCTCATCTTGCTGGACAACACCGATGGTACGAACATGGTACCATCCACGCGCAAGATTTTCTTGGAAAAATTCAGGCGTTATATCATGGACAATTGCATATTGGATATGGTAAAATTTCCTTGATATTTGCAACGCCTTCCTAACTTTGAAATCTATACTTCTATTAATATTTCAAATCGTAACGAAAACACCTCATCCTTATTGGGTGACAATGCGTCATTAGCGCAAATGATTTAAGAACACGTTATTACGTATGGCCAGGCCTGTGTTATTTTATTTAAACCTGTAAGTTTTACAGTTTAAGTTCCAAGCACTGTAATAACGGGGAACTTCCTGAGAAATTCTCGATGACCCAAACTTAATAGCACTACATTGTTCTTACCTGCACGCGTAGCATGACGAACTCGAGAACGCTTTGTCTACACTCAAATTTCACTTTTCTCGGGTGCGCCCATACTATATCTCATTCTCGACCCGAGAAACTGACATATGAGTGTAGACTAAGCGTTTCTAGAGTTTGTCATGCTACGCGTGCTGTATTGGAAGAAAATGCTGAGACATTTTCAGTTTCAAGAAAATATCTTTTTCAAACATTCAACAATTTGTATTCTGTTTGCAGCATTTATTATTTCAATGGAACCTATTTGTTAGCTTATATTTCAAATTAAATCAGCGTAGTTGATGCACTGATCGAAGAAATAAGCGATCGAAGACTGAATTTAGACGAATTGTTCAAAGATGGGCTTTTTTTACCTTATAAATTGACACTCGGGCATTAATCTGAAATTTATGGGCATTTGAACTTGAACCAAGTATAATAGGGATGATGACTAATTTTTGTTTGTTTGTCCGTCAGGTAGAGTGTTAAAAAATATTAAACACGTATTTTTTTATTTTTTTCGTAATCTTAAAATTACGGTGTTACATTGAGTTGAAATTCCGCATGACGTCACGTTAGGGTACGTTTTCTACTCAACTGTGACGTAGCGAGCCCCCACTCCTCAACTTTAATGCCTGTTATCTAAGCTATTTCTTGATAAATTGAAGTAAAAAAAAAAAGATCTAATATTTTTCTATTATCTGACTGACGTACTAAATAGAATTGCATTTTTTTTACCCAGTCATCATCGCTATTCCGATAATGCAATAGGGAATTGTTTCTCTAATTATAATTTGCATTTATAACATAATTTTCGGTAATTAAGCGACTGTTCAACATATCACGCAACTCACCTGCAATATCATGGTGCTGTCACGCTCGTCTACTAACAGCGGTTCTCAAACTGTGGACTGATAGCCCCATCGGCAACCCGTAAGTTAATAATCTAAAAATTGATTAGAATTACCATAAATGCGTATATGGTCTACTTATAATTGTAGTCTTAAAATATTTACCACTATGTAGTTAAATTGCATTTGATAACTTTCAGCCATTTACCACCGCATCTGCCAGTGAGAACTTATATTGATGGTGAACTTGACTTCTATAATGTAGATCGTCTTGGTGGGGTGCTGCCATTTTTAGTTAGAACTTTAAGGTAACATACTACATATCTTGAAAAAAAAAATTCTTCTTTTATATAACAAAATTGGCCAAAGGGTTTAGCCGGATACGTATGACGAGTCGGCCCCCAAATGGGAATCGATATTGAAACTTATGTTTTAATATAGACTTGATGTTCAAACACGATTTATGTACTTTTCGCGACCGACTTCCGCTTTGACCTTGAGATAGAGAGCAAAATATCCGTATGCTTGACTATTACTGAATGTGATATATCTATGAAGCTAATTAAGATAAAGAAGTGAAACTAACGCGAGGTGTTAGGTTACATTACAGAGTATATCACATATATTTTTTTATAATTTTTAGAATAAAAAATTACATTAAAAAAATAAAAATAAAAAAAACATGTTTTTTTTTCTGAGTTCTCTGTGACTTACAATCACGAAATTAATATATGTTATGCTCCTTTGTGTGCTCTATCACCCATAAAAATTGCGTGAAAAAAAAGTTGGTGCAACACCACGAAAAAAAATTATATGTGATTTCTGTCTTATGGTATACCCCTGTATTATAAGGTTTTCACATTACATCATTGTTTTTTTTTTCGAAATTTCACATCAGCTTGTTTTAAAACATAAGTAACTAGTCTTAAGAGATGGGATAATAGTTAAAAAAGAAATGAAAAAAAAAAAACAGCCAGTGTTCAATACTTATTATTATTACTTTTTCGTGTCTATCAAAATACAAGAAACAAAACATTAATCATCGTCACTGTTGTAATTAATTACAATCGGAACACTTTGAGTCGCAAATAACTTAGTTAGGACCTCAGCAGGACGTACGATTTTGGACAAATATCATCCATATGATAGATAATAAATAATAATAACAAAGGAGCATAACATATATTAATTTCGTGATTGTAAGTCACAGAGAACTCAGAAAAAAAAACATGTTTTTTTTATTTTTATTTTTTTAATGTAATTTTTTATTCTAAAAATTATAAAAAAATATATGTGATATACTCTGTAATGTAACCTAACACCTCGCGTTAGTTTCACTTCTTTATCTTAATTAGCTTTAGAGATATATCACATTCAGTAATAGTCAAGCATACGGATATTTTGCTCTCTATCTCAAGGTCAAAGCGGAAGTCGGTCGCGAAAAGTACATAAATCGTGTTTGAACATCAAGTCTATATTAAAACATAAGTTTCAATATCGATTCCCATTTGGGGGCCGACTCGTCATACGTATCCGGCTAAACCCTTTATCTTTTCAACAGAATATTTAACGAACAGATGCTAATTATTTGCAATGGTGTAAAAAATGGGCTATGTTATACATTGAAAAGTATGTATCCAAACAACGAATACATTACAACGTTTCATCATAATATTACTTTCTTAATCTTGAAATCTGAGCAATGTAAATGATGTTGTCTAATATTTATGGCTATGCTTTTACAGTTTGAGTATTACTGTTGCATATATTTATATTAACTAGGAGATATATTTAAAATAATAGCAATCGTAAAAGCCAACATAAGAGTTTTGTCGTCGATGATTACTTGGCTTTAATCCTCTTATTTTTATAAAGGCAAGATCTAGTGAACGTGCTTGGGGAAGATAATGCCTTCGTTCAAAGTTTCGAGCCTAGCTACAATCGCGGAGGAGGAATAGACACAGGTATGTCTAAAAAGTCGACTAATTTCACTTACAAAATTTAATATAAAAAACAGCTCTTATTTCAACATATCTAGGTTTAAAATTCAAATTCATATTCCAAGCGGAAAATATAATTACACATTTTCTGCTTGAAATTCTTGTGTTCCAACAAAGTATTTATGATTTAACACATGAAATACAAATTTGTATTAACTTTTGAATTTCGCACTTTATATTGTCTACTTTGTATTTCTTTCGCAAAATTAACATTTTATTGAGGAATTTAAGCTTTTATGGAGACAAGGCAATTACCGGAGCTTTTGATCTCAAAGGAGTCAATTAGAAGCATTCAGTTGAGCCTGCTCTTAGGCGTAATTGAGAGCATTTTAAATGAAGGACAATGAATAGAAATAAACAAAAGAAAATTCTTTTTTAAATAGTAGTTAAAAAAGTTGCTTCCCGCAGTCTGTACGCTGAGATTTTATAAACTACACAACAATTTCCAAAAATAACGATTCAAGAGAAAGCTTTATAATATGTCATAATACACGTATGCGGGCGATGCCGTTGGCAACAAGCTAGTTTTAATTTTAAGCTAAGTTAATCCGTAAATTATTAAATAAATAGTAAAGTGTGTTCGTTTGTCTTTCTATTAAGCTGCAATATAGTGTCGTTGTGTTATGCATTTTTTTTAAAGGTTTTTTTAAGTTTTTTTACCAAATCAGTGCATTACGGTGAAAGTATGAGTTGTAATGTCACATGACGTCACACGTCAGTCGATTTTTCTATATAGTTGTAACGAAGTGCGCTGTCACTCCAGATGTTTAATGTCTATTACATAAGTGATTTCTTGTTAATTTGCAGCAAAAAAAAAGACGTCTCGAACATTTTGATCTGGCTGATTACTGAATAGAATTATTTTCTTTTTACCCAATTAACATTTTACATTTTCATTAGGGATAATCCCTAAAATTAATCACTTAAAACGTTAACATTTATATAAAGGATTAATTGACTCCTTTGAAACTAAAATGTTTGCTAGTATTAATGATCCCGCTTTTCCATTAACATACTCGTAAGTGTTTAAACATTCAAAGCAACAGTTTGAATGAAAAGAATCTGATCATCACTTAGGTCAACTTGTCTAACGGAGTTTAGATTATGACGTTAACTGAGATGTCTGATATTTAAAGCATTAATTATCATAATACTTTTACAAGGGAAAATAACTCAATCGTAGACCACATATTCGACCAACTGTACATGAAACGACTTGTAGCGAAAACACATGTCTAGACACTATGAAAAACATTATATACGAGGGTCAAACTGAAAGTTCTTAGAAAATCAAAAACTGATTACATTAGCCAGTTATTAGTTTTATTATATCTTTTCAAAATATTGTCCATTCACGTCAATACACCGCTGCATGCGATGGAACCACTGGGAAAAGCACTTTGCCCACTCGTCCTTAGGGGTCTCTTCAATGGCATCGCGATACGCAGCCACCGCTTCTTCAGCATTCATAAACCGCTTTCCTTTAAGTTTTTCTTTAATTTTTGGAAATAAATAAAAATCACAAGGCGCGAGGTCGGGGCTATACGGCGGGTGACCCAGTAATTCAACGTTTGATGTCGCCAAATAGTCGATCGTTCGCTTGGCGGTGTGCGACGAGGCGTTGTCGTGGTGAAGGAGGATCCTACTGCGAGGTCGTTTCTCTCGAACTTTTTCCAAGACAAGTGGCAAACAATTGGTAGTGTACCATTCTGCAGAAACTGTTTTTTGATCCTCTAACACAATTGTTGCAAAATGACCTATCCTTCCAAAGAACGAGGCCACCATTTTTTTTTCCCGCACTTCGATCTCTCTTCACTTTAGTTGGCAACTCCTCGAAAGGAAACACCCACTGAGCAGATTGTCTTTTGGTTTTAGGATCATAACAGTAAATCCAGCTTTCGTCACCTGTTAGTATGTCGAACACAGCATTTGAGTCACCTCCGTTAAATCTTTCAATCATTTTACGACACCAATCCACACGATGGAGTTTTTGAGCCTCAGTCAAATTATGAGGTATCCACCGGGCGCAAAGCTTCCTGACCGCTAAATGTTCGTGGAGGATTTTGTGCACTTGACTCATACCGATGCCTAAGCTTGTCCGAATCTGTTGATAGGTCACTCTTTTGTCAGTCTCTATCATACGCCGCACAACACAGATGTTATCTTCAGTCGTCGCCGTAGAAGGCCGTCCCTCACGTAAATCATCAGTGAGATTAGTGCGACCACGTCTAAACTCATTAAACCAGTTGTAAACAGTCGCACGAGATGGGGCTTCATCGTGAAAGGCCAATCGTAGTCTATCATAACTTTCTTGTTGACTTAAATGACATCGAAAGTCATAAAAAATCATTGCACGAAAATTTTCTCGTGTTAAATTCATGATGACGTGACACAGACAATTTTCAATTTGCCGCCAAATCGTAAAACAAATGACAAATGAATGAAATATATACTCAGTAATATTGGCAAAGAGTTATATTTTCAAATTTTAGAATTATTTTTTTATTATATTGTTTAGTTCTAAGAACTTTCAGTTTGACCCTCGTATCTATATATAAAAGCGAATGGTCACTCGCTCATTCACTCACTCACTCATCAAGAAATCTCAGCAACTACGAGTGCTAGGAGTTTCAAATTTTGCATGCTGGTTCTTTTTAGGACGTAGATGCGCATTAAGATGAGATTTTACGAAATTCAACCCCTTAGGGGGTAAATTAGGGGATGAAGGTTTGTACGAAACTTCGTTAGTATAGGTGCTAGGAGTTTCAAATTTTACATGCGGGTCTTTTTTAGAACTTAGGTGCTCACTAAGACGGGATTTTACAAAATTCGACCCCTAACGGGTTAAATTAGGGGATGAAAGTTTTTATGGAATTTTCTCATTTGTGGACTTAAAACTAGATCATGCGCGCGAAGGCGCTGGCGTAAGTATATATGAATTTACTTTTTACTGGTGAATAATATTATACCTATATGTAGGTAGATACTATAAATAACTAAGACAAATAAAATGAAAATTATCTTTATTCACAAACACTTTTCAAACATACAAATGCTTTTTCCTATAACTCGTTGGACGTCCATCATCAACTGACACAAAGAACGAATGTAAGAATGAGATATTCAGCGAGTTGATATAATTATACGTAATTTTTTGAAGGGGTAATGCTACTCTTCATGTATAAGTAGTCACTGAGCCACAGAGTAAAAGTATATATTAGGGAAAAGAGAGTCCACTCTCCAATTTTTTGTCATACTATGTGAGAACGTTGACAGATATAGGTTTAACGGGATTTCCATTAGATTGCGTGACGGTATCAATACGATGTAAGTCATGTCAATATATTAGGGGTTACAGTATGAAATTGTCGTTTTATTGTAATGGGTTCCTTGAATTGACATAGAATCTTCATGGTTTGAGGTTTAATGAAAGAATTTTTTTTCACGTGGTTGCTATGATGTTCTTCTTTAAAAAAATGCGAAACATTTGAATATCAATTTTCATTTGTTTTTGTTATTCAACTTAGACAAGAAAGATGAAAGAATCGAAAATTCGAGTGATTTTTGAATACGAGTTCCGACGCAGAAGTAACGCGGCAGAAACAGCCCGCAATATCAATGTTGTGTTTGGAGAGGGGTCCGCTAATGAACGCACCGTGCGATTTTGGTTTAAACGCTTTCGTGATGGAAACTTCGACTTGAAGAACGTGCCACGAGGAAGACCGGCCACACAGGTGAATAACGATGAATTAAGAGAGATGATGGAAGCCTATCCTAGTCAAACTACCTAGGAACTAACACCATAGTTTAACGATACCCTACCCACAATATTGACACATTTGCGTCAAATCAATAAAGTAAAAAATACGAAAAACTTGTGTTGCCTTGTTGAATCGGTATAGTAATTAAGTAATATTGGATTGAATTGTAACATGTGATGAAAAGTGGATTCTTTTTTTTAAAGAACATTCCTTAGAGCTTCAAGTTGTAATTAAACTTAAAAGATAGTTTATGGAATTGAGTGAGAGTGACTTAGTCTTTATGGCCAGCCTTAACAGAAGTAAGAACAGAAGTGTACTTCGTTTTCATTGGCCATTGTTTTATTGACTAATAAGATAGCTCGCAGAGATATCGTAGACTCTGAGTTCTGACCGGTCGACCACTGTAAATGGGATGTTTTATAGAAAATTTACAAAAGCATGACGACATGTCTCATTGTAACTCATTGTATCTCCGTTATTTAATGATTAAGTAAAAAATAAAAAATTTTTTCAACAATCTACTTGATGGACAGACAAAAAAAATTTCGTCGTCCTTATAGTGTTATTACTTAAATATGTTCCCACGGAAATTATTATATACAAAAGGATCGTGATTTATAAGAGCAAAGTAATTCTGCAAAGGAGCGTGAAAGAACGACATTACGCTTGTAATATAAGATTTTCGATGACAAGGAAGGCAATTGTGCCGGATATTATCCGCTGTGAAGGAAATTAACGCTCAATATGGTTTAATTTGGTCCCACATGGAGATATGAACACTATCCCCGAGATATTAAGTTACAAAATCCGTTGTAGCATACGCCGTAACGATTATGGGTTAACAGGTGCGCAGGCCGTGATATTGTGTAAGGAATATTTTATTGCGTTGTAATTAAAAACATTTTAACACCTTTTTAAAGTTAAGTATGTGACGGGTTCGATGTTTAGGCAAATGAATAAAAGACTGACTAAGCCTGAGAACTTGATTTATTTACGGTAATAAAAGAAAAAGAAAACTGTAACAAAACAAAAAATTTATAAAAAAACATTTCGTATGATTACCTAAATAATAATTACAATTGTTGAATAGCACAAATACCTCGTTTTGGGTTTCCTTTTAAATATATAGTTTATTTAACACATTGAAACTTTATAATAACTGTACACATTTTTCATTTTAACGGATTATATAAATATTTCTAATAAAGGGAAGCAGTGTCAGGAGGGCGCTAAAATCTCACTAATAGGATAAAAGCATGATATGAGCTAAAGTTTGTACGGTGGATGTAAGTCAGAAATCAAAACATTATAATTAACGCGTAGGTAAATATTTTACTTTACCTTCACTGGTATTAAAATGTCGCATCATTGTGAATCTAATACGGTTGACAGCTGTGATATGTAAATGTTCACTTCCTGCGTATCTCTTGAAATTGCCAAAATCAGGTCATAATCTTAAATTGGTCAAAAACGGGTCGTCTACTGTATGTTTGTTACCTTTTCAAGCAAAAAGTACAGAACGGACTTAGATGAAATTTGGTATATGGACAACTCAAAGCCTGAATTTACATATGGGCTACATTTCATGCCATCAAATGGTTCCTTAGGGACAAATGTAAACCACGCAGGTGAATTCCCTAGTAGGAAGCTAGTAGTTAAATACAAGAAAACCGAATTAATGTTAAAAATTTGAGTTTCGCCCGACGGGTGACCGTATTTTTTTAAATAAATAAAAATGACAAATGTAAATGTAATTGATCCGTTCATATACTTAGCTCAGATTCCGAGATGAATCGCTAAAGTCCCCGTATTATGTAGTGTCTGAAATAGAGAAGAAAAGGTCGGTCGAGACCGGGAATTGAACCCTAGAACTGAGAGATGGCGACACCTTAGAATCGGTGTGCGAACCACTTGGCTAACGGAGGAGAAAAGCTTGAAAAATTCGTTTCGAGTTTTTTTTTGCTAAAGTAAGCATCACTTTCTTGTATAGGTGTAAGTGACATGACCGCTGGTTCACCAGGGTTAGCGACTCTACCTCAGGTCATCTCTTCGATGGCCAGGTTTATGCATCAACCGATGCCACTTATACCCAACAGGTAATTGTTATATATTTACTAAGATAGATATAAATAACATGACAACATAAATAAACTTCATTTCAAGTAGTTCTATTAAAAGTAAAGGTTAAAGAGGCTCAGATACTCAGCAAACTCGGTAGTTCGGTGGCGTAGTGAATATACGCCCTCAAGTTAAAAAAACACAAATTGAATCTTATTTTAGTCAAGTAATAGTTTAAATCTGTACTAAAGTTTATCCTCGTTTTATAATAAGACGGTATAAATTAAAAATACAATAATTACTATTTACACTAAGCGGTGCATTATATTATATGACATAAACATAACCCATATCACAAGGAAAGCTATCATAAATCGCAAAGCCCTGATAAGATCTTGACAACGGACTCAGCCTGGTCCTTATCCTTTTAGTTACAAACGTTAAGTAAAATTAAAAATGGTGGATGAATTTCCATTAATTTGAATACAGAGAAGAAACTAAATCATTCTTTCCAAATTAGGCTCGTAATAAAAAGGATTTTTCGCTTACCCTCAATTGCAATATATTTATTTATTAAATATTTTATGCACAGTCGTATAAAGGCGCCCTTGATTCCCCCTTAAGGTGATTGGATCATTTGATGCTATTTGAATGAATGAATGAATATATACTTTATTGCCCTGTAAAACATAAACATGAAAACAAATATAAATGCAATTGGCGGCATTATTGCTAAGGTAACAATCTCTACCAGGCTACCCTCGTATTTGTTTACTTTTTTTTAACCTAGCTGTTTTCCCGCGACTTCGCCACGTCCAAGACGTGATAATTGAAATTATTTATGCTAGAACAACAGGTGAAACTGCGCTCGCCCTAAAAGGCACGAGGTCTATGATGCCAGGCGCAGGCGCAATCGACGTAAGGACTGCACATTTGAGACTCGTGGATGGACTGTTGGCCTTATATCACGGCGCTGCTGTGAAACATGCTGAAAAGGTGAAATTACACAGACATATCACAAATTTCACTGACACTCGTATCTAAAAGCCGAGTAGAAGTATTTACTCGAGTATAAATAATAACTAAAGCAAATAGTTTTAACAAATAAACAAGAATTTGAATGAATTGAAAATATCTTTATTCAAGTAAGCCCACTTCAAGCACTTTTGAATCGTCAAAAAAATATTTTTTTTCCCCTACCACTTGTCCAGGACGTCTGAATGAATGAACTCTCAAAAGTTAGAATATTATTATTAACTATTGATTGACAATTATTACTTATTGGTTTAATATTCTTATCTATTGGTTAAATATATTTGTCAAGCTATTACTTAAACTCAAGTAATAAGGTACTTCTGCTCGACTATAGATATTAGATTAGATAGATAGAGCGTTAGAAATTGCAAATTAAAACAGTTCACAGATTCATAAGTAATGAGTATTATAATATAGAGAACCTGGAAGATAGTAACGGTGTAAAGTAAACGTTGAAATAAATATGCTATGTTAGCTTTGATATGTGAAAATAATTTAAAGATTTATTACTGTTTAAGTTATATAGAATTAAGATAAATTGTAAAGTATTGCTTAAGAAGTTTTATAATTTCCTGTTTTTGTGGAGCAATATACTTATTGCTAGTAAATATTATTAATTATATGTCCCACGAATGAATGATGACTCTGATATAGTAGAAGAAAGTATGTAATAAAAATGATATAAATATCAGAGAAGGCTAGGCTACAACTTTTACGATCAAATTGAGTCTCAAACTGATACCACAGTTGGTGATATGAGAAAGAAAAATAGAAATGTGAACAGAAAATAAAAAGAGTTATAAATTTCAAGGAGTCGATATACGTATGTAAAAACTGTAGCACAAAGATCCAATTAACCGCAGCCCAATTGTTCATTGAATTGATGACTTCGGTTTAAGGTCTTATTTTATAATCACCGATAGTTATAATTTCTTACAGCTCTGTGAACTGAGAGACAATCAATTAGATATGGCGGATTGCCTACATGATATAGATCAACGAATCTCTACTCTCACTTCGGAATTAGAGGCTGGAGGTAAATTATATAATTTTTAAAACTAATGATATGAAAAATAGGAATATACCGATTAACCTCTTTTTTTACTTTTTAGCTGAAAAAGAACTAAATGAGCAAGAGAATTTGAAAAAACAACTGACAGAAAAAATACTCAAAGAACTCTTAAGATCAAGAGCTGTCTATGTGGTAAAATTAAATAAATATAGCTCATTCACAATATTATGATCAAGTAGCATATTCTGCGAATATTTGCTAAAATCAAATACTTTAAATATTTCATTTAGAAACTTTTACTCGTGTTATGATAAAATAACGTTAACAAAAATATTCTGTCAAATACTACACTTATTAATAATAACTCTATATTATTCATAATTTTAAGGAGCCGTACAGTTCTTTATGAATAACTGTTGTCAATATAACCTAAAAAATCTATCTTGCCACTACAACTATAGTAACTCTTTCAGCCTGATAGCCTTAAAAAATCTATGTTATTCCTGACTTTTAGAACTTTATATCTTCTGGGTTGATTATCTGCCGTCCCAGATTCACACAGGAGATGTTTTGGTGTTTCATGCTCCTGCTTGCAATGTATGCAAATGGCATTGTCTCTTAATTTCGTGCGAAATAAGTGTCTGTTTAATTTGCATCTAATAGTATAAATTAAGACCTGTACTAGTATTTTTTTTAAATCGCTTTGCAGGAAGTTACGAACGATACGATTGCTTTTTTTGCACAAACTATCCTTTATTTATTTTTATAATATTTTTTAATTACATACAAATATATGGTATACCAAAAAGTATAGTTATATAAAATCAAAGAGTACAATAAACCTAGTTACAAAACAGTTAGTCGTGAACAGAAATCCTTCAGGATTTGCATTGCATGTTTCTTTGGAATATGTACCGCAAAATGGGTCTGGGCCTATTATAACATTAGCGGTAAAATATTGATTCAACTGTTCTGATTTTTAAGAGTTAAAATTGAATTTAAAATCTTTAAATATGCATTTTAATGAGATGTTATCTTGTACTTATTTTTTTATTGAACCGTCAATCTACTTGTTATCAGAATAGAATTGTAATATTGTATATAATGCAATTATTAAATATGGTTTTTTATTAAACAAATAATCTATTCATAGAGCAGAACTAAGAACTAAAAAATAAAATAATGTCACTTGTCCGGAAATGGATATTGTGTTTGCTTAATAAATAGAGACTAGTTTGGCTAGTCTTGCTGTAAGTTAGTTGCCAGTCTTAGGGCATTATTGTTCGAGACGAGGTAGCGTGAACACGTGTATCCAAAGTAGTGTGAGAGTGTGGTTGAATCTAGAAATTTAATTACACAATTTTATTTTTAAATAAATACTTTAGACATTTTATAGAAACTTTTCTACGTGTTATGATAAAATAATATTCACAAAAGAATTTAAATTCAGATTAACACCTATTTTCTATCAAAATAAGTGTTAAAATGTAAATGATTTTGTCAAGAACCATTTCTCCATGAGAGAAGTCCTGCTTAAGAAGCAGATGCATTATTACTTAACTGTTAAAGTAATAATGTATTACAAACAAACTGAATTTATTATGTAATGACAACCATTATTATTATTAATTTTATGCATAGGAGAAGTTAGAGGCAGGTGCTTTGCAAATGGCGTGGGTTATCGGTGCAATATGGACGAAGAAGCGGCAGTCAGAGCTAGCGAGACATTTCGCGGGCACGCTTCACTCTTTGAGAATGGCATCAGACCCTGATTACGCAGCCCATACTCAGGTGATAATGGGAATCACCTTATCTTATCCTAGTTAATACCTTTTTTATGTCGCAGGGGAAATGTACCATAAGCCTTTTCAAGTTATACCAGGGATTTTACAGACAGGTTTAATCACTTAAACCTACCTGGTAAAACCCGCTGCGGAAAACCCTCAAGGGAAGGTCCCAGAATCCAGCAAAGATCCCGCCGCGTCCAACCCCATATCCCTGTTAATAATATAATATGTTAACTAATTAATTAATTCTTAGAATGATAGTTTTCTATGGGATTGCTACCATGTACCATGTATTTATCGAGTTTTCGGTATTTTGGCACTATTGTAAGTGCCACGATCACGAAGTTACTTAAGTCTCGTAGGTGGGTGTTAGCAGATATATCGATCAACCGTCTTTCTAGTCTTCTTGCGTTCAATACCCGTACCATTTTTCACTAAGTTACCGCTAGTTCACCAATAATTAATTCTTCTGTATATAGGTGGCCAGTAAAGAAATATTGCCTGGCAAAAGTTCTTTGCTAGGTGGTGGAAGTTATGCTTCTCTTCAATTGGAATACACTTCGAGCTCAGACCAGAGGTTAGTTACTAAATTAAATTAATAGATATAATAAGAGAGAACAATTATAATATTCTTGGAAATTAAACAAACAGTAAACTTATACGATATTCGATATTCGTGATGTCTTAACCAGGGATGTTACGGAGCTTCGACTCCGGTTCCGTTAAGTCGGAACTTCCGATTATTATTACACCTTCGGTTCCGACTTCGACTCCGACACTTTTAAATCGAAGGTTTTAATCGGAGGTCGAAGCATAACATAGCGGCAGCGGCGGCCTGTGTCAACTGTTATGAACAGGTTCATACATGTCGCGCGTTGAATTCCCCCCGACTCCCACTACGTGCACTCTATAGTCAATTATTTTTTCACTTGTTGTTAATTTGTTACGCACATGACACGTTCATAGGTTATAGATACTATTTGTTTTGATTTTTGCGGCTTATTATCTATAAAAGTGATCTATTTTTGTGTTGGACAATGAAACCCAAATCAAGTTGTATTTGGAACTACTTTATTGAAGTTAATTCAGATTCGGCAAAGTGTAAACTATGTATGAAGACGTATTCAAGAAAGGGAGGTACGACAACGTCGTTAAAAGGCCACTTGAAGTCTGTCCATGCCACTGAATATGAAGAATTAATAAAGTTAGAAACTGAAAAAAAAAATACTGTACAGCCTTCGACTTCGACGCCCCTTCAGGATGCTAAAAAACAAATTACTTTAAAAGAAACGTTGCTAAAGAATACAAAATGGTGCATTTCTAATGCTAAATCTATGGAAATTGACAAATTGATTTCTGAAATGATTGCTTTGCAAGATCTACCCTTCAATTTTGTGGAAGGTATAGGATTTCGGCGACTTATGCAGTTCACTGTGCCGAATTATCACTTAAGGGGAAGACATTTTTTACTGAAAATATTTGTGGTCATTTATATGAAACATTAGCAAAAAAAATTAACGATTTACTCACTCAATTTGAAAAGATCTCATTTACAACAGACATTTGGACCGAACCAAGTTCCAATGTGTCTTTGTTGAGTCTGACAGCGCATGGCATAAATAGAGATTTTAAAAAGCTTAAAGTTATTTTAAAATGCCACACATTTGATGGAAGACATACAGGAGATCTAGTTCTAGAAAAAATTAAGAGTATGTTGATGGAATGGGGCATCATAAAAGAGAAAATTCATTGTTTTGTACGCGACTCTGGATCTAATATGAAACGAGCAATGAAACTCGGCGACATACCTGATGTTAGTTGCACTGTTCATCAGTTGCAACTGTGTGTGCGAACATTGTTAGATTGTGATGAAGAAATTAAAGCCTTATTATCGAAATGCAAAAAAATTTCGACCCATTTTAATAATTCCCAAATAGCTCAGACTGACCTGCATAAAATACAAAAGGAACAACTCAACCAAGAATGTTTGAGTGTAATACAGGAGTGTAGTACGCGGTAAGTTGTATTAATTTGTGTATTTATTTTTACCTCCAGATTATTTCATTTCAATCAAAGATCTATCCACGCTAATACAATAAATTCAAATAAAAACATTAAATCGATTTTTATTAAAATTTGCTGTGGTATATGCAAGCTGATTATAATGAGTGTATTATTTAGTTTTTGTCATTCATTTAATTTAAATAATACTTTAAGTTATATTGTAAATTAGTGTAAATTATGAGCGTTTATTAGTTTCATTAATTTGTTACAGGTGGAACAGTACATTTTATATGTTGGAAAGAATGATTAGAATACAGGATTCTCTATGCCTGTACGCATGTAAACACAACATCTCTCAGTTGTCTCCTGAAGAATGGCTGCAGCTTAAAAAAATAGTAACTATACTTCAACCTTTTGAAGAAATTACCCGAAATATGAGTGACAATAACACCAGTATCTCATCAGTAATTCCACTTATACACACACTAAAGTATACATTATACACTGAAGGCAGTAAACAAGACACAAATGAAAAATTTAAAAGTATAATAAAATGTACTGTCGATCAATTAAATTCCAAATTTGGTGACCTTCAATCAAACAATTTCTTTGCAATAGCAACATATCTAGATCCTCGCTATAAAACAAAATTTTTTGATGAAGTGGTTAAAGAGAAGACTGAAACAGAAATAATGTCACTATTTGATGCCGATACATCTAAAAACGAGGCTGATAATATTGCCGTTCCTGTAGAAAAACGGACAAGAATGGAATTACCAGCAGAAGCTAGCCATAGTAATGTCCAAACAGTTTTGTCGAATATATTATTAAGTAGTGATGAAGACGATGACAATACCACATCTGAAAAATGTGCAGTTTTTGACAAATTTGTTGTAATGAAAAGTATACTAAATGAGTTCAATAAAGAAAAACGTATAAGTATTAGTGATGATCCGTTATTGTGGTGGAAAGTAAATGGAAATACAAAATTCCAGCCCTTTCAATCAATTGCCCGCCAATATTTGGCATGTCCACCAGGCTCGGTAGCGAGCGAACAACTTTTTAGTGGCGCTGGCCTAATCTACGACTCACTAAGAAATAGATTGGACGGAGACAAAACTTCAAAACTTTTGTTCGTAAAGTATAACACACTACTTTTGGAGTCAATTCATTTGATTTAATTTGTTTTAAAGCTTTTGTTCATTTAATATAATGTAATATGCTACTTTGGGTTTAGATTCACTTATTTTAATTTCTTGTTATTTAGAAATATGCCAATTTTTAAAATTGTTTGTGTTTTATTTTATAATTGAAAATTAAAATGAAAATTTTTTGACTAAATAATGTTTTATTTGTCCTTAAATAAAAATTCTCTCTCATGCCACTACTTTTGATCCTTCCTCCGACTCCGATTCCGACTCCGATAAGGCAAATTTAAAAACTCCGACTCCGCCTTCGGTTCCGATAAAACTACCTCCGTTACATCCCTAGTCTTAACAACAAAATATGCTATCCCCAAAGACTTATGTTACTGCTACAAAGGTTTGTTCAGAATTTAAACTGTGCAAAGCTATAAAAAATGTAAGAAAAACTATAAAATCACACACGTAACAAAATTTAAATTTTTGATTGTGTAAAATTGTAACAATAAATTCTCGTTTATCAATATTTTCTAGCCCTCAGAGTCCCACGTCTAGAGCTCAGACACCGCAAGTTGGGTCCCATTCACAAATTGGAACGCCTAGCCGTGAGTTGCTTTGTTTAATTTTGTAACGGTATATATTTTTATAATATAATGTCATTTATTTAACAACCATATGATGTAAAATAACAAATTGAATGAATAAATAAACACACACCGTAATCCTAAAAAAGGTATCCATTCAGCATAGTGCTGAGATATCATTACGATACCTCGTCGCTGATCTTCCATGGACATCAGATGAGGAGAACACACTACTATACACGAAACATAAATATTTAAATGAAATACTTTACCTTAATATTTAAATTTGACACATAAATAAGTTTTACATGAACCATGCATAACAGATAATATGTGAGAAAATGCAATTTTAATTATACATACGAACTCAACACTAGAACGTTGTGTACACAGGTAAAAAAAACGTTCGCATTGATATGGAACTGCCGTGTTTTATGGTTATTTTTGTCTAATTTTTGCTAAGTTGCAAAGCCAGAAAATAAAAAAGCTAACGTACCTACATTCCTCTGGGGAAAAACCATAGACAAAGTGATGACGTAGGAAGTATTCAAAACTTATATGGTTAATTAAAATTAAAACTTGTGTTATATTGGTTCTTAAATAATCAAAGCTAGCTAACTACCTTTCCTTAAAAAAGCAGCAATATTGCATACTGGGTATAGATTCCATATGCTTCCAGTGATTGGAACAGTGAAGTTGGAGCGCTGGGTTATGTTATCGAAACTTTTTGTGGCTTTTCTTGGACGAAAAGCCACTTTTTCTTTTTTTTTTATCTCGACCTAGCTCGTAACATTTACTTTAAGACAAAGTAAGAAACATCTTTCCATAATATTCTTATCGTTACTTCTGCAGGATTTTCGGAAAATTACGCCACTGCTGCAATGACCGCCACCCACCGATTAGGGTCACATTCAGCATTGCCGTCGCCAAGCCGTAAGTATGTTCTTATTAAATCAAAGCTTGAAGTAACAATAATTACATGACAAATTATAAAAATCACTCTAAACAATGTTACATTTACATTAAGTTACAATTATTTTGTTATACTGTAGTATTTTGTAGTTTCACCGCGACATACCAAATTTACGCAAATGACGTGACATGTTAAGCGACGTTGCAGACGCGATTGACATGAATAGAACGATTTTACAATAATTATTAACATTAAAATATAATATTTCAGAAGTAAGATTTAAGACTCACTTTGTAACAAACAGACGAAAAAATAAGACAAAGGAAGTACCAACTTTAATTATCATCCTCAACTAGCGACATATTTCAGTACTTTCCAATACCAAGCTTGTATTAATTTCCTTTTTTTATATTATTAAGACTCAAGGCACTTCTACTTCAATAAAACAAGAAAAGAATAAATAAAAGACAGTATTACAAAAGTCCGTCTTCTACATATAATTATAGCTAACTAGCGGTTCTTGCGAACTCGCCTTTGTAAAATATAGCCTATGTCACCCGCGTATGTTGTAGATGTAGATTACCGTAGATGAAAGAATTTTCATGATCGCATTAGTATTTCTATATTACTAACTTTACTCTTTGTAATTTTAGTTTGGACATCCCTAGTACATCTACTGTAATTCTAAAATTTTCTATAACTTTTATTGTGTAGCTCGATATTTCAGTATGCTTAATTACTTATAGTATAACATCATTCATTAGCCAGTGTGTTGGTCAGTAGCTGGAACTCCTGGTGGCAGCGAAACAAAATGGAGTACAAAAAATCGTAACACATATTAAAAGTTCTTTTTAATAGTTTAAAATTAGCGAATAACTTATTCACCTACACCATGCCACTAGGTATTCAAACGCCTGACCTCCGCACTTGGTTCTTGATATATACCATTAGTACTTCAACATACAACGAATATTAAACTTTAGGAAGCTCATGTTTATATTTGTTACGACCTTTTATATCACACTATCTATTTACCTAAATCTATCTACCTAATACTACATATACCTACGTATAGCTACATCTATCCCGCAAGCTAGAGTATCCACAGTATATGAAAATCACGCTACGAGCTCTCTTATCTTCATCGTAATACAATTTACTGTGTTTTGAATCGTGACGCTACAATACTCGTTGTCGCAGCATCCTAATTAAATATAGTTTTAATTGTAGCAGAGTGGCATTCTTTGAATTAGATAGGACATCAAATTTATCCTTCCACTACTTGTCAATAATTTTCCGATTGTTTGCGTTTAATTAAGCCTCCACACATGTGATGTCGTTTAGAAGGAGGCCCGAATTTCTCAGAATCTCTGTTCGCGTTCGTGCCCGAGTACCACGTTGACGCAATGCTGGAACTGTGCAACACGTTGCGCCTCTACATGCATCCAACTGTACCTGTCAATCAGACTCCAGGCAAGTCAACAGTTTAACTCCTAGTAGGAAGTAGAGGTAGTCATGATATCATAACTACTAAGACATTAATCACAAAACCGTTTCGTATCCCAAAACGCAATCAACGTAATAATTGTCCCTTTTTTTAAATAGCATAGAGGGAAAAAAAGATGTAGCGAATATCATATCCACCATCCAGTTTCGGACGCTTGAATCTGGCAAAATAACCTTTAGTTTAATAGCAGAAGCGTCTATTTATGAGCTCTAGCTCTTATTCGGCCCTAATCTTTACATGTAAACAAAGGTCGTTGGTGCAAAACAGATCAAGCGATTATGATATCCACATTGCATTTTTTTATATATCGAATGTTTAACTTAAGTAGTCAACAACCATTCTTTCATATCAACGGTTTTTAAAATCGATATTAAAACTTGATATGGTTTATGGGTAAAATAGTGAAAACGCACATATTCAGTAGAGATAACAGCAGAGAAGCTACGCCTCTATAGGTGTGCCTTGGTTAAAGATAGAAATGATCATGGTGTCACTTTTTCTCTACTAGTGCATGCCTAGTTAGTGTCAAAAGGGTGCTTGTGCCGATGGTGTGACCTTAACAGTGTGCATACTGAAGCACTGGGAGAGAGACATTGGATGTATCCTCTTAAACAGCGTAAAACAGTGGCGTAGTGGATAAGCGCCGCGGCCCGCGATCGTTGTCGTTAAGCAACTTTCGCAAGGGTCGGTCACGGGATGGGTGACCAAAAAATTATTATCTCGAGCTACTCCGTGCTTCGGAAGGCACGTTAAACCGTTGGTCCTGGCTGCAGCTCTTCCATCCCTCCAATGGGTCTGTGTATTTTTACTAGTGAAGCACAGACTGGCCCGCGAGCATGCTCGTCAATTGAATTCTGTTTCATCATCACCAGCCCTTTTTACGTCCCCACTGCAGGGGCTCAGGCCTTCCTTATGGATGATTAAGGAGGATGGGCCATGACACTCCACGCTGGCATTGGGCCAGTCTGTGCTACACTAGTAAAAATACACAGACCCATTCGAGGGATGGAAGGCTATTTGATTTAAGCGTAATTTTTCGACGATAATGAGTTACATATCTGGAATTAGCAACTTTATCTGTCTCAAATATATAAATATCGGCAAAAAATGTCGCTTTGACCAATTACAGTTTAAAGTCTCACCTCTCGTATTGTAGCGATCCGGCAGGCATGTCTGCAGACTTGCCCGCGGGCATATTCATCTAAAATCTGTAGATGAAATTGACACACACAAATGTCAAATTTAGTAATAATGATTCCAGCTTTTGCGAGCAGTGTTGTGATTATGATACCAGTTTTTGTAATGGGTAATATAGTGAATTCTCCGCATTAATTTTCTTTACAAACAATCGTTTATCTTTCCAACGGTGTCTATAATAAGGGGTACCGTAAACTAAACTTTGAATTAATACGTAGGTATACATTATAGCCTAATATAGCCTTCCTTTGTCTGACTTTGCTTTGCACAACATTTCATAAATTTTGCTTTTATGAATCTGTCCTTTCTAACTATAAAGTACCTCTTTTTTTAGAAGTCGATTCAACTTTTTTATTATTCATTTTATTTTAGTGACAAACGAGGTATGAAGTTAATAATATTTTAGGTTTACAAAATTATTATAAGCCAAACCTTGTGTAATTTTTATGGAATCCTCCTAAGAATTTACATTCTCAATGAAAATAATTTAATCATTAGAATCGGTCCACTACTGGCGACATTTAATAATATATATCCAATAAGAACATTCTGAATTTAAGACTTCTCTTTCTAAATAGGTTAAATAATGATCAAACGTCGAAATGGACCCTATCAATTTAATAGACCTTTTGTTTTTTGTAAAGTTGTCACGTTCTGTAACCGTTAAAAGGTTTAAGAAGTAAAAAGATTTGTGACACAAGGAACGAAATAAAGGCGGTAAATAATTTTGGGTTCATTGTCCATTCAGTTCACTAGATAGACATTTTTTATCTCTCTAGGGATATTAGGGCGTTTACGCTGGATTACAGTATGTGTATTACTATTTCGGCAGTGGCGAAATTTAAGTTGTTACCTATCAGTGAAAAGGCTATAAATGTAAAAAAAATCCCGCTTTATGTTGCATAGTTGTTTTCCTGCGACTTCGCACGCCTAAATTATAGTCTATGTCAACTCCGTGTTATGTAGCTACCAGTAGGGGAAAGAATTTTTAAAAAATCATCTTTCTATTGACGGGCTCAATGGCGCGGTGGTAGCGTTCCTACTATTGCGCCGAGAGTCGTGGGTTCGATCCCCACCTAGGACAAACATTTTTGTGATTAACAATTATGTCTGTTCTGTGTCTGGGTGTTTTCTATTTATATTATGTATATATTTGTATTCCCCCGTTGTTTCTGATATCCGTAACAAAAGTGCCTAAGCTACTTATCTCGGAATCAGATCAATGTGTGTGATGTTGTTCGACATTTATTTATTTATTTATTATTTATCAGACGATATCACTATTTATTAAGTGAAGTCACTATTTAGTAGTAAATCTGCTGGTCCTAATATACTTCCAGCTATATTTTTGGTAAGATGTGCTAAGGAGCCCAATATGTATTCTGTTTACGAGAGCATTGGATGAAGGTGTAATGAATGCCTTGTATGTGCAAGAGGGTTTGTATAACACCTATACACAAGAAATAATCCAAAACTTAGGTCTCTCATCTCTCAATTAGGTCAAGTTACCAGAGTGCATCATTTATAATGAACTATATTGCTTTATCCATTCAAATTTCATAGAGGAAAACATGGATTTTTAAAGGGTATGTCTATTGTCACCAATATTGCCGTTTTCAACGATTTCCTGACAAGTCACATGGATGATGGCAATCAGGTTGACACCATTTATACGGATTACAGCAAAGCATTTGATAGAATTGATCATGTCAACTTGCTTGTTCAACTACAATCACTTGGTATCCATGGTACTCTCTTCAGATGGTTTACTTGTTACATAATAAATAGGTCTCAAACAGTTCAATTAAACGATAGCTCTTCGTTTCTTCATCTTGTTTTCGAAACTCAAAATTGTTATAAAAGTTTTTAGTGTAGTTGACAGGGTCTCTGATGTGCTTCTCTTATTGCCATTTGAATAAAGTAGATCTCAATGTCAACAAATGTTTTGTAGTTAATTTTACGCATAAACGTAATAAAATTCTTTACGATTATATGCTTAAAGGTCAAAAACTGGATATTAGTGTCAGCATTAGGGATCTTGGTTTTATTCATGACCATAACTTACTAATTGACAAAAATATTGAATTCATCGTCGATAAATCTTATAAGGTTCTAGGTTTACTGATTAGATCTTCCAAACTATTTAAAAAAAATGAAAACGATTTAAATACTGTATAATGAGTTCGAAGTATGAGTATACTTCTCAGATTTGGAACCCAGGACATGACATATATGTTTCTAGTTTAGAAAGCAATCACAAGAAATTTGTACCTTTTATTTGCGCCCATTTTAAGATTGCCATGTTAACCTACGAACAGCGTTGCTCACGTTTTCATCTCCTCCCCTTTATCATTGCCCAAAAAAAGTCATTAGTGTGTATTTCCTCAAGGAAAGATAGTAAGGAAATCCTAAACAAAATTCAGATCAAAATACCAAACTTAAATCTTCGTCAGAAAAATATTTAGCTTCGCTTCCTTTTGCACGTAAGAAATTTAGGAGTAACAGCATATTAATTAGAGTTAGTAACTTGATCAATGAATTAAATACAAAGTTGAATGATGATAGTCGATTCGACCTTTTCAATAGCATGACAATAATTATTCAGAATGTATTAAGCTCCTACCTTGAAAGTACAGTTTTATGTAGAAATCATCTCTGAACAATGTCTTTAGCATATTGTGAAAAAGCCTAAGTGGGTTTACAGTCGACAGTTATATCTGAATAGAGATGTTATCAGCTTTTGTCAATTTTACTTAGACAATACTAATTTCAACAAATTGTTTGCATATATGCGGAAGCTGGTAATTAGCTTATAAGTATTATAGAGGTAATCATATTGTAAATAATGCTGTAAACTACCCAAAAAGAATAAATTAAAATATACCTAGACTTATTAGTATTAACAAATATTAATCAAAAAGAATTTAATATAACCGCTTTTCATTTAATTTTATTTTTCACATTTTGAAGCCTGTTTTATTTTTTCAATTGATTTTTATGTGTCCTAGATTGGGAAGAATTGGTGGTTTCTTGCGCTGCATTCCTTTGCTCAGAGTTCGCTGATGCCAGGATAGTGTTGGCTAGCACTAGAGAATCTTTGGTGCAAACACTTGCTTCATTTGCTACACAACCAACGACTATGAGAGCTATCGAGAGAGTACCCGCTAAACAGTAATTTATTCTCAGTACTTTTATTTAGAAATTCGCTGTTTTCTCGCTACTTCATCCTCTTATAAGTTATATTGATACTGAGAATAACACACCACTTTAGTCCACATTTTTGCGTCGGTGATCACCATACGTGTGCAAAAAAGACTCCCACGATTCAACGGATTGTCTGCTCATAAAGTCACCATCTTCCATCTTGCACGTCATCGTTCAGTATTCAATGCAAACAAACAAATATTTCCTATTTCTTAATCGATTCAGAAATACCTAAATAAGTTCTTCAGACTTCAAAATTTGCAACAGCAAATTCATTTTCTTATTCTACAGCTTGCAATGAATGAAACGACTGCCATTACTTCCCAGCTTTTTTCTCGTTAATTTATCACTTATCCAAGATATTATCCTAGACAGATGCGTATGGTAGAGGAGCTAGTCCGACCATATCAAAATCGAGCATGGGCACAATCTAACTGGGTGCTGGTTCGTTTCTGGCATGGCTCCGGTTTCGGTTTTCGACATCGGCAGTGGCCACATCTAGCAGCCAAGTAAGTAATGTCACATCTGGTGGTAATAAAAACGACAGTGTAAAGACTGGCGCTGAAATAGAAAGAAGACACCAAAGAGAGTTGTTGGTGCGAGACCGCAATAGTTCGTAGATATGTTATTGAAACAATTTTTATTTCTAGATACGGTGATAGAGAACCCACTGTCAATAATCTCGGTGCGAAAGTGGATGCTGGTCTCATGAGTCAATGCTTCGGTAATTCTATCCTATATTAATTCAGCATTTACTATGTTTGCAAGATTTTTATTGATATGGAGTATACGGTGTACAAAGTATACGGCTGTATACGGAAGAACCATCAGACATCAATTCCTAAATTGCAATGAGCTCTCAAAAGAAGATTTTTCTGTCCAAGCTGTTACAAAAAGTACATTTTCACAGCGATTTTATATATTTTGGGACTTTGTACCTATGTACACTTACCGTCGCATCTTCGGGCGTGGTACGACGTTTTATATACTGCTGTATACATCATTATATCTTAACAAATGAAGTAGTTAGAATGTAAATCAATCGGAATTCATTTATACAGGAAAAAAATATTATTACTCTACTGTACCCGGAAGTTGATGATATCTATAGATATTTCTACAGTTTTACTACTACTAAATTGTAATTTTAAAAAAGTAAATATACTCTATAAATTATTAACAAACGTGAAAAAATAATGTACCAAGTTTTTCTATATATCTGGCTTGTAAGATGTTTTTCGATATCTATTACCTACCATGTTACAAATTCCACATGGCACAAGTTACAAATAGCACATCTTTAAGCTAAGAAAAGCACACCAAGTGTATAAAAATGTATAACAATCATAATATTTCTATCAGGTCCATGTCCATCAGAGGTAATCCAAACCAGAGTGAAAGAATATTTAGCGGCGCATCCCAAGGAGGCAGCTTTATTCCTCAACTCTCTGCTAAGTCAGCTAAACTGGGCTTTCTCTGAATTTATTAACATGATGCAGGAGGTAATAAACTTTTAGTTTATTGAACCCCAAACCTTCGTCATTTTATAAAAGATGAATATATGTCTATTTACGTCAAATGATTATCTCTACTTTTAAACTATCGCTATGCATTATTAAACTTATAATCAGGGGTGTAAGACGCGATTTTTACACGGACGACGTTTGCCGACGTTTTGACCGGGTTGCACAGGCCGTGATCACGACGAGACTGGAGCAGCAAGTCGACGACTCTACACCCGAGGATGAATCTTCTTCCACCGTCAAAATTTTAATCCAACTACCGTCACAAACAACAATAACGGTGTCCGTATTCCGCACCTGAGCCGTATTCCGAAGGTTTACCGATTTTACTTATTAGGGTGTTTCTTAATTTCAATCACTTCACGCACTACTTAAAAAATGACGAAGGTCTGGGGTTCACGAGCTCTTTATAAGTATTCAATGCATTATCCATAAAAGAAGAATAACAATATTCACGATATTAATTTAACCTAAATGTTTAATTCTAATCTAGTTAGTAGAGAAAATTTCCGAGATTCTATAATAATCATTCAACAGATGACTTGTATTTCAGAAACGTGAGGCTTTAGAACAGTCATTAAATAAAAATGTATATATCAGCTGGAGCTGGTATTTCAAGTACGTCTACAGTCAGCCCGTTTTTTCTTTCTATTAAAAGGAATGTACTTTACCATTGCTTTCAAATTTATGAAGAAATTTATCTTTTTTTGATATACTATTTGATATACTTTATATTGTAAATTATTGTGAGGTCACTGTAAAGCAAATCGACTTTAAAAAGGCTTACTCTTCTGTAGTAAGATCCCGTTAAATTCATGTGATATAATAATTTTATGTACCTTTTTGTCGTAATTAGATGGATAGAGTGAACGTTGACGCACATTTGGAGTCCCGTCAGATCAAGCTGTGCGCGACATGTTTTGATCTCTATCACGGACTGGCGAGAGCTCTGGAAATGATTATCGCGTTAGCACCCCAACTGCTAACAAAAGCTGAAGCTTGCGACAACCAAAATGAATTATTACTTGGAAGGACTTGCCAGGTTATTTTATTTTTATTGAAACAATATGGCCATTGATACGTTATGATATTATACTTAGTATACTTAATCAGCACGACTTTTTTTAGAATGACTTAAAGTTAAACCACATGTATATTTACCAATCTAGCGTAAAACGTGTGCATTAGATTGGCTGGTTATTTGTGGCGTTGGTCTATTTGAGTTGTTTGAAAATTGCTAAATAATTGCTTATATTTGCTACATATGATATATATTTAGAAATTAAATATTTTTTGACCAGCCATCCTGACGTTTGGTTGGCTGGTCACCTCCTAGTTTAAAGTCAAGCATGCAGATTCCCGATAATAATTACTTCATATTTACTTCATTCATCTAATTTAGTATTAACTTCAAACATATGTTAAATAAAGGATATAACAATTATTTAAATTATCCCAAGGAAAAGTGCCTGATAAAATAATAAAGGCAAATACTTAGTTATGTCGGTTTAATCGTTTAGGCTCTAATAACCGTGTAAATAATGCGATTCTTGCATTAAAAAGCCTTACCTAGACTGTGATTCCAATATTATACCTTATTTATTATATGTAGCAAATATAAGCAATTATTTAGCAATTTTCGAATCAACTCAAATAGACCAACGCCACAGACAACCAGCCATTCTGACGCATACCGTAAAACACATACACCGTCATCGTCCCAATTGCCATCAGCCTATTGATACTTTAATAGTTAGATATCAAAACTTTCCTATAGATAGAGTTGCATAAGACAAACAAACGACAAACTAATCCACAACCCAGCAAACCAATTCTGTTAATGTTTACGTAATAATCGTCTCTCAATAGAATTCCAACTACTTTTATTTTGCCATTGTACTATATACCTGAAGTCCAATATTATTATATACATATCTGCAACCATTCCTGTGTGAGGCAGACATTGCACTAATAATATTGAACTTTAGGTAGATAATACAATAGATAGACGCGATTTAATAGTCGTAATAGTAGACATTACCAGAATTGGCATGAAGTGCAAAAGTTAACACCTATTTTGATGAGGGTCGGTGCAGACTTAACTTAATGGATGTGTGTTCTTCCCAAACTACTGAGAAGGCGGGCCTTTGGATGGATTTGGACTCATTCGTTATCATCTGCATAACCTTCTCAATTATAAACCCAACAAGTTAACTCAATCGCACTACCTAATTACCTGTTCCCTTATAAGTAAAAGAGTGAGATATATAAGATGATGATATCTACACAACATAACATGTCACGGAGCTTGATGGTTCTGTTCAACTTTTGCAAGGGTCGGTTATAGGATAAATGACCAAAACATTACTATCTCGAGCTCTTCTGTATTTCAGAAGACACGTAAAGCCGTTGTTTCCGACAGTACCTAGGTTTAAAAATATATGTTTTTATAATTTAAGATTACACAAGCAAAACTACAGTCGATAGGTAGGTACTTACATTGTTGATGAAAGTGAAACCGACTGTGTGTATCAAAAGACGAAAAAATTTGATTAATTTTGCATTCACAACGCTATGCTGAAAAAATATTTTCAATTACAAAAAACCTCAAAAAAAAATTTCCCTTCTCAGAGTACCAGGGACAAAGTGATTTTTTTTTTAGTATTTTTCATAAAGAATAAATAATTCTTCTTTTCCATCTATCGCCATTACGTGCTTTTTTACAATCACTCATTAGTTAGACGAAGAATAGAGGATCCCTGGAGTAGGTTTATAATAAAATTAATTTAATTTTTAATTTATTTATGTATCTACAATCGTTAATACTCACTTATAATAACACCTCACCTAGTGGTTTCCTATCTTATTCGATTCCATCCATTGAGATTTTTGACCAGTAGTAGAAATTAATATGCAAACAATTGATGTAACGTCTGCAGAAATAGAGTAAGTCAGCTATAAAACGTGGTGAATGTTTAATTTTGCTACAGATTCTAATGGCAGTTGTATCACGTGTTTGCGTTCGCGCTGGTGGCGGCGCCAGTTTCGGACGCTTGGTCGCCAGAGGTTTACCAGATACCGATAGAGTGCATTACTACGTGGCGCTTGCGCCTGTAGCAGGATGTCTTTGCGGTATGCTGAATCCCAAGCTGCCCACAGAAGTAAGAGTATATTCATAACCATATTAAAAGTATTATATGGTGATGGCGTGGTAATATTAATGTCGCCAATGCTGGAGTCGGCCACGTGGACCAAGCGCCAACGACTAATGAATGCAGATGTAGGACGCGCTTACCACTGCGCCATAGACCTTCTAACTATAATAAGAGCGTCATATGGTAGTTGCGTACTTTAAATTATACACTTTTCAACTGTATATTCTTCTAGATTTAGTTACTGCTAGAAGAAGTTTTAGAACCTTCTGACACTTGTAACAATTTCCGGTACTCCGAATCAGATGTCATTGTTTATTATAAGCATATTATTATAGTCGCTCAATACCTCTATGTAACTGTTTATCTACTATATATTTTTATTGGCCTTGACAATAAGTGATGATATTGTAAATTTACCATAAGATTTAAAATATTAGTTAGATTAAATTACAAAATTCTATTTCATTTACTTCAGCATATAGACAAGATAGTTAAAGCGATAATCACTGAGCCACTGTTCCGCATCGACGGCCTCGAATTCATGCTGGGAAAAACAAAGGAAAAGATATTCTCTTTCTATAAATGTTAGTACGTACTTTATCTTAGCTTGATAGATTTCAAAATCTTAAATTAATGATTTATTCAGTGTAATCAACACACGGAAGGCGTACTTACAATAGAAATTGAGATCCTGAAACATTGCTACTCCATTTATTACGGAGGGCGTCTACTAAAAGTTTTACAATCAAATTTTGATTAATAGTTGATTTAAACAAGGCAAGGTTTTCAAAAAAAAAAAACCGGTTCGAAGCATCGGTAGTAACGATTTATAAGAAAAAAATACCGCCTCAAAAATTATGTTGAGTATATTTTGCAATGCCTAAGGAAAGTTAATTATTTCACAAGAGACGTTATTTTGTAAACAATGTCAATTGAAATTTCTAATACCTTACATTACACTAGCGTCTCTAGTGGAATTTTCATAAATTAAAAGTGATAATTCCCATCAAAATCAATGAAGCTTTAAAAATCTACACCAATGTGCTTCGATCAATGAATGAACTATGTGTTTTGTTATTTTTAATATTGTAGTTGAAACTGACTTCATACTTTAATGAAGTAATTTTACTATTGGAATTCACTGTTTTAAATAAAACTGGAAAGAAGCAGCCGTTGCTGAATTCCTTGCCGGTTCTTCTTAAGGTTTAGCCTTAGATTTATAAACTGACGTCATCGATTTCGACTTTCGCATTTGCTTGTAGGAGCCTAATCTGAATAAATGATGTTGTATTTTGATATAAAAAAAAAGCTGTTTGGTGTTCCAACACCTGGTTTCCGTACTGGATACTGAGTGATATATACCTACTCTTAGTATTTCAACCATTACAAAATCCGTGCTTATTATTGTTACGAACTCTTGTACTTATTAAGGTGTTATTACTGTAGACGCCGATGACGTGACCCCTGAAGAGTTGAAAAATCTCGAAGGAGTTGTAGATAGGTTACGGATAGCCAGAGATGCGGTGTTAAAAACACGCTCACCAGGATCTAGTGGTGCTCAATCAGATTTACTGTGCACCATATGCTATGCGAGGGTAGCAGACACGGCCTTCATACCATGCGGTCACCATTCTTGCAGGTATGCTTAATATACTAAACTAGCTGACCCGCCATACATTTTATTTTTAACCGACTTCAAAAAAAGGAGGTTCTCAGTTTGACTTGTGTGTATGTATGCGCGGTTATCTCGCGTTTGGCTGAACAGATTTTGATGCGGTTTATAGCATAGTATTTTTCAGACTTAGGAGAAGGTTTTAGGTATATTACCCGACTAAAAAATGAGGTTTTCACTTTAAAACGGTTTCTGCGCGGTTATCAGAAAAATATTTTTTTGTGTTACCTATTATATAAAAAATATCAATATCACTAAAAAACATGTTATAAAAACTTAAAAAAAGATTAAATATCTGTCAGTCTTCTGTCACATACCGTCAATTACTTTTTGTATTCGATTCTAATATATTAACTAGGTATATATTCGCCCGGATTACGAAAGGTCGTGGGTTTGAATCCCATCTCAGAGATTGAATTTCATAAAAACGGGTTTCAGTAGTTTTGGCGTGAAAACTTAACAGATATAGTTAATGTCGCATTTGTAATATTAGTAAGAGTACTTACTACTCTGTACTTATAATACTGATTTTAGATTAGCAGAAAATATTGGTATTTTGATATTGTATAGAACTTTTGGTACTAGTGTAATATATAATTTGTCATGTTTGCTCCCTAGGGCGTGTATAATGCAGCATCTACTGAATTCAAAACAGTGTTTCTTCTGCAAAGCGGAAATAGAATCTGTTCGAGAAATCGAACCTGTGGCGAATAATTGAAGGCTGTCATTTTTTAATGTGAATAATTATCGGTCAGTTGCACAAACGTCCATTAAGGTTAATGACGCCTTTTAAAGTCTAATGAATGTGGACGTTTGTGCAACTGACTGTATGTATGTTAGATCTGTACGTGTTTGAAGGTGTCATTTTAAATGAACTTTTACTCTAAATGAATTAATTAATTTTTTTACAAATTATACCTCCTATTTTTACGTTTTGATAAATAGTAGTTTTGAGTTTTGAGTAATAAAAATGAAACTAATTTTAAACTTAAATATGGCATTTTTTTATAAATCATCACATGAGTATTGAACTTAAAATTGAAAATAATTTTAATACAAATGCTTAACTACAAAAATGCCTCAATGAGCAAAATATGAAAAGGCTTTTTGTGGAACGTCATGGTTTTAATACTTATAACTTACTAATTTTGTGATTTTATTTTATTTATTTAACATAAAAACATTCTTGTTCTTTATTAATTTTCCCACTGCTGGGGCTTAGGCCTTCCCTAGGAAAAAATCTAATCAAATTGAATAGGGAGAATGAGCTATGACCCACCACACTTGCCCAGATGCAGCCGAGACTAACGGCTTAACGTGCTGGCCGAAACATAGAGGAGCTCGAGATAATAAATTTTTGGTCACCCATCCTATTACCGGCCATTGCAAAATTTGCTTAGCAATCGTATCGCAGACCGAGCGCGCTAGCCACTGCGCCAGCTCCTTAAGACTAAAATCCTTGTAATAGCAAATCGAATCAATACAATAAGGGTCTTATGGCTACTTTCACTCGGCTCTCAGATTAGCTCGATCCCTTAAATATTTCATTGTCTTCCCATTTTTAAATACGCGTGCAAAATTTCAGCTTAACCAGAAAACCGGGAAATGGTTCTTTGTGTTAAATCAAAATTTCATCCACATTTTACATATCAATTAAACAAAATTTTATAAGATGGATAAGTCTAAAACTTTGAGAAACCATGACGATCCACTTTAAACAAAACATTAATTCGAAGGTAACCAATAACTAAGTACATGGCAATTCTTTGAAAACATTAAATTAATGGAGACTTATTTTATTCATAGTTATCACGGCCCTTTCTGATTTCCCGTCGGTGAATAAGCGTAAAAAGCAGCAGGTGGACAATCACATGTACCTCTAAGACCTGGAACTCCTCTCGGGCCTATTGGACCTAAATAGTTCAAGAAAATATATTTATTACAACCTAAATTAATATAGAATTAGGATTTGTTTGTTTATTTGCAATGAATAGACTACGACATTATTGAACTGATTTTGAAAATTCTTTCATCTACGGAAAGCTTCATCTGACATACTCTATAGTTTATGCAGGCAAAATCGCGGGAAAATTGCTAGTAGTAAATATAGAGAATATCACAAACATTTAAGAGATTCCATATTAAGACAGAATTCCATAGAGACAGAAGATGACTATTTTTTAAATTATTTACCAGCATTTTAATCAATTTTTCCTGTTTAATTACAAGAATTTAAAATTAGCAATATATGAGATGGTTACTCTAGGATGGTATTCTTTTGAATACAAACCTTCTCGTCCTAGATCTCCTCGTTCGCCAGATCTTCCTTCAGGGCCTGGCGGGCCTATTGGTCCTAGAAAAAAAGGTTAAGTATTATTTGTATATAATGAAATATGCGAAAAGTACTAAAAAATCTACTTGATGGTATCGATTTCTATGGTGTTTAAAGTAATATTCTTGAAATATGAAAGCCCTAATTATAATTAATCTATTTCCTACCTTGAATTCCTCTTATTCCTTCAGGACCTGGTAAGCCGATGCCTTCTGGACCTCGTTCTCCTTTATCTCCTTTTTCTCCTCTCGATCCAGGACTACCGGTTATTCCAGGTTCTCCGGATTCCCCTGGATATCCTCGAGGGCCTTGTTCTCCAGGATCACCTGCTCTCCCTGGATTTGATTTCTCGTCATCATATTCAATGTTTTTACAAATTTGTTTTTTCTTCCGATAATTAAAACAAAGTACTAGCAAGTCATTTTAAAATATTATAGATAAAACTTTATTAAACAATTTTAATTTTACCTGGTGGTCCAGGTGGTCCAGCTTTTCCAGGTGGACCTCTTCTATTTACTGTTATTGTTGGAGAACTGACCAAACTTGCAGCAAATTTGCTTAAGCGCTCTGTAAAATTTCATGTTATTATAATTTGGATTCAGTTTACATAATATTAACCTGGATCAGTTGAATCAGTTTGGAATGAGACTCATTGATATTTCTACCTGTTCTACTAACAAGTGGGCCAGGAATGCCCCACACTGATAACAATGATTTTAAAAAATTACACGCCTGAAAAGCTTAGCTTTATGACAATATAGTTATTCTCTTCGGGTCGCGATAGATGTTAGGCAAATTCTTTGTTGTTGATCATCAAATGAGTCACTAAAAATACTATGCCGAGATCCTCTGTAGCAATTAGCATCCACCCACCGAACCGCAATGGGCTGACATTTTGGGTATAGACAATAAATATTAATTAAACTGGTTGGCCGTTTCCCTCTGTACTTGTATCAATAGAGAGGTGACAGAATATTAAATCATGATGACAACATTAATACAGTAATAACAGGGTTCGAATATCAAAATATCCGATATTTCATTTTTATCCTTTATAAATCGGATATATATCATGCATATGAAAAGCTACAATTTTGGGCGATTTTATTTAATAATTAAATTTTAAATCAAAATTGCAGAAATAAATATTGATTTTGATTTAATTATTTCCAGAAACGCATAGGAATACTATCCGACTTATTATGTGAAATTATTTAATTTTTAATTAGATGTTTATACGTTAAATTTAAAAAAAATAACAGTTCGCACTTCGCGTTAATATTACAGGGAAAACCCGATATTTCTAGTAAGATTGCTACTTCAGGCCTCAGGTCTACATATATGTCAATATATATCATGATATATATTCGTTGATATTTATCAACGAACCCTGACTAATAATGATGCACAACCTCAAACCGACTTAAACATGGAAATAATCCTAAAATTATTTATGTGGAAACGATAATTTTAAAAACCTAAAACTATTCGTATTGCTGTAAAATACACTTTAATTCTTTTAAATAGATAAATTACGCTTACCTCTGACAAGATCCTCGCAAATATTTCGTATCTCATTTTCGGATATCGATGGCATCTGTGAAGCGTAATCAATGATTTATATTATCGATAAATGGTAAAAGGTTTTATAAGATAAGAAAAAGATATACCTGAATAGCGGGAGAATGTGGAGCTGGCAAACCTGGAGGTCCTGTAAGCCCTGGGATCCCAGGGAGTCCATCTAAGCCATCTTTACCCGGCATACCAGGGAAACCCGCTGGACCAGGTTCTCCCCTCTAAGCCCAGAAGAAATATAAACTCTTTCAGTCTCTCAAATATGTCAATTGGAACTTTAAGTCTACCAGTAACTTCTCTTGGAATCCAGGTTGATTTTAAATTTTATGACTTATTTTCAAATCACACGCGTTAATCAGCCGAACTTCATATGTCAAACAAAATTAATCGCTTACTCGGTAACTCCAACGTTGATTAAACATTAAGATCATTATATATTTTTTTTTTATATCATAGGAAACCTACAGCTTATAAACAGAAATAATATTAAGAATAAGAAACAGACAGTTATATGTCCTCACAAATATGAGACGAAGTTTACACGTACACTAGTAAAGCATTGCCTAATTGTATATAATAGGGATGACAACTAATTTTTGTTTATTTGTCCGTCAAATAAATTAATGAAGCGTAATCAACGATACATTGAGTTGAAATGTCGCATAACGTCACGCTTTTGTACATTTTCTAAAAACTGTGATGTAGCAAACCCTCACATCCTCAACTTTAATGCCTATTAGCTAAGATATTTCTTATTTAAATTGAAATATCTGACTGGCAGACGAATTATTTTATTTATTTTTTTACTCAGTCGTCATCCCTATTAGAGTAAACAACGGAAAAATCATTGCTTAATGCGTTTCTTACCGAACATGGATATTTACAGTTGTATCAATAAATTACGATTACATTAAATTGGTGTAATTGAACTGCTTGGTGTAATTTTGTGGATGAGGTGACTTCTTTCACTTGATCGAACCAACGTGTTGGCGATCAGCTTCATATTCTTCTGCCCTCAGTATTTCCAACAATGACCATTTTTCTAGATTGACTATAACAACTGCAGAATTCAAACTTACTTCAAAGTGAGTTAAAAACTTACTACTTAATAGAGATAACAAGTCTTACCTCTCCTTTCGGGCCAGGTGGTCCAGGAACACTAACGCTTGGTACTACAGTAGCGGCTCCAGGTGGTCCTGCGGGGCCCTGTGGACCTATGGGGCCCACGGGACCCTGAACATGGACAAAATAATTAAATACATTTTTAAATAACATGAAATCAATGATATGTATTGTCTATGCCTAATTATGTCAACATTTTAAAGAAATAACGACGTTTGTCCTATCAACTTTGTACGTAGGAATTTAACTGAATAAAGCCAAGTTTCTGATGGTTATGTCTTTATTTAATTATGTAACATGTCACGAACAAAGCATTTATATTTAGCATAGTAGACTTCATTGTTTGTTTTCACGCTTGATCCTTTCATGGCACGGTCATGGTATAACACGTTGTAATGTAAAATATTGTATACCTGTGGCCCTTCCGGACCCCTTTCGCCTTGTGGTCCAGGAAGTCCTTGAGGCCCTCTCTCTCCTGGCATACCGTTCAATGCTGGCGGACCTTGAAGACCTGGTAAACCCTGAGTTAGAATAGCCACATAAGAATAAAGAATCGCTATAATTTCTGAGTACTTTATACCAAGCTCCGAACCATTAAGTATATTATCAGTGGATTATCACTAGATTTCAATTTTTTACAATTCCTTCAGGGGTCTATGTGTGTCTTCCCACAGTAATGACCATTGCAATATTCAATATTTAATTTGAAATCATTTTAAATAACTATTTATTTTTTTTATTTTGATAAAGCATAATGAGTCTAATCATACATATAGTACACAAGAACGCAAATAAGATTTTCCAGCCATATTGAAAATTGATTCTATTTTTTTAAATTATGTATTGTAATATTATTATACATAAGTCGATATTGTTATAATAAGGTTTTTTGTAAACGGCATTGCCCTTTTTCAAACGTCGTTCAAAAAATTCTGGCACACTTCTTCACAGCTTTAAAAAGTCCTGAATAAAATAATATGATCTTATTAATGCTCCTAATTTGAATAAAATAAATTGATTTTAACTATACACTATCACTTACCATTTGTCCGTCTTTGCCAGGTAAACCTCTTTCACCTGGACTACCGTCACGCCCTGGTTTACCTGGAGCACCTCTCTCCCCTTTTATTCCTATAACCCAAACATATTGTAACGCTTTTAACTATTAGGGATTGAGCCACTAATTCAACATTTTGAACACCGTGTGCGGTAAAGTAATTATTAGCCAATATGCATGTTAGAACGTCTTAAAGTCCCAGTGGCTAAAAGCGGATCACCTATTCTAATACAAGATAGGATACACAGACACATTTATTTCAAGCACAGATAATCAAACTCATTAATACAAAGCTCGTATTATCTCTTATTACTACATATATTGTTTATAAGTTGTACCTTGAACGAAGGAGGAGTTGAAGCTAGGTATCGGTCCTGGCGGGCCCCGGGGCCCCTGTTCACCTGGAGGACCTGCGGGGCCCCGCTCACCTGGAACGCCCTATAATATTTTGTGTCATAAGTATAGTTTGTAATATGGAGTGAACTTGATATATAATTAATTAAATGTATGACTAAGCGACTCAACTCAGCTTTTCTAAAGCGCAAATGAGATTTTTAGTAACATCTCCTACTAAGTAGGTATACCTACTTCAGACAATTTATACAAAACCCTTATGAATAATACATCTAAACCTTTCTTATAACATGTTCCATCCATTGATTTAACACATAATAATTAGATAGATTTGCAAATTTAATGCATTCAGACTGAACGCGACAAAAACATTTTATTTTTAACCGACTTCAAAACCCAAAAGGAGGAGATTAGTATATCTGATGGCGATGTATGTTTTTTTATTTGTTTTATGTATTTTTTTTTTTTTTTATATCGACAGCTTAGTGGACCAACGTGGTCCCATTTAAATTTTATCGAAATCGAATCAAAAGTTTTCCTTTTATAACAAAATAAAATACATTTTTCACCATATAAATATTTAGTCAATATGTACATACATCTTAATATTTAGTCAACATGTATTTAATTTCAGATAAAAAAACAAAAAAAAATTGCGTATATTGAATTCATCCTAAATCCGATTGGAGGATTTTGTATGTTCAAGGAGTATGTATATTTTTATAAAAGTAGGTACGTCAATCGGTTTCTTCTAGAATTGTGATCCAATTTCGTTAAAACTAGCTGTTACTCCGCGACTTCGCCTGCGAAAAATATAGCCTATTATAATTCCCAAAAAGCCATAATAGGACATAATCCGCGTTATCTGTCCCTAACTTTGTATGTGAAAAAAAAAGTTTTTCTTATATCAAAATAACTTACATCACGTCCACTTATCCCAGACAAACCTGGAAGACCTAGATCGCCTGCAACAAAAAACTATATTTAATATTTTTTCATTTGATATATTGAGAAGCTCCATGACGTATGGTTAGCGCTTTTTGTATGCGATGCAGAAGTTAAGCAACTTTCGTAAAGGCCGGTTATAGGATGGGTGACCAAAGATTTACTGTCTCTTCTTCCTATCCGAAAGTGTGTTAAGCCTTTGTTACCGGATGCATCTGCAGTCGCTGACACATACCTAACATGGGTTATCACGCATCTCTATTCAATTGGTTTCGATTCCATTCGTAGGAAATGTCGGTGCCCACTAATGGGGATATTAATAGGTTGATGTTGATGATATAGTATAATAGAGAATATTATATAATAGTGAATCGGCTGAACAAGCGATAAAACGCTATTATTAGGTACACATGGCCGCACATTTCACTTTACCCACCACCACCGGAAGCAGATCTCTCTTAGTAGGGAAGTTCTACACGAAGTGCGGTCGGTACAAAGTCCACAATGTATAATCTGACGTGCAACCGTATGTACATTAATTTCATAAATTTCTCTTTGTGAATCTCTTACATTAAGTAAAAAATTATGGATTTAATCTTTTCGATTTCATCTAATATCAATATATTTTCTACGCATATGATTCCTTCATTGCATGGGTAAACATCTTTCACAATCACAGTTAATGGATGGATACCCGTCTTTATTGATAACTATCTTTTGCCCGCGACTTCATCCACGTGATCTCTATATCAACATTCAATGACAAACTGTCTGTTTCAAGCCCTTCAAAAACTATTCTTGTAGATTTACCTATGTTCCTATGTGTGTATTGTCGTAAATGTTATCTGTATACCTTAATATGTTTTTTAAGTTGCTTTCTCATATATAATATTAGTAGGGATATCATTAAATACCGTCCTAAAATATACCTTTTTCTCCTCGTTCTCCCTTATTGCCCTTCAGTCCTTGAGGTCCTGTTTCACCTTTAGGACCAAACAGTCCACTATGATAACCTAATGTATCCTAAAATCAAAACATTCAATTTAATTAAATATATTTTTATTGATTACCAGCAAACCTTTACGATTATTCATTTCGACTAGCCATGAGCTGATTCGAGTATTACCAATAGTATCACTCTTATCAGCTAGTAGCTATACAGTGACTTAACTATCTATCTTCTTTTCGTTTTTGCATCCTTTTTGGTTGAATGAAGTTGAATTGAATTGAAAACTATCTATCTTTATCGAAAGTTTAATTATTTGTAAAAATATTTCTTTTGGCTGTTTGGGTGGATTCCCTGAACATTGATGAGAATACGCTCTATAGTAGCGAAAAAGTAAAAAGTGCTTGAAAGATTCGTTAGTCCTATTAGGTCGTAGCTCAATGGTTAGAGCAATCGACCGGATTGCGAAAGGCTATGGGTACGAATCCCATCTCAGGGTGCCAGTTACCTAGTGGATTTTTAAACATTTTTCATTGAGAATATAAGGCAACTACCGGAATTAAGGCCCCAATTTAATGAGTACCCGCTTAAAATGTTGTTTTTAAATACTTCTATTCCTGTTAAAACTTTCGTCACACATCCATCACGGCTTTTATATAGGTTTATGCATGTGAGTAAAATTTGAACATGAATAGCAATTGCACAATACAGGTTATACTATTTGCGCAAATTTTCAAATGTGGCCTTATTTGCCGTGTGTACCTTTTTTACAGATTAGCACTACAGGACTATTGCTTATGCTTATCTCTAAGGCTAGATTTTATCGCAAACTGTAAACATACTACTACCTTGGTGATTTGATGCAATATGTTTATGGTTGTACCCATTTTGCATAACAATATCTCTTATAACTTTCAACAAAGCTACAAAAGTTTCCTATAAATATGAAACTATGATATCTAGCGAATTCTACAACCAGTCAGTATCTGCAAGACCTACCGTCCTGTAGACAAATCACATGTACAAACGGCAACAAATCTCGCAAAAATCTACGCATGTTTCGCCCCTCCACAGAGAATTCTAAAAGCCCTTATTCACTATGACAACCGAGATTGCACACATGAATCTTACCACGCGATAATCACATCTTGCTCGGCGGCATAGTGGATAAGTGCCGCGGCCCGCGGTCGTTGTTGTGAAACAACGTTCGCAGAGGTCAGTCACAAGATAGGTGACCAACAAAAAATGTTAACTCGAACTACACCGTTCTTCGTAAGGCACGCTAAGCCGTTGGTCCCGGCTGCATTTGTATTCATTAATACCCTCCAATCCGCATTGGGCCAGCATGGAGGGTCCTTCCGAACCACCCATAAGAAAGACCTGAGCCCCTACATTATGGACGTAAAAAGGGCTGTTGTTATAAATAATTGTTACATTAACAAATCCTCCTGGTTCTCCTGGTGATCCTTTATCTCCTTTTAGTCCTGGTGCTCCAGTCAGACCAATAGAGCCTTTCTCGCCTCTAATGCCCTGTGAACATAGTTTTTACATGCCGTGAATATCGAGTATATTTTATTTAAATTTTGGATCATTTTTTTAAGAAAAACTGCGCAAATGAAAGAGCATGTTAAGCAGCGTATATCTGTGGCACAGGTAAAAATTATATAATCGTGCTAATAATCTAATTAGAGAAACATAAAGTTTCTAACTTTATTAAACAAATAAGTCAAAGTTTTTTTTTTAATAATTTAATGTAATAAATATTAACGTTTCCATAAAATGTATATATTTTTGTTTTGTGAACGTGTTCAATAGTATGGCGTCATTTCAACTCGGTGTATCGGCATAATACGAGGGTCAAACTGAAAGTTCTTAGAACTGGCCACTTATAAACAATATAATAAAAAAATAATTCTAAAATTTGAAAATATAACTCTTTGCCAATATTACTGAGTATATATTTCATTCATTTGTCATTTGTTTTACGATTTGGCGGCAAATTGAAAATTGTCTGTGTCACGTCATCATGAATTTAACACGAGAAAATTTTCGTGCAATGATTTTTTATGACTTTCGATGTCATTTAAGTCAACAAGAAAGTTATGATAGACTACGATTGGCCTTTCACGATGAAGCCCCATCTCGTGCGACTGTTTACAACTGGTTTAATGAGTTTAAACGTGGTCGCACTAATCTCACTGATGATTTACGTGAGGGACGGCCTTCTACGGCGACGACTGAAGATAACATCTGTGTTGTGCGGCGTATGATAGAGACTGACAAAAGAGTGACCTATCAACAGATTCGGACAAGCTTAGGCATCGGTATGAGTCAAGTGCACAAAATCCTCCACGAACATTTAGCGGTCAGGAAGCTTTGCGCCCGGTGGATACCTCATAATTTGACTGAGGCTCAAAAACTCCATCGTGTGGATTGGTGTCGTAAAATGATTGAAAGATTTAACGGAGGTGACTCAAATGCTGTGTTCGACATACTAACAGGTGACGAAAGCTGGATTTACTGTTATGATCCTAAAACCAAAAGACAATCTGCTCAGTGGGTGTTTCCTTTCGAGGAGTTGCCAACTAAAGTGAAGAGAGATCGAAGTGCGGGAAAAAAAATGGTGGCCTCGTTCTTTGGAAGGATAGGTCATTTTGCAACAATTGTGTTAGAGGATCAAAAACAGTTTCTGCAGAATGGTACACTACCAATTGTTTGCCACTTGTCTTGGAAAAAGTTCGAGAGAAACGACCTCGCAGTAGGATCCTCCTTCACCACGACAACGCCTCGTCGCACACCGCCAAGCGAACGATCGACTATTTGGCGACATCAAACGTTGAATTACTGGGTCACCCGCCGTATAGCCCCGACCTCGCGCCTTGTGATTTTTATTTATTTCCAAAAATTAAAGAAAAACTTAAAGGAAAGCGGTTTATGAATGCTGAAGAAGCGGTGGCTGCGTATCGCGATGCCATTGAAGAGACCCCTAAGGACGGGTGGGCAAAGTGCTTTTCCCAGTGGTTCCATCGCATGCAGCGGTGTATTGACGTGAATGGACAATATTTTGAAAAGATATAATAAAACTAATAACTGGCTAATGTAATCAGTTTTTGATTTTCTAAGAACTTTCAGTTTGACCCTCGTATATTATTTACGCAAAAAAATTAAGAAACAAAAATTTATCATCATGCATATTCTCACCGGTAATCCTGGGAATCCTCTTGGCCCTTGATCTCCTGCAGGACCACTGGGACCGATCGGACCCTATAAGTAAAAATCATGTGTATTTTATAAGCCGATGTCACCTTTTGGAAGATCATTACATTAACGTAAATCACAATGAATAGATAAATAAATAGGTATTTAACAATGTAATTATAATAAAATGAAATCTATGCAATAACTTACCGGGGGACAGGTCAAGCATTCTTCCCCTGGGGGTGGAGCAGCGTCACCCTCCGATCCTACACCGAATAACTAGAAAAAAGAACAATATTTTTTAACAAAAACAAATTAAAATGTTCTATTATTCAAACTAGAGTAATAATAAAATAGAGATTTCTTAATTAAAGGCCAATAAAGCCCCCCTCAGAAATGCATTTCTCTTTTCTGTTGTGTCAGTGCGTAGAAGAAACTTATCGGTTTGTTACATTGGTTAGATTTTTGTATCGCGACAGAAATGTATCAGTTCCATTTTAAATCGTTAATATATTATCATATTACAAAATTATTGGTAGATTGATTCTAGACCAGAAAACATTACACACTCAATTAAAACACAAACACACGCATGTTTTGCGATAGTCAATCGAAGGTTGTTTTAAGTTTGGTGTAGTTTAAGTTTTTGAATTAAATAAATCTATGTAACTATAAATAAATAAACGTGTATATTGCGTACCCCCATATGGAATCGACCGAAGTCGAATATAAACATTTATTTACTTTGTGGTATTTATGAAATAGCGGGAAATAAAGTGGTAAGATTACTTACAGCCATAATAAAAAAAATAAAAAAATTAAGGTAAATATTATTTTTACTGTCCTGCAATAGTTAATGAAAATTCTTCTTTCTATTAACATCAAAAGCTTGTTTGTCACAACAGTAGATTTTGAGATATTTAATATATAATCTACTTTTTATTTTTCCTGAAAAGTTACTAATTTGCAGTTACCGCATTATTCCCCGGAGGGTGCGATATTTATAACTTAAATTTGACCAACACAATTCTTAGTTTAGAACAATTGAGACTTACCGGTGACTGTGTCGATGTAGCAGCTATTAAAGGCTCTGATGGAATCTGCCTCTAAAATAAAATATATAAAGTCTATTAACACGTTACTACTAGAATGGTACCTACTGTAGTGCTATTGATAAATCTCGAAAATTTTTAGATTTTAACAGAACACTAAAAAACTTTGGTGGCATTCGAAAATTTTTTCACGGTAAAAATGAGAAAAATAGACCAAAGAAAATGAAAAGAAAAACTACTGTTGTTATATTAAATTATTTACGCAATAATTGCATCTCAATGGAATCTCAACGATTTGCATTTTACCAATGTGCTAACTATCTAAAGTCTAATATTATTAGTGCAATGTCTTCCTAACATATCAATGGTGATAAATACATAATAATATTGGACTTCAGGTAGATACTACAATGGCAAAATGCAAATCATTGTGATTCTATTATGTCCAGAACTTGACGACAAGTGCAGCGCTGTCACTGCATAGAAGTTCAATCAAATAAAGTCTATTTACAAAGCTAATAAAGGTTTAAGTTATATTGAAGGTCTATGCCGTGTCAGGGCTGGAATCCACGTTGATTTTTACTGAATAGCTACTCTAAATCAATTTTTGCCAACATAGTTTATTTACCACAATTAAAATAAACCCGAAAAACTATATAACTGTTAAAATTATAATTGAAATTAATGACAAATATGTAATCATAATAAAATGTTCAATGTTTAGTATTTTCCCAAAATTTTGTGACTTACAATCTCTTCGCAGCTGTCGTTCCTCAACACATACTCGCTGCAACTGAGTGAAAGCCACTGTAAGTCTATCTGGAAAATAATTATTTTATTGGTTTAATGATATTACAAGATGGTTTTGGCCATTTTAAGACCTGCAGGCTTACTCTTGAATGCAAACTCAATGTTAACTTCAATGCAATCTAACAACGATCTCAATTTTCATCAAAGCTTAGCTAGTACCCTTGAAACATAGACTCAATACTAACTCAATGTCGATTAGTTCATTCTATAACCACACAATATTGAGTCAATTGGCGCTAGTGTACCAAATCAAGAGAGCGAGGCTTCGGAAAATATGAATAATTTTTACTTTTAAATAAAAGTAATATATAAATAAAAGGAAAAAAGTAGAGAAAATATATATTACCAAAATTTGCTTAAAATACATACGGCATTAAATTTGTTACATAAAACTTAACAAATTTCATTAGGACAGCTAGAAACCTAAACTATATCTTTGTTATTTGTGACAAAGATATTACAAAGATTGCCCCAACGCCCGTACGTTTTTCGCTACAGTAGCACTATGTGACGTCAGTCTGTGCCTCGAATTTATAGGGAGCGTTATCCGCCGACTAGCAGCAGTTCCACAAACATAGCACCGTTTCTCCGAAACTATTAAACGCAGACATACTTCTACATTATTTCTCAGATATTAACGGACAACTAGCCTATTGCAATGTCGATCGACCGCGATTGCATTCAAGAATAAGCATGTTATATATCTTTTTAACAATTACGAGGAAGAAAATTTTAATACATCACATGTGTTAACAGTATTTATTTTACCATAATTACAACATTTTAAGTATTTTGCCTATGCGTTAAAACGCCTTGAAATGACAAATGTCCAAAAAACGAGCAATGGTCAAAGCCGGATTTTCCATCCTCCAGTTAGTATAAGTAGAAAAACCCAAGCATTATAGGTACTTATTTTAAATTGCAAGAACTTTTTTAAGCAATTTATCCCATATTAAAATTACCCCTCCCAAATGCCCAAGATGGGATGAGGAGAAGAATTTTTTGAAGTATTTATTAAATAAACGTCAATATAGCATTATAGGAATGCAAAAATAATAATATAGTAAAGTTGTATAGTTTTACAAACTTACATGAGCTGGTGTTCCATCATCGTTAGACACGATTGTTACCGCTGTGGCATTACTGAAGTCGTGTCTGGTTACGTTCTCAGGTTTTTGCTATAACACATATCAGAGCTATACTCTTTTATTCCAAGGAAAACACTTCACTCACCGCTTGGCGAGCAACAAGGTTATGTGGAACTCTCGAAGAAAAGTCCCACATCCAGCGAATTTATTCGCTCGATTCACTCTCAACTCTTGACTTGCCATCTTTTGTTTTAACTATACTTTAAGCTTTTTAGGTCGTATTCGGCTAAATATTCATATGCGCAATGTTAGCTTTTGTTAGCTTTTTAGTTAAATTTTAAATGCTAGCAAAAATTAGACTAATTAACTATTGGCATTAAACTTGTTATCGTATAATTGCAACTAGATATAAATTGTAACAGATTTAAAATTACGACATAAGTTATCATTATAAAATTAAAAACTGATGTCCAGCTTTATAAAAGTGAATCTTGGCCATTGGAGAAAAAAAATGCAGCTTTTGGGGCAAAATATTGGAACTAATACAGTACACAGTCAGGTTTAACAATTATAGAAGATGGCAATACGGTGTACCCCAATGTACCCACCCTCGCCAGTGAGATTGTACTCGAGAAGCCATAACCGAATCCTTGAAATATTTATCCTCCACACATATAAATATTAGAAAACTTAAGAAATTATATTACCTGCACACAGTCCACTGCTAAATTGATCGTCTTATTGGTAACTGCCATATGAATTTTATGCCATCCTGGTGAAAACAACTGAAAATAATTTATGTAGATATTTACTATACGTTAATATGTCATTATAACAATCTTTTAAAAGGGGATTTCAGAAACCAGATAAATCGAAAAGTAATATAAAAACACGCCTTATGCCACTCAGTTCTCTTTATTTATTTATTTAAGAACAACTAACAAAACATTCACCACAATCGTGTAAGCTTACAACAGTAACTTACAATAGTGCTGCTTAAATTACAGGTTGTTACAACATGTATCTATAACAAGTAAACAAAGTAAACATAACCATTAGATGAAGTTTAGTACAGAAGCTATTTTACACCTGCAGTATGAGAACCGAGTAGGTATAAAATAACAGAAAACAATAAAAGTAATAAAATTAAAGGCATATCAGACCGAACAGATACAATTACAGAGTATCATTAGCACTAACAGCCGTTATGTGAAAGACTGTAGTTTAGGGCTGAAATTATTATAAAAGATATTCTTGAACCTATGTAGTGAATATGACATGTCAATATCATTGTGATGATCTATCGAGTCGAAATTGATTATAATGTATTTGTATTCTATTGATTGTCGAGAAGTGACCCAAGTTAGTTCTGAAGCTTATAACGCGAAAAGGTACATCTTGAAGATCGAGTCATTTTGTATTGTACATTGAGGTTTATTTGACGTAATAAGCCAGGGCAATCAATTAAAAATTTTATATAAAAAAAGAATATCAGTTGTCTTACGCCGGCATTCTAAGCTCAAGAGTTTAAAGTGCATTAACCGTGAATTATATGATGGTAAACGATTTATCAACCCGCATTGATAAGACAAGTGCCATAAAAATCTTTTTTGTATGGATTCCAAATGGCGTTTATGCACATCTTAATATGATGACCAAATCACACTGCAATATCCCATTCTAGATAACACCAAAGCATAAAAAATTGCAATTTTACTGTTAGCATATCTAAACTCTTCGCAATTCCTCAAAATGAAACCTAACAATTTGAAGCCTTTTTTGGTAATTTATCTATGTGTACATGGAAGCGAAGTTTATTGTCTATATAAACACCAAGGACTCGTACTAAATTAGTTTCTTTAATCTCACAGCCACTCAATTGGTAATGCTTAAAATATGAAGCCTTACTCCTTGAGAAGTGAAAAAAGCTGCATTTTTTGGTGTTGAGATTTATCAAGTTCTGTTCGCACCAAAGCGAAAACCTATTTAAATCCTCCTGAAGCAGACGGTTGTCATCAAAGTGTTCAAGATTTTTAATAATTTTAAGGTCGTCAGCATAAAGATGTATTTTGGAGTGCAAAAAACATGGTGACACATCATTAATAAAGATATTGAAAAATAGTGGCCCCAAAAGTGACCCTTGGGGCACGCCCTCAAACGCCTCAGAGGAGAATCCATTTATTACAACCATAGAAGAACGACCAAGAAGAAAAGATGTACACCAACTGAAGATGTTGCCAGAAATACCATACTGTGAGAGTATGTGAATTAGTATACTGTGATTAACCCGATCAAATGCTTTGCTGAAATCTGTATAGATCACGTCGACAGGCATTCCATGATCCACCGCTGCGGCAACATCCGGTACAAAACAAGCTAGATTTGTAGCAGTTGAACGTGCCTTAATAAAGCCGCGTTGTTGAATAAGTATACTATGTCTGAAGTGCCACGATATTTCAGGGTAAATAATTGATTCAAAAACTTTGCTAAAAGCAGATAATAAAGAAATAGGGCGATAATTTAAAACCGAAGATCTATCACCCTCTTTAAAGATGGTACTATAGGTGCCATTTTCCATGCAGAAGGGAAGCTACCGGTGGATAATGATTTATTATATATGATAGAAAGAGGTTCAGCTAATACATCACAACATTTTATTATATGACAATGTTACCGAGTTGCTTGAAGATAGTATATACATTTTCCGACCTGTGCTCAGGCACACTCTGTAACTCCAAGTTAGTAGATCTCGACATCTGATCCATTTGACGAAAACGATTCGAAAGGTTGTTGAGTTCCGTGCGAAGGGTAACGTTTTAAGTTCTTAAATTATTAATGTCAGATTTGTATTTGTCTGAATCCACTTTACAGGAGTCATACTGTTGGCTCAGAAAGTTAAGAGACTCCTTAAAATTGATCAGTTGATCTTTGAGTTCATTAAAGCTGACATTTGTTGTTCTCATAAATTCACTTGTAAAATTATTAAATGCAGATCGCAACTCCTCCTGAATAATAGCCTGAATATCAGTGCGTGTGACACTATCCGAAGCGATGACAGTTATTATGGATGGTTGCAAGGAGTCATGTCTTTTCTGTGTCTTTCTACGAGTAACATCAAACGTTATATCTGCAAGACCAGTAGGAGTAGAGGGTCTCACTACCCTGTCCGAATTATCGCCTTTCGGCTGTTTATTACTGCAATTTAAACAAAACCACTTTAATTTTGTATTTCGTAATCTCTCCGCCTCCTCAGCGGAAAAATTCAAACAAAGACAATGATAAACCTCACTGCAGTGTGCGCAGTCCAAGATAAGCCTCATTCTGAATTGAGTTTTGACAAGCAGCACAGTGTTTCATGTTTATAAATCTTGTAATCCTTTAAATGTTTTAATAACCTTCAATCATAAGAATAACAACCACAGTTTGCACTAAGCGTTTAGCGATGTAGTTAGGTAAAGATGGGATAGTTTATCAGGTAGTGCCGTAAGCATGAGAGGGACAGCGCATTCTAACATATTCGTTGACTATATTGACTATTCGCCACTGCAAGGTCAAATGACAATCACTTTGTCTGATATTATTCATACACTGCACAGTTTGATTAATTGCGAAATTTCACTAATATCACTGCTCGAATAATATAAACAGATATACTGATATGTATTTACGATAAAGACGAATAACGGTATTTATTTCCAACTGAATAAAATACACTATTTATGCACCAAAGAAGAGAAATAAGCGAGGAAAAAAAACAATATTTACTTGACGACGGCGTATCTCGAATTTGCCCATATTCAAGGGATTTGGTGAGAAAATAAAGAATATTGCTAGATTCGAAATAGATAGTGAATTCGTAAATAAGACCTCTACTATAATTAATCTACAAATTATTGTTAATTTGTCAGTTGGTGTATAGAAAAATTATTAAGAACAAACAATAATTCGCATAACTAAAATGTAAAGCAATACTCCAAGAAGTATACAGTTCAGTATTGATGTTCCATACAGGAGCAGACAGTGATTTACAGCTGTATGTACCCTGATCGTCGTTTAATCTAGTCTAGCCACAAAAATGAAATGTGGGGTGAGGGTACAATGTGATCCCAATGTTTTTATTACATACATACATTGGGATCACATAGTACTCTCTTTAAGCTTTCCCTGTGTTAAGAGATAACAATGAAAAAGTTCTTACCACCTTGCTCTTGAAGGAAGTTCGTGAACCTTGCACATACACTATGACTTTCTTCGCGGTAGGTAAGAATGTAAGGGAGAACTCCAGATCTTCAGACTTCGCTCTGATTATACTCCACGGCCGTCGTTGACCTCTCGCATTAAAAGTGCCCACCACGCTAAAGTAGTCTGGTAATCCATGTGGGAATACCTGTCTAAATAAGAAATCTTATTTGTCTACCTTTTTAAATTATTCGGCATTTGATTATTACTCAAATGACGTTTGAATACCTAAGTACAGCCCTTTCACTGCTAACTGACATTTGTGCCAGACAGTCAATTGGCCATAATTTATATATATATTACATCTCAAATAAGTTTTATTGCTACCTCCCAGTTACCACAGTGTTTACAACAATAATAAAGAAAATAATTATAATTCATTGTAGATTAATTATTTAAAAAAAAATTGATACATTATGTTATGTATTATTATTATATTCTTATTACTTTTGTTTAATTTTGGATTGACAGCGATGTAACATTTAGCTTAGAATAAATACTCCCTCTGACTTCCGTCTTAGAATAAATACGAGCTTGGGTCAGACGGAGCGGTTACGGTTAACGAGCCGTTACCTACATGTTGATGAAAATATGCTCAGTACAAGTGAAGTAACAAATATATACTAAGTTGTGAAATTATTGAATCTATTTGGAAGAACACTCACTTGGATATGAGATCGCTATTCGAGTCCAGAATCTAGCAGTCCCGACAGAGATTGCGATCAAAATCGAATCGCCAAACCAAATTAAGCCTCTAATTCATTGCGGTCGTATTTTAACGACTTTTACAACGTAAATTTGAGTTCAACTATCATGTTATCGATATTTGTTAATTTCTTAATTAAAAACTGCGAGCTATTATTAAAGTTAATTAATAATAGCTCGCAGTTTCCTAACTATCAAATCGAAGAACTCTGTAAATGGGCATTGGCGATCGTTACCAATCACAAGATTTATCAATAGGATGAAGGGATCTCAATAATGTTTTTGAAATCTGTAATATTACACTAGCAGACAAATCCACGTCTTTCAAAATTTGGCTCCATAGTTAATTACGTCAGCTTCAAAGTTAATTAACTCAGTAATCAAACTAGCATCGCGAGAGGCGAATAAGTTCATGACTATTATCCATCATCAATTTTCTTGACTTACGTCATACATCATAATACATCAATTTTAATATAATCAGATCAGTTAATACAGAGACCATTTTACTCTACTATGCATATTAGAAAAGGTGATAATCCTCAGTATGTACCTGTCTGTACTCCTAAACAGGAAATGGAGAAGTGGCTAAGCTTAGTCAGCTTGACTCCCTTTTCTCAAAACTAACATGTGCCAAACCATTTAAAAGTCGTGATAATAGTGTACTTCCAAGATACTTACTTCAATGGTAACGTTAAATTCGCTCCATCACCAATTCGATAAGCCCGCTGCAAGTCCTGAGACCCTTGCACCATTTTCACGCCAGCTACGTTAGGCCAATCCAGATGGTACACCGCAATTAAGTCTACAGTCTGGAAGTCTACATCACCAGGTCTCTGCGGGAAGCAAGGGGCTTGGTCCATTTGTGGTACCATTGTAGTGAGATTGACTGAAATCATTGATTAAAATAAAATATATCTTATCTTGAGCTCCTCAACATCTTGAAGGAAAGGAAACCACAGTATTAAGACCTGGAAGAATCTCTTTTAAAAATTGTAGTGAATTTAATATTTAAAATATTGAATAGACCTGATGATATTATTTATATGTAAAGCAAATCTTCGGACTGCTTTTCACAAAAATATCAAGGACAGAGGAGTAGTAACCTGTTATAGAGAAGAAGTGCAACGGCTTATATGTTTTTATAATAATGCTTACAAGTTAAAAAATACATTAATTTAACGAAAACCGTCTATTTTTTGAAGAATGCAAGCAAATCCTAGCAAAATTCCTAGAAATAATGATTAATCTCTTGACATTGACCTCGAGTTTTCTTTGCTTCGACTAAAACATATTATTGCAATAGAAGTTAACTTCGTAATTTCAGTTTACTTACAGTCGGGCTCCGTAGATTGTCCATTGCTCAAACGATATTCCAATATCGATAGTACCGTTACGATATACCTGTAATAAAATTATATAAATGTTATATTTTATTTTAAGGTTTTGCTACATACAGCAGTAAGTACATCAGGTTACCACGATATGCCAAATTCTGCTATTGATTTGGAACTCTACCTTCTAAATGCATTAAGAAAAAATTATGCCAAAAAAATTGTCAATTTTGTGTAATCTGACTGTACCATGGAGGAAATTCCTGGAGGATAAATTAGGAATTTTCAGAAAGTATTGCAAAGTGTATTTTGACATAACATGACAATCAATAGTACTTTAAGAACCTTAAATATTTATTTATAAAATAATTTGAAGTAATTAAGAAAATGTGCATAGATTAGCCATTCTCCCAGCTCCATTCAATTTGAAAATTAGTCAAAAATATTTTTTTACATAAAAATATATAAAAAAAAAGAAAAATACCATAACAAGTCTTATGTTTTTTAAATTTTATATTCGCATAAAGTCCTCGCTACTCGTTCCCAACTCGCTCTTAGTTACTATTAATCTACTGAAATCTTAGATAAAAATACTGTTGACCTATATTTCTAATAATGCCATCAGCTATAACCCAACCTTGATTATAGGTTGCACGATCAACTAATGATTCATCTACAACAACCAATTAGAATGCCAGAGAGTAGCCATTTTTATCCAGGCGATATTACTGAACAAATATTTAATAATCATTGGCTGTGTTTATATCACAAATTGCGTTAATTATAGATTTTTGATTTTGATCAGAAATCATCAGAGTTCTTCTCCTACTTGTCAAGTGATTAATTATGGTGGTTTCCTCAATTAAATATATCTAGTAAACGGTATCGACTATTACTGATTGACCTACAGTCTGATCTATTACTGATCTTCTACTTTAGAAAAGCATGTTACACGATACTGCATTTCACATACAACCTCACATTTCATACAGTTTAAACTACAAAATATTTTAAACGATATTCATAAATAAATAAAATGCGAATATCTCCGTGTCAAAACCATTCAACTTGTCTCTGTCTGTGCGGATAGCAATTGGCAAATTTAAGTCTTGCAGTTTCAATTCACTCATATTTATACCCACTATTTCATAGAATATTTCAGGAACCTATTTTATTAGATGAAAATATTGTATGTTGATTCGTGTCTAATTTCTTGAATACTGGCTTAGAAAAAGTCGTACCAAGAAAAATGCCTAAATGTGTAAGTGCGATTATTTATTAATTGTAACGTTATACTCTCTCAATCAAGAGATGATTGAGAACTGCAAATCATGGTCGGCTAAGCTTGTCTTATGAAGGGTGATGGTGCAGAAATACCGTAATCCTCTAAACGTTCCAGAAACGTGCCTTATCTTAATTATAGAGACATTCACCCGGGAATATACGCTCATATTTCCTTCCTATGTTTCCTACAAGATTTATTTCAAGATAAAACTGTTAGAAATCACTTTTATTTTTGGCTAATACACATCGGATGGTGTTAAAAATAAAAGGCTATAACTCTCATAAAATAATCTTTACTGATTCAAAGTCGAAAGAAAACAGAAATTCTCATAAATTTTCCTGTTTAAGATAAAATATGAAAAATAGCATTGTGTATACGAAATTGATGTCATTTAATTTTGTAGTCATACTATACGTAATTGCAATTGGGTTAGCCCGCCATTAAATCACCAACTAGGACAAAGGCCCACAAATAGGCCAATAGAAATTGTTACTAAGGTACACTATCGACACCAGTTGTTTGACGGTTCTACTGACCTTCAAATTCTTATAAATAAAATGTATTAATATAAACAATAGAGACAATAACAATGTCCCAGTAAGAGAGCCATCAAAGCTCGATGTAGACAGGTCAACTAATTCAACCTTCTTTCTTTATATGTGACCCAATTCTTGAAGACCTTCAAATGTCAATAGCGAATCGATTGGTTTGAGAGAACTTGATATAAATTGAACAATGCGATTTGTAAAGAAAAATTATATACTAATGTCAAGAAAATTATGAAAAGAAGAGGCCCTAGAGTTGAACCCTGAAAAAGTAGTGTTGAGTACACAAAAAGCAGGTAATAAATAAAAACAACCGCAAAAGTATAAAATTTATATCAGAATTTCAAGAAATCAAGATTCAAATTCAATTGGAAAGACATGACCCTAAACATGTTGCCTTTGATAATTATTGGAAATTGAGCACGTAGAACAATAATAAAGTATATTTTTCTTTTTTTGATTTTGTACGTGCATGTGGACCTTTAATTAATTGTACAATTAGAGTTATTAATGAAAATAAAGTTCTATATCAATTGTCATTCTAACAATTGTTGGTGAACCAATAAATAATAACACAACAACGACGCTTTTTCTGGTAGTATTAATCAAATAGTAATGAAGTTGAAAGTAACAGATATATTAATTTTGAATAAAAAAAAATTACACGATCAACTTCTTTTTCATTTTATGGTATTATCTAATTTTACCGTTCAAGATAAAGCATTAGGTTGTAATTATTTAGACGCCTTTATTGTCCATTTTATGTGAAATGTCGGCTGTTTTACTCAAGCCAACCCAACTCAGCAAAGAATTATGTGTTATTATAATTATTGTGAATTACGCTTTTATGCATGTATATTGTATATCAGACATTTCAAAATTACGGTCCGTAGGCCGAATTCGGCCCTCAAGCAATAACAATCACTATATATCACAGAAAAAAATCTTTTCTCCTAAGATTTAGATGCACTCGAGCGTATACGGAAGTTTGAAAATGCCCGCCGTTTTTAAGTGTAGCGTGATTTTAGATGACCGAGAGAGTGTTTATTATTTATGCTTTACTAATAATATTTTCTTTTTTTTTATTGAATCTGGCCCAAGCCCACATTCTTAATCTAATGTGACCCTCTGTAATTTTGTGTTTGGCCACCCTGATGTATATATTTTCTGTGGGGCTGTTGACTTCACTAAGCTTACATTACCGTTTCTCCCTTTTGTCTTCTATGTCGCACAGAATATGCACAAAAATCATATTTCGATAACAATGAACAATAGTTTTGATATATTTGCCTGTAATAGTAAAGCAACCTTTAAAAATCATAATTATAAAGTTCTTGGTAGATAGATTAGTTCAAAGTAAAAAATGTATTATTTAAATTAAAAATGATGAAATGCATACACACAAAGATCTCACGGTTAAATAAGTGGAACAATTAAGATACACCAAAATGTGGATATTGTTTTTTTAATTAAATAAATAAACATTATATTCGTGTGGCTATCTTTTCATGCCAATTTAAAGAATTTCGAATGCATATTTCCTGATATTGTGGCGCAATTATTCTCATCTATATCGAACATCTATCAATACATAGTATAAAACAAAGTCGCTTCCCGCTGTCTGTACGCTGAGATCTTTTATACTACACAACGGATTTGCGGTTTTCATCTATATACAGAATGATCCAAGAGGAAGGTTTATATGTATAATACAGAACCACGCGGGCAAAGCCGCGGGCAAAAGCACGTTATATTATTATATGTCCCTGTAACATCGTTTTACACACCATTAATTGGACATACAATAAACGTTCACGAAACAATAACAATCACTTAGATTTTACGACATTTTTTTTTATTCATTAATCATTCGTTGTCAAAATCTCCTTCCTTCTTTTTAAGGCTTAAATTTATAGGACATAAAAATACATTACTTCAATTTCTATTTTGTTAGGGTTGGCTTTTAAACTAAAAATATTCAAAAGTAATACGAGATTCGTCTCAGCTGTTTTACGACAACGTTACACATTATCTACACTAATATTATAAAAAAGAAAGATTTAATTGTTTGTTTGCATTGAATAGTCTCCGAAATGACGACTGATTTAAAAAATCCTTACATATAGGAAGCTACATCATAGGCGGGTAACATAGGCTATAATTTACACGTCGTAGCTACTAGCGAAGTCCCGTAAAATTAGGTAGTGGTTAATATACAAGAAAACACGATAAAAATAAAAGTACCTTGCTTGGGAGTACAAGTATTAATCTCATATAACAACTATCTATAACCATACATAAAAATACTATATATTCGATAATCTCCGGTGAAAATAACTAAATTCGGAACATAACAATATATCCCTAATACACTGAATATATTAATCTAATACATTCTTTGGTTAAGGCCACGTTAAGGCAATAAAAATCTAATCAATCATTGCGTAGTATTAAGTCACAAACTTACCAAAAAGGTTCCATGATAACATAAACTTTATGAAGATTGAAATTTTTCACAAGACTTAAAACTCATGTAAACATTGTCCAACGCGTACTAGCAACTATCCTAAAGAATCGAACAAAGTTGTCTGCGGACTTATCAATGAAGATTTGCCTAACGACGACATACATCAATTAATTTGTGTATGACAGTTTCTTGCTACTCATTGTAGCATTTCATTGGGCACATGATTAATCTATATATCTATACATATATAAAAGGAGATGTCCTGACGTACTGACTGACAGACAACGCACAACTGCTGGTCGTAGAAACTTGAAATTTGGAGGGAACATTCCCCTTAACACGTATTTTTGGAAATTCCATCCAGCAGAGGGTCAAAAAGGGTGAAGAGTTTGTATGAAACTTCTTTGTTTATGGACCTATGTCGATGAAAATTTGTATTTGGGTAGTTTATGACCCTAGAAAGGTAATAGGTTATATTTTATCCCGAAAACTAGCATTTAAAGGTATAAAAATGGGAGTGAAAGATTTTACGGGGAATCAAATTATTTTATCATAGCAACTACTGTTTACAATCTGATTTTCAAATGTTTAATTGTATAGTGCTGAAAATTTTTTAAATTTTAATGGATAAAAAATGTTCAAATTCAGGTTATTTTGTTTACGAAAGAATAATTATTTTTATATTATACATGTGAGAACTACACTAGATGGGGTTAAATTAATTATAAATCGCAGATTTGTTTTTCCTACAAAATTTACCTAGAATAACTTTTCAGCCAGCTGATGGCGAGTATATTCTAAATCGCGCTATTATTTTAATCAAAGAACTTTGCGCAGGCTTTAAATCAAAAACATTAAAATGTTTCTCAAGTTTAGATTAAAGAATAACAAATTGCAATTATTTGTGTTTTTCGTTAAATCATTAATTAATTTATTGAGCATAAGTATTGCTAATTCTTAGGTCTAGGAAAAAAAATTTTTATTTAAATTAAATATATCGCGATATTTATTAATATTAGTTTTGTGAAAGTGAAAACAAAGCCTTAAGTGTTGATAATTGATCTTACCATGTAAATATAATCGCTTACATTCAAATAATCGTGCCAGACAAATATGTAACGACTATCTGTCGGAGAAGATAAAGACGAAAAACAAACAAAAATCTATCAAGAAAAGATATAATTGTGGACTGCTTCATCACAAACCGGGGAAGTACTTTTGTTCCATAATTTAGTAAAAAAATATACTGCTGATACTTCATTATATTTCCTTGTATGAGTTTTATGTGTGGCATTTTGGTTTCTCGATACCTTAATTTTCAAATCATTACTCTTATCAAAACTCACGAATAGTGAGTAACGTCACAAAACATAACAATTTGGTACTGTTAACCTCTCTTTACTTGACATAAAGTGGAAGTAAAGTTGATGGTAACCGAGTTGCCACAGACATTCATTATTGCTACTCTTTACAAACATTACTCTTGTACAAATAAACAATAACATTAACACAGCTGAGAAACTTATTTTCTGCATTAATTGTTTCATATATAAAGCTTAATGTCCATTAGGTATATTATTATTGCATTAACTTTTAATAAAAATTAATTGATAAAGAAATCACTTATTGTTTATGATTCAGATTAATAAAAGAACTAAGATTATATTATGTTACATCTCTTTGACTCTAGTGTATGGACAAGACACTGCTGTAGATGTTAATATTGTAGAAATAAATGTAGCTTAAATTAAAAATGAAAAAGTAATTGTATGGGAGGGGGTGCACATTATAATAAATTATTTAAGATTATTGATGAAGTATTATTATCATTATAATTGGTGATTGGTTATAAAGTGAAACCTTTTCTTATAAACTCTTATTGAACAAAAATAATTAGGATATTTTATTATTCATCTACCCACCTATTGAATATTATTATATTTAAAATCAATATTTCATCATTAATGATTATTTAGGTGCTTAAATAGGAGAAAATAATATATTTTGAAACTTATTAACTTTCCAATTCTCGCATTGATTCTGCTTTGTTTCTATTTTTTTTAGGAAATTTGATTCAATATGTTGACCCGTAAGGCTGCTGCACAAAATACAGAAATGCAGTTAAGGCAAGCACTACAGGAGCTAAAGGATTCAAAGGACACATGTCACCAGTTACTACAGGAACGAGATGAAAGTGAAGAAGAAATCAAACGTATTATTGGTCGGAACTCACAACTGAAGAGTGAGCTTGGTGAACTGCATACTGAGCATATAGAAGTAATGCATCAAAGGGACCATTTTAAGGATGCACTCAGTACTCTCAAAGAAGAATTAAATACTCATGAGAGGGTACTCAACCGCATCACAGAACTGGAACAGGAGCTCAACTTGGCCAATAATAAAATAGAACTACTGCTCGAACAACAAAAAGAACATGAAGCAGAATACACCCAAAGTCTTTTTGAAGAACTGGTAGCATCACCTGGAGGTCAGTCGATGAGGCATCAACTAACAGCCTGTGATATACACTCTAAGAGTCAGATCAATTTTAATTTAAGTACTAGGAAACTTAAGAAATATATTAAAATTGGAAAAGTTATCCAGAAAACTGAGAGATTGATAAAGAAGAATAATTGTTTTTATAAAAATATTGCCTTGAGGAAACAACGCAGTAGTCTGATGGATTCTTTGGAGATATATAGTGATAAATTATGTGAAAGTCGGCAGATGTATGACCGGGATACAAAAAAATTTCAATTTGAAATAAAAAAATTACATGAATCAATAGAATTAATACAAAATAAATATTTAGTTGCACAGTCTCAGATTGATGAGCATATTAGGTCTGCCACAGAGTTGGTTAACCTATGCAATTACAATGCTGACCGTTACCATTCACTGTTAAATAATAAACAATTAATTAACAAAACAAATAACAGCTTTAGTAACAATAACAATAATAATATTCAGAAACAATTTATAAATACAGTTACACAGAAACCCTGTCAGTCATCTGCCCACCAGTCACAACTGTTTACTCAGGTACCTGTTCAGTCATCTGTTACTGATGACTGCTCCCCATCACAATTTTCCCAACGTCACAGAATAAATTCACAAAATTATAAAAATAATATTTTAATGTTCAGTGATGAAATTGGCAGAAACATGGGCCGTCTGCTATTCGATAAGGGCCATTCAACATTAAACTTCTGTATGCCTAATTCCTCTTTTAGTGATATTTTGGAAAAAGCAATTAAACAAAACTACAGCGAAAATACCACTTTATTGTTTTTTATTGGCAATAGAGGTACTTTGAACAAACATAAATTATTGAAATATATAAACGAATTAAATACATTAAGTGTTGGGAAAGTCGTGATTTTTACGTTGCCGTATTGCAATAGTTTGTCCAATGAAGAAAATAATTTGCGATACAAATTGAATATGACATTGCACACTATATGCAATACTGCAAAGTTTCATGTCATTGACACTAACAAGTATGTTAGAAAATTTTATTTGACTAAAGATAAATATTATCTTTCCAATTATTATAAGAGACAAATAGCTATTTCGCTATCATATTTTTTTTCTATAACAGCCAAAAATTTGGCTAACCAGAGTGCTCCTATTGAGCACTCTTCTATTGACATGACTGTCAGTAATAATCCTACTGACATTGCGACAAATTCGTCTTTAAATTAGATACTAAGACAACAGAGGATTCCTCTTGCTTGCTATTGAATAGTCAAAGTAATAATGGAACCAAGAGTTTTTCAGTCATCAACCTAGTGCACCAAAATGTTCAAGGAATGTTGAGCAAAGAGTTAGAAGTGGAATTATTCATGAACTGTAACAATGTTGATTTTTTCTGTATTACGGAACATTGGTTAACAAGTTATAATTGCATTTTTAACTTCAATAATCACCTGGTTGGTAGCGCGTTCATTAGGAAAAACGCAATGCGTGGTGGCGCACTAATTTTATTAAATAAAAAGTTTAAATTTAAAGAACGTAGAGATATAGTGAGCCTATCGGTTGAGGAAATAATAGAGATTGCCTGTATAGAGCTGGACCAGCTGATTGTACTGAGCGTATATAGACCTCCTTCAAGTTTAGTTTCTCATTATGATCTCTTTGAAACTGTTATGGATGAAGCATTAAAAAAGGTATATAGCAAAGGCAAACGATTAGTGATTGGGGGTGATTTTAACGTTGATTTATTAGGAAACTCCAATTCATGTACAAGACTTGTAAATCTATTTATGTCCTATAATCTTGCGCACATGTTTAAGGAGCCTACTAGAGTAACTGCTACTTCGTCCACATGTATTGACAACATTTTTACAGATCTAGTACCACTTTCAAGACAGATAATTAAACAACTACCGTCAGATCATTTTGGACAACTAGTTAGCTTTCCGCATAAATGTACGTTTGTGGCTAGGAGAGACATTACAGTTGTGTCAAAAAGTATGAGTCGCTTGGAACGTTTTAAAAATCAATTAGATAGTAAATTGTATCATTTGAAACATAATAGTAATCCCAATGATTTGTACAAAGATTTCTTTGATGTTTATTGTACAGAATTCAATAAGATTTTTGTCCCAAAAAAAATAAGTATTAGTAATCCTATAACTTTTAGTGTGTGGGCTACACCAGGAATCTACAAAAGCAGAAAAAGGCTCTATGAACTATATGATGAACGTAATTATAACACAAGTGAGGACTTCAAAGAATATGTACGAAATTACTCTAAATTATTTAAAAAAGTGTGTCGTTTAGCCAAATGTAATTATTTAAATGCAAAAATTGAAAATAGTAAAGACAAAGTTAAAATGACGTGGAATATCATAAATAGTGAAACTGGAAGAGAAAAATCCCGGAATATAAATTTTAATTTAAACATTGATAATAAAAAAGTAACATCAGATCTTGAAGTTGCTACAGTATTTGAAAATTTATTTACTGAAATTCCAGTCTTAATTACACAATCTTTGAATTCCTCTTCCACTGTTGCTGAATCTATTTTAAAGGCAAGTTTAAATAATTCTAATAGCCAATTTAAGTTTCAACACATTGATTTTAAAGATATAATAAAATCTTTTAATCAGCTAAAGAAAACGAAAACTGCTGATTTATGGGGTAATTCCATTGAAGTTTCTAAATCGGTAATTGAGACAATAGCTCCAATCTTAGCTTATATATTTAATGAATGTACTGATTGTGGTATTTTTCCTGAGCTCATGAAATATAGTAAAATTATTCCTTTACATAAATCGGGTAGCACATCTGACCCTACTAACTTTAGACCTATATCCGTGCTACCTACGTTTAGTAAGATTTTTGAAAAAATCATGCTGGATCAAATACAAACGTACTTTTACAAGAATAAGCTTATGAATCGACAACAATTTGGTTTTACAAGGGGTCGCTCGACAACCGAAGCCGGTGTCGAGTTAATACAAGAAATTTTTAATGCCTGGGAGGATTCACATGATGCGTTAGGTGTTTTCTGTGACCTATCTAAGGCATTTGATTGTGTTTTTCATGAAACATTGATTAGGAAACTGCATTTTTATGGATTTAGAGATAACTCATTGGATTTTATTGTCTCATACTTGACTGACAGAGTACAGAGGGTTGATATCAATGGCAAAAGATCCCCTGGATCGAAAATTAAGATGGGCGTTCCGCAGGGCTCAATACTTGGTCCTTTCTTGTTTTTGATTTACATAAATGACTTGCCTTATTTCGTAAGGGATGATCACGAAATAGTTTTGTTTGCGGATGACACTTCACTCTTGTTTAAAATTAAAAGAGGGTTACCTCTAAATGACGATGTGAACAATTCTATCGCTAAAGTAGTACATTGGTTTAATGTAAATAATCTTCTCCTTAATGAAGGAAAAACAAAATGCTTAAAATTTGTACTACCTAATGTTAAAAAAGTAGATATAAATGTTAATGTAAAAGATAAGAACATGGGCCTTGTGGATACCACAGTATTTTTAGGAATAACATTAGATTCTAAACTACAGTGGGGCCCACATATTGATAGATTGTCGAGTAGACTTAGCTCTGCAGCATATGCCGTAATGAAGATACGTAGGTTAACTGACATAGATACTGCCAGATTAGTATACTTCAGTTACTTTCATAGTGTTATGTCATACGGTATCCTATTGTGGGGAAATGCTGCCGACATACAAACAATTTTTGTGCTTCAGAAAAGAGCAATTCGATCAATTTATAATCTTAGGATTAGGGACTCTTTAAGGGAGAAATTTAAGGAAATAGACATTATGACTGTTGCTTCTCAATACATATACGAGAACTTAATGTACGTTCGTAAAAATATTAGTTTGTTTTCTATTAAAAGTGATGTACACAATTTTAATACAAGAAATAAAAATAAATTAACGGTGCCTGTCACTAGACTGCAAAAAGTTAATAACTCTTTCAAGGGTCTTTGTGTGCGCTTCTACAATAAGGTCCCAAGCAAAATACAACAATTAGATATCATGCAGTTTAAATCTACTATTAAAAAAATACTTATTAAAAAAGCTTATTATAAGGTATCCGATTATGTAACAGATAAGAACGCTTGGACTTGAGATGATCCAGCAACTGGATAGGTGATTACTTCTAAACTCATTATCTTGTTTCCATTATTATTAAATGATTATGTTATTATTATAAGACCATAGTTTTTTTTTTATCTCTGTTTATAATGTATTGATCTGGTAATGACATGGTTTTTGTAAATGTCATTACTCATATTAGAGCTGGTGAGTTTCTTGCTCGTTCTTCTTATCAGCCAAAAGACGTCCTGAACGAGTGGTAGGGAAAAAATGTTGGACGATTCAAAAATACTTTTAAAAAGTCTATTTGAATAAAGATTATTTTGACTTTGACTTTGACTTAAACTAAGATTTTCAACTAAAAAATTGATAATTTTCACAAGTACTATTTTATTACATTTGTTCATTCATATAATGTCAGCACCTTAGTATAGGTTTCCAAGTATATATGTCGTGGCCAAATCGTAGAATTGACCAATTCATGATGCGGTCAAACATTTCATGAAACAGAAAAATTTTGCCCACATCATGATGTGGCGTGGCCAGATCAATGAATGGTTTGCGTTTAACGATATGGGCGGCTGATAGTATAACTTCTTCATGATGTGCCCAAGAATAAGTGATCATATCTTAAAATAGTCACGTAAGTCTCAATAAGAGGCGCTGATGTCGCATTATATTTGCGATTAATTATTTATTTATTTTAATTTTTAGGTTATACAACAAATTAAAGAACGTAATGTAACTAAGCAACAGAAAAAAAATATTTGATTAAGTTTAGTGAGATAAATGTAGGAGTGCAGTGCGAAGGTACAGCAGCAAAGGCTATTTCTATAGTTTTATATATGTCGCAGATTATGATAAAGATTTTTTTTCATAAAATCATCTAGGTATACGACATATTACGTAATGTAATAAGTCGTATATTGAAAAAAAAAATATGTTGCATTGTAAATAGAAATATTATTTCATCATCAGCCCTTTTAACTCCCTACTGCAAGGGCTCAGGCCTTCGTTATAGATGGTGGTAAGGAGGATGAGCCTTGAGCTTCCACGCTGGCCCAATGCAAATTGGAGGGTATTAATGACTGCAAATGCTTCCGGGCTTTACGCGCCTTCCGAAGCCCGGAGTAGCTCGAGATAATAATTTTTTGGTCACCTATCCCATGACTGACCTTTGCGAAAGTTGCTTAACTAGGCCACCGAGCTAAGTCAGAAAATATAACCGTCTTCAAACTTTAAAAAAGTGATAAATACTACTTATTTTAAAAGTGACTTAATTATTCAAGAAACTGCTATCAAAGCCGGGCCGAGGTTTTCTATTTATTAGATGATAACCAATCAATATGTAGGAGTTTCTTGAACAATTAAATCGCTTTTAATATAATATTATTTCTCACTTTTTTAAAGTTTCAATCCGTTTTCATTTTTGAAAAAATATTTTATTTCATGATTTTTTTATGATATTGATATTTTGTATATAGATAACATTAAAAATATTAAATAGGTATGTATATATAAAAAAAAATATGTCGGCAAATAAACAAAATCTCCTTTCTAAAGACGTGCACTATGTCTTTAGAAAGGAGATTTTGTTTATTTGCTCGACATATTATTTTTGAATACCTACCACAGACGAATAAGTCTATACTAATATAAGAAAGAGGAAAAATTTTATCTTTTGTTTATTTGCATTGAAAAGGCTCCGGAAGTCTTTGACCGCTTTAAGTCCGCAGTCTAATAAGAAATAGTTTTAAAAATCTGTAAACGTTCGCAAAAAAGTCGGTGTCCATACATAGAAAAAAAAGCAATTTAAAAAAAATATCGTAATAACGAGAAACATCTGAAAAGAGAGAAATAACACCACACATTTTTATCATAAATAAAATCAAAACATAAAAAGTGGATACACCACTTTTTTTTGAGGTCAGTGCCAACCATGCGAGAAAATGTGTCATTGCTTAACTATATTTTCTTACCATACAGTGTTGTTTTTTATAAATATCTAGCAATGACCTTAAAACAAAAAGTCACCTGTCGATAATAATGAAATAAATACACAAAAAATATTATCATTAACACTAATAGGTCAATTCTGCAAGTAAACAAAACATTTCTGCTAATTTTTTTATGATAACAACTACAGTTAGATTAGGACTCATAATATTGATAGTGCAATACTGCATAACTGACTCTTGCAATTTATAGCAAATTATAATTTAATACCCTTTATTGCAACCAAAAAAATACAAAGTTTATATAAACAAATGGTGGCCTTATTGCTAAACAGCAATCTCTTCCAAGCACACCATAGTTTATTATGAAAATGAATAACGAATTGAAATACTTTTTATCGTTGACTATAAAGCAACATTATATTGTGTTAATAAATATTATTTATACTAAGATTATAAAAACGTAATTTCCAACTTGTCCGTAGAGGGCAAATCTTCGGAAGTACTGATTGGTTCATGAAAATTTACCCGGACGAAGTCGTAGAAAAACAACTGGTATTGAATATCATTAGCATATCATTTATTTATATGGTTGTTTATTTTTTAAACAGCATAGAATGATGCACAAAATTTGACAAGAGTGGGGAAATTCCAAAAATGTCATTAAACAAGCAATATTTTTGTTTGTATGTACGTACCTTTAAAAGTTTTTTTATATATTAAATGATATATATTTGTAAATTTTATCAACAGTTGATAAAAAGAAATGCCTGATTTGTAGGCAATTTGTCATTTTCAAATATTTCCCGCTTCGATATTACCTCAGATATATATATTCCTTAATATTAATACCTCTTTTGTTCTAACTTAATGAAAATTAGGCATTATTTAACTTCGGGGGCTATACATGGAGTAGTCCCTGCTAGATCTTACGTCTTTCCCCAAAAGTGAAGGTGCGTATCAGAGCGAGTTTAGTGGGTATGCCATCCAGGTTTTGACTAGCTTTCAAGCGAGTCTATGTGGATGAAGAGTCCCATACATCCCCTGTTGCCTGTCAAGCGGCAGGGGACAGTGCATAATGCATTCCCTCTACGCCAAAAAAAATAATTTCTTAGCTGAATTGAGAACTGCCACAGTGGGCGGGAATATAGAGAGAAGAACCGATACCCGTTGGGGCGGAAAGGTTCCGAGCGTTTAGTGTATTTTTTTAACGTTTACGTTCACTGTCAATCGAAGGTGCGTTAATATTTTACAATGGAATCCGGTACAGCGTCCCTAGCGGCAACTACCAGGAACTACAAATCTTTAACCTTAAAATTTAAACTTACACATATCCAACACTTATCACTCTGGTATGATGATCACGTACCGGACGTCGTCACTCAGTTGGCAGGCAAACCCCCAACAGATAAAGGGAAACGGATGGCGTGGGGATGCGGGCAGCATAAGAACAATCGAGGAGACCTACGGGAGATACCTATGCCCAGCAGTGGACGTCGTACGACTAACGATGATGAATTAAAGTTATTTTAAACAAAAATTAAATGCATAGAGAAACAATTTTTTCTACTAGGATAATATTATGTGACGCTTTCGTCAGCGTCTCGAGTCAGTACCTAGGAAAATTATCATTACTACTGTATCAAAGGTAGTGCAAGTTTGTAACCCTGAAACTAGTAAGTTTGATTTAAACTTGCTGCAAGTTGCCATGTTATCTGGGGTAGGTGGTCCAACAGTTAGCCACTTGTATACAGTTATCCACTTTCATTTTTCTCAAAGGAAATATTATCAATTCGATATGCATATAATATACAAATCCTTATTATAATATCCAAAAATGATGATTCAAACATAAAAGACAAAAAAAACTTTAGATTTTGGCGCCATTAAAAAGTGTAGTTTTAAATATTTACCTTATTAAAAAACTTTCCATGTCGAAAACTTAAAATTTACTTTGCATCCATATTCAAACGCAACATAATCTATTATAACGCAACATAATTATTTATAAGAAAAGTATACTATATACTAAATATAACTTATTTGACTAATGTATGTAAAGCTTGATAATTATAATATTATTAATAATATTTGTATTTTGTGATCTAATAAATAAAACAACAACACTTGCATCAAAGCATTTCTAAACAAAAAATAAATTGCCATTGCAAATAATTATACGTTTCTTTTCACAAGAACAAATCTGTCGCTCCATAATACGTTTTAAAATATTTATTTATCCAAAGATTTCATCGTTCTATTCGTGCGTAGAACGAAACGTTAATAATTGGACTGTCTTTGATCGTCAACGTGAACAAGTTGAATTATTTACACAATTCTTCAGATTTATAGAAATAATTTAGCAAAGCGTTCATATTAATACAAACAAGGTAATAAAAATCCTTTGATTTTTTTAATCTAGTCATCAATTAGACATTGTTCTCTTTTATGTTTAGGTTATAATAGTGAAAAATATTTCAGATGCCGTTGTCCTGTAGATTTTACCAGGAAAAATATCCTGAAGTCGAAGATGTGGTAATGGTTAATGTCCGATCAATAGCAGAGATGGGCGCGTACGTTCATCTTTTAGAATACAATAACATTGAAGGCATGATATTACTTTCTGAGTTGTCAAGAAGACGTATTAGGTCCATCAACAAATTGATCAGAGTCGGCAAAACTGAACCTGTAGTAGTCATCAGAGTGGATAAAGAAAAAGGTAACAAATACATAAATGAAAATGTATTTTCATTAATCCATCCTTTTTCCAAGCTTCACTTTTTAGTGTTTTTAATGTCCTGAAATGTCAGAGAGTCTTTAAATAGTGATCTATGTTTTTAAGTAGCATTCTGGGTTTTAAAAATGCCCAAATATGGTGATGAATTTATACTAAGTACCCATTTACAGAATTGGAAGTTGGGGTTGGCCTACCTATCTTAGAAGTCAATCATATTGTGTTTTCAAACTAGACTTGAATAGAAAGAAAAAATACTCCAGTTCAAACATTCACAGGGCTTACCTGATAGACTGAATTATCATGTCAAATTGAACCTATTTATAATTAGCAAAATTATGTAATCTTTATGTAAATAACTAAATGTTGTCCCCTTGATGTTATGAATACTTTCATATTTTTTGTGTTAGTTTCCCTTCATCTTGATGTCAGGTTTTTACCTTGAATCTACACCAAGTGCCTGTGCTGTTATATCATTTTGCCAGGAATTCTCAACTAAGGATGTTAACAGAAACTCAAAGCACATGTCAGTTGTGGTTAGAGTAAGATTGTTATACTGAATGTGAATTATTATTAATTTACAGGTTACATTGATTTATCGAAACGTCGTGTCTCTGCTGAAGACGTTGAAAAATGCACAGAGAGATATGCAAAGGCTAAAGCGGTTAACTCTATCCTTCGTCATGTTGCTGAACTCCTACACTATGAGAGCTCAGAACAGCTAGAGGAACTCTACAAACAAACAGCTTGGCATTTTGAGGAGAAATATAAAAAGAAGGCTTCAGCATATGATTTCTTTAAACAGGCTGCAATGTGTGTATATTTTAATTCATATTTAGTATCAGCCCAATCATTCTTTACAAAATCTATTTGTATTGTAAAGGAGAATGGGCAGAAGTCGGCTAAAATTATGCAAAATTGCACACTAAGCATTTATTTATCAAAAAATTTCTCCCTATTTATAATTTATTCTATACAAATAGTATTTTAAAATTACGCAGCATTTAAAATTAACTCAATTGAAGCAATTGCTTAATATAACTATGACTACCTACTAAGTTTCAAGTTATTAATCAACTTGACGTGCGAACATTTTGTTTTTTTTAATCAGCCAAGTGTTTTTGACTTTATTCTTTACAATAAAAAAGCAAAGCATTCGTTTTAATAACATAGGTATGTACTTTTTCACAGTTAAATGTTTCTATCTGTTAGTCATCAATTATTTGAAATAAATAATTAATTTTATTGCTCTTATATACGTAGATATTATAACAACATAACCTCAAAATCCTTGTTAAATATTCAGATATTCTCCAACTCCGGCATAAATTTAAAATGATTTTTTTCCTACTCATTCTAATAATAATTCTCTATCATTTGCCTTTAGTTTCAACAAGGTGCACAGTTACGCAAAAATAGCCGAACTCTCATAGTAAATTGCCCATTCTCCTTTCTCTTATTTTTATAAATGTTAAACATCATTCACAGTGAAGTAAGCAAGGAGTAAAATAATAGATATCATAGTAGAAATTTAATATTTTTTTGAATTTTAATTGAGAAAAGAATAATTATACATCATTGATGAATATTCATCATATATAAAAAGGAAAGGAGTCATTCATTTCCAAAAGACAAAATGTCCAATAAAGTTTCTCTGTGTAAAAATACTAGTGCTACCATATATGCTGAGCTTTTCAATGAAGATCTTCAAAACTCTTTGATGAATCATGTGAATAATCATTATTATTAATTATTTGTGTTTAATCCACAGCGATCCATCAGTATTAAATGAATGCGGTCTAGATGAGCAGACAAAGGAAGTCCTATTGGCTAATATCAAGAGGAAACTCACATCACAGGCTGTGAAGATCCGAGCAGATATTGAATGTGCCTGTTACGGTTACGAGGGTATTGACGCAGTCAGGGCAGCACTGAAATCTGGCCTTGCACTATCCACAACTGAAATGCCTATTAAAATTAATCTTATTGCGCCACCTTTATATGGTAAGGTTATTTTTTATGTCTATCTATCTATGTTAATTAAATTTATATAAAGTATTCACAAATATGATTGAGTGACTATCTTCCAAATCTTTAGGCACTACACAAACATAAAAACTTAATTACTTACTGCATAAATCATAATACTGTGTCCCACATAAGCAAAATCAGATGCATTGGCGATTTTACAATGTTGTTAATAATATCAAGTGATGATTTTAATGCACACAGAGTTTCTACATCAGTTTTCATTATGATTATATAATGAATATTTAAAAAAAGTGCCATCTCGGTCTCAGAAGCCGGAGATTTGTATGTATGCAAATTTAATATCCTTTATTCAGTTTATGTCTGTTGCAAAATAAAACTCAAAAAGTTAAGAAAAAAAAATTTTTAAATTTTTCGATGGAAAAGATCACTCATTCTCAAAATAAAACTAGATGTTGCTACGGTATTTTCTTGATTTCTCCATGACAATCCTTCTGGTTTTCTTTCATGTATAAAAATAAATTAATTTTCAAAACAACACATACCTATATTGTATTTGTACTTTTTCGAATTTTTATGTATATATAAGTTTCGAACTTTGCAAATTTCAGTTTTTTATGTAAAAGGAACTGAAATGACATTCTTTTGTCCATTGATTTCCTACAAAAATCAACTTTTGGTAGAGTCGCCGTCTAGTGAGGTGCATTTTAGTGCTTTCTTTTTTTTCTTAAAATACTTCCTCATTAGATTCATAAATATTAACATTAAATGATAATAGGTATTAGTAGCTCGGTGGCGTAATGGATTAGCGCCGCGGCCCGTGATCGTAGTCGTTAAGCAACTTTCGCAAGGGTCGGTCACGGGATGGGTGACCAAAAAATTAGTATCTCGAGCTACTCCGTGCTTCGGAAGGCACTTTAAGCCGTTGGTCCCGGCTGCATTTGCAGTCGTTAATACCCTCCAATCCGCATTGGGCCAGCGTGGAGAGTCATGGCTCATCCTCCTTAACCATCCATAAGGAAGGCCTGAGCCCCTGCAGTGGGGACGTAAAAGGGCTGATGATGATGATGATGATGAGGTATTAAACAACATCACTTGTGTTGCTCTGATTCCAAGATGATAAGCCACCACATTATGGAGTATCAGATGTCTGGGTGTTGTGAACACTATACCCAGATCTGAACACTATAGATTTTCTAAATTAACCTGACTGGGAATCGAAGCCGGGACCTCAGAGATAGAGACACTTTGAACTTTGAAACAGATGAATAGGAACTGTCTTTTATCTTTACGCCCAACCTTCATATAAATTACTCCATACAAAATTAAGCCATTATTAACTGAATTGTCTAAAACAAAATCCATCAACAAAGTTCCATCTTAAAATTTTTGGAACCAACTAAGCGTAATAACAATGTTTTTCTTCCAGTAATGACTACATCAACGCCAGAGAAAGCAGATGGTCTAAAAACGTTACAAGATGCTATAGACAAAATTAAAGAGACTATTCTAGCTTCTGGTGGTGTCTTCAATATCCAAATGGCGGTAAGTTCAAAATGACATATACTATAAAAAATTTGGAAACAGATACAACTGATGTGGCTCTCTCAATGACATTACAATAAAAGATGTAGATAGTTTACTTGCATTCTAAAAGTGCTGAGACGAGTGTAGACACTAAACGAAAACAAAAACATTATAATTTTTTTTTGTTAGTTTTTATACTATTACTGATGATCACACTTTTATGTTTATAATATATGAAATGTTGCTTAAAACAAAATAAATATTTTTTACTTGTTATAAAAAAATTATATGTATTTATTTTTGTTTAATGTCTACACCCGTATTGGATTTTTTCAGCCCAAAGTGGTTACCGCGACGGACGAAGCGGAGTTGGCGCGACAGATGGAGCGAGCGGAGGCGGAGAACGCAGAAGTCGCGGGTGACTCCGCCGAGGAAGATGAGGACCAAGGTAAATATATGTCTATATCAGTGGTTCTAAATCTTTAAAATCTTAAAAAATCCACCAGGCATCGCCTGCAAATCTGTAATAATCCAGATCCAAATTCAAGTCATTTAGTATAGAAAGTATTGATTACATTTTTTGTATAAAAATACAAAACATAATTGATTGAATATACTTGTCTTAGATATTATTCTTATATATCATGTCTCACTCCAGTTATACCACAAAACATTATTATCTGCTATTTGAAGTGAATTCATACACCAGAGTGAATTCGAAATCGTGTTTGGATTTTTAGAGAATCGCAGGGCTGGACCCAGAGATGGGATCCGAACCAACTTTCCTTAATGTTTAGAGCAGTTGCCCGGATTCGACCTCCACAATTCGGGCGACTGCTCTAACCACTGAGCTACCCATGACCCAACAGGACTGACGAGTTTTTCAAACACTTATTACTTTTCGCTACTGGTTTGCGTACTTCCATCAATTTTCAGGCAATCACCCAACAGCCGAAAGATATATCTTGACATATATTTTAAAATTTCGATTAAGATGAAAATTCGTTCTTATTTAGTTTTTTTTTACAAATAAACCAGTATTTGAATGACTTAACAACTTTTAATAGTGAGAATACTATTTTATTAGATATTAACTGTTCATTCAAATTCTCGTCAGTTGGTAAAAAATATCTGCTTAAGTTATGCCATTTTCTCAATTACTTCTCGACTATAGATACGGTTGTATGACTCCGCTGTCCATCTGTCACCAGGTTGTATCTCAAGAACCGATGATAGTTACACAGTTGAATAACAAATGATGTACTTTTGTTGCCACTATAACAAGGAATTGTAAAATGCAGTTTAAAATAATTCAAGGGGGTATAGACAACAAACGTGATTTTTTGGCGTTATTTCATAGATAATTGTACGGAACCTTTCGTGCCCGTTTCCGACTTGCAATTGGCTAGTTTTTCTTTTTATTGATTTTAATGGTTTCTTGTTTGTTCTATTAAAGGTATGGGTGATGCTGGAGTGGACGAGCCTCAACAGAACGGTGCATCGGACGATGAGGACGATTAATGAATATCTATAATACATACCGAATGTAACTACGTGTTAATACATACTTTAATATACACATGTTTTATACAAACAAAGCGTTTCATTTTATTTTCTTTGCGATGCGAAAGTTAAGCAACTTTCGGAACGGCCTGTCATAAGATGGGTGATCAAAAATTACATTAAATAGCTCGAACCTCCGTGCTTTGGAAGGCACATTAGGCCGTTAGCCCTGGCTGCATCAGCTGTCGTTAACACCTACCAATCCGGACTGATGCCACATATAAGTTCATTTAATATCGTACATGCTGTTATGAGCTAAATTTCTTGCATCATTCCGCGGTGGGCAGCGGTAATTCTTTACAGACCCTCTAAACTTTTCAAAAACAAATTAATTGATAAAATATCTTAACATATTTTATCAAGAAGGCTCATCGCAGAGTACTGGTGAATTTTTTAAGCAATTTTTCATGAAGAACTTAATATTACTTCTTTAGATAATCATATATTAAACTGCTTTGCAATGGTCGCGCATACTACTACTACTGCGTAGTCGCCATTTTGGTTCAACTTACGCGACTCTCATAAGATTTTTAACGATATTGCTTAAAGCGGTCCTTAGACGATCATGCGGCATGGCATATATTAACGTGCTATCATGCGTTTATATTGCCTGATGCGAATGGCATGGAAACTCATATCAATCATTAAAATAGCACGATCATACAAGGCAGCCTGTAACGCATATCATAGCCCACGATTGTCTAAAGTAAAAAAAGTTTATGTCAACAATGCCCTATCAAACACTTACACAGTGCCGGTTTTAGCACTACTAGCGCCCTGGGCGAAATTTCTTCGGCGCCCCCTTACTGCAATTCAATTACTACTACATACTACAGATCAGTTACTAGTCTTTTTTTCACCGACCCGGCCTACTTACTTGTAATTTTCCCTAAATTTAGGTAGATTGTTAAGTTGGCAGCATTAGAATGGAACGTAGTGTTCAATCGGTTTAATTTCTCGGGAATCCCCGACTTTCCGACCATACAGAAACAATGTGTTTTTCTATAATCGGGGATTCCCGAGATCTATCTCTTTTAATTTTTGACGAAGCAGAACACAATCAACAATCATCTTCATGCTTGTCATAAGTGGACGCTCTTAAAACAATTATTCGATTATTTTAAAACAAACAAACACAGTAATCAAACGTTTAACGCTACGTTATGATGCTCTTGTTCCAACTATAGAGTGACATTAGTTTTATTTAAAAAATAGACACATAAATAGTGTATAAGTAGCTGTTTCATTTTTGACGGATCACATCATTAGGTAGTACAGATTAATTTTTTCTATCTATACTACACATTCCCTAATACTTAAAGTATATAAGATGTTAAAATAGCAGGTTAATTATTGAAATTGGGTCCAGACTCTTTACCCGTGTAACACCCTAACAGGGTGTCACATAATTGTTATGTATAACTTTGTGTAATTGTTGTAACTTTTTGACTGTTTGCAGTGGGCCATTACTTATTATATGATAAATTATTTTGCTATTGCGAATAAGTGGCCAAGTAGCGGTAACAGTATCAACATCATCTAGTACATGTATTTGTTGTACATCAATAACAGATTTATCCTGATCAGCATCTGTAATCGTAGCACTACTTGCTCCCTCACTTCGGGATTTTTCATCCACAATCTCTTGAGTAGTTATTCCATCTGACTTGCCAGACAGAGGCTCCACTGCCGATGAATTCGTTTGTATTGCAGCATTTTAGCTTCAGCTTAACGTTTAAACATGCTCAAACGAAAATTTTCTTAAATGACCGAGCGATAATGCCCACCAATGTACTACGTCATCTTACCTAATAAAATACATATCTTGATATTGGTAATCGGTATGTTGTTCTGTTTTACCATAATATAATATTTTTCTTGTTAAGTTTCCTTTCAATTCATGCTGAAAGTGAGGCAACTTGAAAACAAAAAAACATCCTCACGGTTCTTGTGTTTTTTCGCCGACCCAGTAGGCCTTATTTAATGAGCGAGGGAACTATATATATATCACAGATCACTAAATATGTAGCAAGCATATATATATAATCTTTGTCTGTGGGAAATGAGGAAGTATTAGAAAAAAAAACATTAGTTCCCGAAATCAAACTAGATGTCGCTACGGTACGTTCTTGCTTTCTCCATGACAACCCTTCCAGTTTTCTTCATGTTTAAAAGTAAATTAGTTTTCAAAATTCAATTAACAACTCATATTCTATTTGTACTTTTTCGTATTTGTATTGATATCTAAGTTTCGAACATTTCAAATTTCAGTTTTTTAATATGTTACTTGGAAGGAACGGAAATGACTGTCTTTGTTCCATTCGTTTCTTGCAAAAATCAACTTTTGCTAGAGTCTCCATCTAGAGGAGGTACTTTTGTAGTGCTTTCATTTTTTTAAATATTTCCTCATTATACAGAATCAGAAATAAGCGCCGGACGAAAAAAGGGCGCCGCGGCCTTCGGCGCCCCTTTTGGTCCGGCGCCCCTGGGCGGTCGCCCAACCGCGCCCTACCCTAACGCCGCTACTGCACTTACAGCTAGTTGCAAAAACGTCCATTAAAACTTTCATTAGTTTACAGCGACATTACCCATACAAATTTGAAATTCATTAGAACTTAAAGGCGTCATTAAACCTTAATGGACGTTTGTGCAACTGACCGTTAGTCAATCAGAATATAAGTGACCCTGGAATCTTACAAACACCACATCGCGTTCTACTTGAGGGGATAGTCATATATTCACAATAGATCAATAGATGTCACTAGTTTTGTCACGATTATATTTGGCGTATATTATCTTTAAACTTTTGTATAGCTGATCTTTGTAATGTAACTAGCTTTCTGCCAGTAGTATGCCAGGTGAGACTGTCAGTCTCACCTGTTGAGTACTATATTTTAAGTAATTAATGAAAACCGTATTAAAATCCATTGCGTAATTTAAATCTCAGCGTAGACAGCGGAAGCGACTTCGCTTTATAATATGGATAGATAAATCATTGCATTATATTAAAACATGAACCAAACAAAAACTGTATGATTGATAAAAGAATATATACATTTCAATTCATTAATAAAATCCGTCTTCGATAAAATCAATAAATTATAGCGCCATCTTTTGCCACACAGACAAAACTTATGAAACTCATTGCAACCTAATAAAGTAGTCGCAAAAAGAAATTCAACAATTCACACTGCATTTATTCGACAGAATTATAAATTAGATAACAATATAATACATCAATTCAGTAAAATTATAATATCTTTTGGTTAAATAACGAATAAAATTACATCTTGTTGAATTGATATAACATTATTTAATTAATTCAATGAATTCGACTATTTACATAGTATACACTATATAATATAAATATTACAACTTAAACCATATGGCAGTGTTCGTTGATAAGCCAAGTAGAAGTTAATGTAAACTAGTTAGAAGTCCGAATTATATAACAATAAATTTTGCAAACGTTTCGTCTTTGAAAGTTGACTTTTTATTTTAACAAAATTATCTTGGTTCTTGTATTAAATGAAACGAGGGCGGCCATGACGGCGCATCGTGTAACGTCACATTTCAATAAACTTAATCTCAACGTCTTTGTTGCGATCGCATCCAGCACATGAGCTTAATAAAATGTGACGTCACGACTTGAAATACTACGTGACTGATTGATTTCGCAGTACAATTTATATGAGTGAATAAAAATATGTTGTTCTTTTTTTAATAAAAACTTTTCCGAATACGTTCCGCTTCCGTTTCAAATATAGGTAGACTATAGCATTTATTCGAACTTATTAAGTTGTAATATGTCATTGGTCTATTATATATTAGGCAACTATCATAGTTTTTTGCCATTTATTCTATTCAATTTACTTCTATGTAATTTATCGAAAAATAACAAACCAGCTGCGCGCTCTATAGTCTCTGGTGGGACCTGTAATTAATAGAATAAAATGTAAATAACACAATCTCACTTTCAAAGAAAATCTGTCTGTCAAAGTCAAAGCTTTTCTCAAAAACTGACCTTTGAAGTACTGCGCTAACGCTAAAGCAAAATTCGAATTACGAATTCAAAGACGATTCTATACATGCGCACTTTATAAACGCACATACATAAAATTAAAAATAAAACTTAATAAAGTACCGCCAACTGTATCATAAAACTCATTATAGTACCGCTATATTTTTTATTCAGTAAACTAGTCTATGGTTTTAGGCTGAATATGAAAAAAAGGCGCACGCATGCACAGTTCGAACTGTGAAAAAAATGGCGCACGCAAAAATTACTTCCTTGTAACCTTCAAAAATTGAATTTCAATTTTTCCTATGAGTGAAGATAAAGTAGTGTATGCATATAACTTAGGTATTAAAACACTCGAGTCTTAAACTCGAGTTTTAAACAGACTCCTGTTTTAATATATGACAGTTGCATAAACTACTATTGTGAATTTTCCATTACACACTAATAACATTCATCGCTCTGTTCACGTCAATCTAATGTGACTTTCAGTTAGAGTGAAAAAGACAAAACACTGTAGGATACATTGTTTAGTGGTAAGGCCGTAAAACTTTAATGGGACGTAATTGTATTTTTTGCTCACCATGAAAGATGATACTGGTGTTTCTTCGGGTATTTTCTGGTTGGGCATTACGTAGGCCTCCATATCGAGACTACCGTCGGGTGCTTCGCCCACAACAACTTTGTAGAAATGCGTAGGTACCGCCACCGTATTCGCACCAATCACCTGATATTTAACGTAGCTCTTCCCATCTGATTCCTTTCTGCAATCAAAATATAATATATACTAAACTTATAGCCGGTGTCTGTATTGAGAAAAGTACAATTATCAACTGATTATTTTCAATAACGTAAGTTTTTTTTTTTTTTCTCAAGACAATAAGTCATAGTTATTATCAATCTGCTATCCACTGATCATTAAAAAAACTAAAATCAGAAATGAAAACCTGTTTAAGTGAAATTTAAGTACAGTTGGAGACGTACTTAACTTTAAATACTTAAATGGCGTAACTTTAGGATGGCAGAGCTGGCTAAATGCCACGGACCCCCGACCCAAGAGGCCGCTAGCTCAGAAATAATTTATAATTTTTTTTTAAGTTCTGCTTAAAATCCATTAAAGTGATACAACAATTTCAAGTTAGGCGTTAATTAAGCATTTCAACACATCCTTAATACAAAGATGTTGATCAATTTTAGAATGCATCCATTGGTTTCTACATTTTTTATCGCGGTACGTTAGCAGCGCTGGTGAGTAATGCCGATCGGGGAATTCCCTTATTTTATTACTCAAAAAAGTAAGAAACGTAAATCTCCATTTTGACGAGCTTTGCGAAGATGAGTGTCTCCAAGATCATGGTAATTTCCCCTCAAATGGATAATATAAAAATAAATCAGTCCCTAGTCCCCGGCAGCCCTATTATTCCTAGTTACGGTAGCGGCTACGGTAACGGTAGAAGAAGGGGTACGAAGAATCCCCGGGTAAGATCCGGCTACCATCTGTGACGGCTTGACCTGGCAACCCTTAACACGCAAACACTGAGGACTGACGCGAAGCTAACAGAGTTGGAAGAAATTGTCAGTAAGTTATTCTGGGACATTATCGGGTTATCTGAAGTCCGAAGAGAGGGGGAGCTCCCGACAATCCTTGATTCCGGTAACTTGCTATACTACTGGTTCGACAGTCCCTAGGTGGTATCGGGTTCATTATCCGCAAGTCCCTTGTAAACAACGTGATTACCATTGCAAGTGTGTCGACCAGGGTAGCACACCTGACGATATTCGTTGGCGCATCCCTGAAAGGGATTTCGTGTAAAAAATTTCGCTTGTTTGAAAAAACATTATGTTGGCTTTGACTTAAAAAGAAATTACATTTTTCGGGTCTGGTTTGAAAATATAATTACCTTGGCAAATATAAGGGGCCGGTACAACAGTACACGTTGTCGTAAACTTTAGTTAACTTCCTGACGTGCTTCTCCAATCTATTCCAGGCGTGTCTATTGAATCCTTCTCCAACCTGAAATTCAGTCGCACTATGTTTACATATTCTTTTGTTTCTTTTCATGAATGTTTTAGAAATTATCGCGACAATGACTGGATGCTTTGAAAAATTAGTGTCTAAGTGTTATAATTTTGTAACCACATATACGCCAGTAAGTAGCTTAATCGGTCATAAAAATCAAGGAGCATAATATTAAGATGAAGATGAAGAAGCCAGGGCCGGATTTAATGGGGCAATTGTGGTCAGAAATAATAAAATATCTATATAGATAGCTCAAGTCAATTGTGCGCGGACACTATGTTTGCATGATCTTGCATAGCTTTCATGTGTGTGACAGACGTTTCAATCATCGATTTTTTTTCTCTATTAGCTTCAGTCTTCGTCCGCGTAACATTGTTCATAACGTGAATTGCATGGGCACAGTCGTTATCAAAAATGTCTTGTTCTTCACGGAGAACATTATTTGACATGGAATCGGATTTCGTAATTAACCTTGATCAAGAACAGCGAATCTGATAATTGATCAGTCTATGTGTTATCTCGTCTAAGCACAAAAATACTCAAGATAGTAAATTTCTAGTGTGACAATCGCAGACTGCATAACGTTAATTAATACGCTATCAATCTCATCTTTCATTCTCAGCACAATAAATTCTATTTGACATACCTGTGGGGCAATATTTGTTAAAAAGAATGTCTGTTCAACATGCTTTTGTGCGATGCGATGGTTTCCAGCTGCCGCCATATGTCCTCGGTCAAAACCGGAACCTTTGTAGTCACTATTTTGAGATCTAGAATAATTTTATATAGTTTATAAGTAAATGATTTACTGACATAGATTTTTATATGTTTGGTGAAAATTTATGTGTACATTTCACTCCGATCTTATTGATCGATACAAGTCATGAGAATTAGCTATCCCATTATGATATCAGAATGAATACATTACAGAAAATTCCATATTTTAATCATTAATAGGTGTATATCAACTCCCACCAGTATAGTAGCGATTGTTGGTTATTCAATTAATGCTAAATTCAACAAGAGAAACATGCAGGAATGCTTGAGGTCTTCTGGTTGCATTTATTAATTTTGAATGAATGAATAATAATTTTATTTGTATACATACATATTAAATATTACATATTACACATGTCAGCAATTATACCTTGTGTGTTCATAAGTTTTGAGATGAAAATAGTTGCTAAAGCTTTCTTTTATAATTAGCTTATATTTCTAAAATTTTCAGTAACCATTAAATAGATAATAATCAACAGTAAAATACATATTTTATTCAAAATGACCGCCCTTGTTTTTAATACAGGCCCTTAGACGATTTGGCCAGTCATCAATGGCGGAACGAATCTTTTCAAGCGGAATACGCTTTGCTTCTCGAACAAGGGTTTGCTTCAGTGACTTTTTCAGTCCATAAAGAATAATCCAGCGGGTTGAGGTCGGGACTGGAGGTGACGCCACTCGTCCACCGCAATGAAGGCCGGCACATTCTCCCTCAACCAAGCTTGGGTGCTTTTTGCCTTATGGGATGGCGCCGAATCTTGCTGAAAACCCAATCCTTATTGTGAAATAACGTATCAGACAGGGGTTTCACCACGGGCTCTAAAATGTCACTCTGATAATTCTTGGCTTTCACCTTGACACCTCGTTGACAGAAATGGAGCGGAGTGACACTTTCATACGAAACTCCCCACCATACCATCACACTAGCTGAATGATGAGTGCGCAAGACATTCCATTTAGAAGCGTTGACATCCTTGCTAATTTTAGAGTATGCTTTATTGTTTTCTTAGTCAGTAAAAATTTTCTCGTCAGTGAAGAGTATCTTCCTGGCATCATGTCTCCTCAGCAGCAATGGACAACATTTGCGTCGTAACTTACGAAGACGATCGTTTATAAAGTGAACTTTTCTATGGCTATAAACCTTAAGAAAATATTTCAGTATTCTGTGTAGTGTAATACTGCAACGCGCGAAATATTAGTCTGCAAAGCGAATTTCTTCTGAGTGTGACATGGATTTCGGCAAAGTTAATCTCAGATGATTTTGATGTCCACAGGCGTCCTCAGAGAGAGTGGCCGACCACTCCTTTGACGATTTTGCAGAGAACTTGTCTCTTTGACCACTGTATTGTGTAATAAACGAAGTTATAGCTTACAGGAAAACTTTTCAGCTCGCAGAAAATCGGCCTCAGTGTCTTTTCCCATCTTCAATAGTGAAATGATAGTTGCACACACAGACTAAGAAGAAGATACTATATATTGCACATAATTGTTTATTTTCCCTCCATCACAATACAAATAAACTAAAAATTAACATTCCTAATTCAAAATCAGTAAAAAAAATAACAGCCAGTAACATTTTATTTCATTTTTCCAGTAAAAAGTTTGTCTCAAAATTTATGAACACAAGATAAAAGTTGAGTAAATACAAAGAAATATTAAATAAATTTAGTGAGGCAAGGTCAGAGTGAAAATTGGATCGTATGGACTTGTATGGATATTGTAGTTGGACTCTGCTATTCACAACTTACTTAAAAAATGGATGGATACTGTCATCTGGCATAAAATCACATTTGCTTCTGTCAACTTGATCATTTTTTGCTATATGAGCTTTTGTTATATGCTCAAACACCCAATGGGGGACTCTGTTACGACGGTCATAAGATAAAACAAAATCATCATAAGACCTTACATTGTCTAAACTAGGAAAACCATATTTCATTATTTGTGATATCTGAAAGATAAGAAAAAATACTATTAAAATACTAGATAAAACACTATTTTATTACTATAAATAATACTTAAAACTCCAAACCCTACTGAAGGCGACTTTACTTAAATGTCCTTCAAAACTTAACATTTCACAAACTTAATAAACTTTTATGCTGAAATAAAAACCTTGTTATAATATTTTCCTTTAAGTTAAATTAATAAAAACCATAGGAAAATATTTAAGGAAGTTTTGCATTAACGCAAATGTGATTTTACTTCATGCTTTTTAAATTATATAAGACTAAAAATCTACTTACTCTATCTTTTGTAGTACCACTGTCAGTGAAAGGGGCAGCTGCTGATACTGTTCCAAAGATAGGTAAGCCGGGCATATTTCTGACCGTCTTTCCATTGATAATCAATGAGTTTTCATCTCTATTTTCCTTAAATTTACTCGTATATTGCCCTAAACCGTAACCAACTAAACCAACAGAGCTCAACTGGGCGATATATATTATATTCTTATGAAACATTTTTCTTTTGTGTTAACTAAATCAGTTTAATTTTTTTTCATATTTTTTTTATTCGAAGGCACGTAAAATTCACAACTGTTTCTTATAGGTTATTTATATTCAGTTATGGAGATAAGTTGCAGGTTGCAGGCCTAAAATACGCAGCCGTATAAACACGTATAAATCAGCTGATAAATTCTTTGACAGTGACACCACAGAGTGACACTGACAATCACCGAGCCTGCAGGCCAGTGTTGCCAACCCCAAAATAACTATATGAGCAAAAAAATTTTGCTCATATAGTTAATAATAAACAATTTTTTTGGTTACTAGAACTCACATTGATATATTTATAATCACAACAACAAAAAACAAAAATCAAAGTAAAATTATTTTTCAGTTTTATTTTCTCATGTTCAATATTTTCACACTCATTATTATTTTTAAAATCATATATATTTTTGTTGAATTTTTCATGTGCCTTTCTGTGGCTTCAAATGAATAAGGATTTAGAGTGTAATACTCCTTTAATAGCTGTAATCGATATTCTGTTACGTAATTTGGTTTTCACATGAAGCTAAAGAAATAACTGGAGACCAAACTCCTCCATACCTACTTGAAGCATAAAAATTTGACCTTGAATGCTTTCTATTTCATTCCTTAGGTCCCCCTCCGCTCTTTCTAATAGGGTGTTCACACAACTACAAAATAAAGGAAACAAGTTTAAAGAGTAGAACATTAAGGCAAAAAAAGTATCAAATATTCCTAGGTAGATGTAAAGTTTACACATGACATTAATAGATCTTATCTAGGTTCTCCGTCAAATATGAAATTTTGAACATTTTTCTTTTTTTGTAATTTAATTTGTTTTTATAAATAAGGATTATTTTCGAGGGACAAATGAGGAAATTAAAAAAAACTTTTGCTAACCTTACTGTGTCGTACGTATAATAGTATTTAATGAATCTTGTTAGGGGGTTCTCAAATAAAAAAACATTAATTTTTGAGTTTGATTAAAACTTAGCAGTGTGGGAATTAGAGTTGGCAAAAAACTTCTTAATAATCACCAGCCTATTAATGTACCCACAATGGGTCCATTCCGGATTGGAGGGTATTTACAACTGCAGATGCAATCGGGACAAACTGCTTAACGTGCCTTCCAAAGCACGGAGATCTAATATGCAAAGTGAACTACAAGACTGCAGATTACGATTACCTTCCTTCCGATCGAATTGAAATGGAATAAACACCCAGTAAATATTTCACCCTTAAGTCAATTTACTGATTTACATATCACATTCTTCTCTTACATTCTCAGATGTAATTGTCTTTCTCAGATAAAAATAAAACAACATTATGTTATTTTTAAATTTAATTTATATGTGACTAAAAAGTACAGTTTTGATGACAATAAATACTTGTTACCATAGCAAGTCTATCGGACAACCCACGACGAAATGTTGAAGGTATAGAAGACATGGTAAATGCATCACTTTTTACACCAGATTGTCCCGACTGGAAAAAAAACGAATTAGGGTTATTTCGCCTAAACCCTGCCATTAGGGAATTAAGATATTTCGAGACCATTTTTTCATGACTGTGGCTCGTCGACCTTTTTCGCTTGTGTGTCGTCTTAAATACGCGTACTTAAAAAGGACGTCGAGCCACAAGTTCGCGTTTTACTTACCACATCAGAATAAAAAGGAATATTTGTATGCTTTAACCGATTCTCTATTATATAATCAGTAGCCACAAAATGATCACTGCATATTTTTGCAGTTTTATAAAACTTATTTTTTTTTTGACACTCGATAGCCATTGACTTCTCCTTATCCTTGAGGATCCTTGAGAAATCTAAAAGTGAAATAAATAATATTAAGTTCAGTTTTATTGTTTATCCTTTATCTTCTTTTCATGGTCACCATATAAGTGTTTGTATATTTTTACTAAAAGCACAGTTCACAATGTAAAATATTACAATGTGAACTGTGCTTTTATTAGAAAATTTCTGAAATATGCTACTGTAAATAATTAAATCATATATTACTTTAGATACCATATTATTGTAAATGATCAAAAATTGAAGGATTCTACGTTAAAAACAATATTTTTATAAAATACAAGCAGTCATCAATTATAGTTAATGCAAGCAGCCATTAACTTACGACTCACCTGTGAAATAACAAAGAACATCCAGGATGCCATTTGCTTCCGCAACCCAGGACTACACATTTCTGAACCATTTTTCACGATTTGATAGCGAGAAACGTTTTAATATGAATCACAATTTTCGAGTCGACAAAATTAGTAATTGTCATTCGCCATATTGACACACATGAGGTTGCCATTTTTTGAGGATGCCATTTACTACAACAATAGGGAAATTTAGAAAAAAAAATACGGTGTCTTATTCACATAGCATGGGTACGGTGACGTTTGGGGTTTGAAGTTTTTAGATACAAAAACTAGATGTTATTGAGTTTATTTCTAATAGAGATAAACGGTTTTGAGATCAACATATAAAACAGGATTTGAGAATAATATTTATTTATCAACTGTCAACAAATTTGTTAACAAATGTCATCGTATTGTAACGTTGTTCTATTTAATGATAAAACAGTAAATTAATGTTTACGTGTCTCCGTATATAAACTGCAAATAAATTAAAATAAATAATAATCTTAAAACTATGTTAATTGTTAATGAAAACTTAATAACTACTAAAGAATAAATAATTATACGTTAAAAAAAATTACTTAAAACCTAACTATATACAAATTAAATATTACAAACAAACAGATCGCACGCAGATGTAATATATATATATATATATACAGCGATGTTGGCGCGGGCGCGAGTAGCATAAAAAACGATAACAAGTCGACCGTGCGGCGGCCGGCGGCGGCCAGCCGCTCGTGCCTGTTGCGAGCCACACTTACAAATGAATCTTGTTTGAAAACAGCTGTGTAACGCTTTTCAAAATATAAAGTCTGTTCGATTTTTACTAAGTCTTCGACTGACGATTCTTATTTTAAATAAATATATAAAAAAAAGTTTAAATAAATATAAGAAACACTTAGAAGTGTAGTGAAAAAATATAATCCCGTACTGGGTAAGTTGTGCATTTAACCAATTATTTAATGAGTAGAAACGTTTGAATTATTGTAGTTACTTATTTTACATTTCTAAGTATGCAGCTTTTGCTTAATTAATTTACTTAAGTTTAACAAGAATCACCGTAATATTTCATGATCAATAATAAAAGTCATTATTGATATATATTTTATATTGCTACCTACGTTCCATGTTATTTTTTTATTTCATTTAAATGCCATCAGTTTATGTAACCGTTACTGCTTTTTTATTTATAACTGCCACTTCGACCCAGATTAATTAAGAATACTCTCTTCACTCCTGTACTAACTAGCTTTGCTAGATTCTACGATTTAATTGCTAATTTTAACGACCAACGCTAGTGGCAGTACCCGACTTCTCTTTCCGGGTAATAATGTGGCATTATTGTGACTTCTTCAGGAACTCCGTACGGATTAAGAAAATCACGCCAACTTTACTTATACTGGGAATTGATATTTGAGAATTGGAGAAGTGCCTTATGGAAACCAGAAATTGAAGCCCGACGCACCGTAGAATTCACAGGAGTACAGGGAAGTTCTATCGAGTGATCTACCATCAGACCTCTAAGAAACCTACCCACGACCCTAGGGACCTTGACCTCGATTTTACTTATCGTAAATAAATATATTTTTTTATACCGTTCTTTATTTTTCTTTATCACTTAATAAGAAAGGAACGTGTCAGTATCCATTCAATGTGAAACGATCTATAGTGGAATATAATTTTACAATTTATAGGTTTTAATAATAATTCAACAAATTAAATTGCAAGTCTGGATTATTTATTAATGAGATTGACATGACGACGGTAAAAAGTTAATAATTTTTATTAATTTGCAGCTATGTATCTGCCTTCTGATTATAATATTTGCGTACCATTTTTTATTATAGATTTTATTTAATTATAGTTATTGCTTAATAACCCTTTTGTTTAAGATTTTTGTTACATTGGATTGGATTTCAGAGTATTTTTAATGTACAATCCTGTTTCTGATATATAAATAAAGTTTCAAGTCCTATGCAATTATGGACGTGTAAAACTATACTATTAGTACCAATTGTCAAAAAGTTTATGAAACATAAAATTAACGAATAACATCAATGACCGGTACAGGTTCCGGGAAAATTTAGATTTATGACATAGCCACCCAGAAGTCCAACAATAGGTCACGAATGTCAACTTAAACTGGATTGCGTACTGATATATTTCTTAAAATCAAACTTACACTTTATCTAATATAAAATAAGGTTTATTTTTCTATGTCACATTTCAGAGTAGAAAAACGGTCTACTAGAGATATTAGATTTGTAGTAGTAGGTCCTTGTCTAACGAGTTGCCATTGGAAAATTAAATAATTGTTATTGGCAGTTAGGAGATTTTATTGATTTTTTAAAGACATCACTAAGTAATTTTAATTATTATCTATTAGTAAATATATTGAATAGACATAGTTGATATGTTTTTTAAGTAAAAGTGTGAATTAATTAAAATTATAATGTAAACCGATGTCGTGTTAGTAGTTTTTCGTTACATCTAAGTAGCAATATTATAAATTAATATGGCCGCTCGATGTGACAACATAAACAATGTTAAAGTTTAATGTTTATTTGTGTTTTGACTTACTAATTCGATTATTTACATCAAAATGGTATATTGTTTTGCTTAGCTGATTGCAAAAATGAATGGTATCACGAATGTGACTTCACATTCCACAGGTAAGCTGTTTTCCTTATTTATTAAACAGTGATGAAATAGGGTGTCTACGATCAAGAAACAAAACCATATCAAAGAGGCTTTAATTTAAATTAATATTCATACGTTTATATTATAAACATTTATAAGTTTTACTTACGCTACCCGCCATTCTTCGTTATCAATATTTTCACGGTAGGTACAAACTTATTTGGAAAATGAAAAACGAGAACTAGCTTAATTATGTTTTGGAAAATATCGGAATGGCCTACACATTAGTTTGGATAAATATTTATAAAGTAATAATTTTCTTATGCTGACCATGACAAAATTGCTCTTATGTTTCTAGGATCCTAAAGGATAAAAGTCTAGCTGAAAAATGGAGGACAATAATACCAGGCAAAGTGATCCGTTGTATTCTAATACAATTAATAGGAAAAAAAAACATTTCTATCCTTTTAATTGATTTATACATTATAGATGATTATAATAACATTTATGTACTTGTTTTATTTCCTACAAAATAAATATCTTTACCGATAAATAAAAACTAATTTATCGGTTAAATTTCTAACATCATCATTCATAATATCTGTAAAAATTTATAAAATTATATCTGTAAATGTTTAAATTTGGTCATGTAAACATTATTAAATATTACCTTTTTATGAAATTATTAAAAACGCGTGGACATCCTACAAAACTACCAAGACAGAGATGAAGAGTTACTAATTTACTCTCTCACTCTGCCCGTTTTTAATGAAACACTGCACAATCCAGTTTAAATTGACATTCGTGCAATAGGTCAATAGAGGTCAAGTATATATATAAAGTTGTTTAACAAAACGATCATATTCGCTAATTTTCTTACTTATTGATTTAAGTTTTTATTTAAAGTATAAACGATATAAAAACAAAAAAAAATTAAAGAAAAAAACCCGACTGCGTAAAAACAAATTATAAAAAATACATGAAAAAATTAACTTTAAAAAAAACCACTAGATGGCGACTAGAAAAGTTGATTTTTGCAGGAAACGAATGGATCAAAGACAGTCATTTCCGTTCCTTTTAACTAACATATTAAAAAACTGAAATTTAAAAAGTTCGAAACTTAGATATCTATATACAAATACGAAAAAATTAAAATAGAATATGAGTTGTTTACTGAGTTTTGAAAACTAATTTACTTTTAAACATGAAAAAAGACTGGAAGGGTTGTCATGCTTTCAAGTTTTGCTTTCAACATCGTTGATTATCAAAAATCGATTATTGTGATCCGAGGGACTTCTTTTGTGAGACGAACTTTAGTTTAGCATAAGTCATCACTCATACATGCGAAACTACCCGACATCGAAAAAAAGAATCTTCTTGAACCTTTGTATCTTCAATGCAAAACAAAATCAGCAAGCAGTATCGTAATCTTCTTAAGGGCAACTTATTAATTTTTGTTCTCTAAATAATCTATAAAATCCTAACAGTCATTGAAGTACGTTATAGGTTAATTATAGGGTACCAAAGAGCGCTGAAGTCGACAAATTTATTTTTAACTTTCTTGGAAAATGCAAACAAAGAAGAAACTATTTATTTGGTTACTCCAGTTACGAGTGCAACCGATGACATCTAGTGGAAAATAATTGAACGTGATATACGAGATCATCTAGCTAGTACATTTAGAGCACGTTAGATGTCCCTAAGGATATATTGATATTTTATTCATAAACATCTATCTTATCTAAGTTAAAACATCGATGAATATCGATCAACTCTAACATCGAGTTGATAAATCGCTAGAGTTAGTACCAAAGATTACAATATCTTCTGTGATGTAAATTGTCAAATTGGATTTATTGAAAGCGTATTTTTGAAAATTTCTAAAGTTAAGAAGATTCTCTTTATTGAGAAAATATAGCTTTGGTATACTCGTTAAAAATGATATCACGCCTAATTGTGTTTTATTAAGGACTTATAAAAGTACAAAATACATAACCTTTATTTTTGGTAATCACTATTTGTGTTAATGCAAAAGCTGTAGAGCTGCATCTGGTTAAAAAAAATTAGAAACATGGTGAAACTAATCAGATCCAACAACGTTTATATAACCCTTTTACACCGTTGTAAATATAGTACAGTTCCAAAATCAATATCTACTATACACATAAACGGTAAAGATTTCAAATCCGACGATTATAGTAATATTACGCCGAAAATATTAACTTATCTTGGGCGTAACCTCCATCTCCAGAAGGGAAACCCTTTGTCGATGGTACGACAAAGAATTGTTAATTATTTCTATAAATCATTTACACACAGAGGCAATCCTATTTTTAGTATTTATGACAATCTATCTCCAATTGTGACTGTGAAACAAAATTTTGATGATTTACTGATTCCATTACACCATCCCAGCAGAGCAAAACAAGATTGTTATTATATAAACAAAGATTTATTGTTCAGAGCACACATGACTGCCCATCAAAGTGAATTATTGCGTGCCGGCTTAAATAACTTTTTAATGATCGGAGATGTCTATCGGAGGGATGAAATAGATTCTACGCATTTCCCTGTTTTTCATCAAGTAAGTTCATTTTTTTCATTTCTTATTATCCTTTTACATTTTTAATTGTCTTTATATTTCCTGAAATTAACCTAAAATTCCTATAATAAATATTTTATTACAATAAATATTTTCCTATATAATAATGTCATATAATAAACTATATTAAAGAATTTAATAGAAACATAATCTAAATCCACAGATCCAAACCATAAAGTGATACAAACTAATACCAAAGATTTAAACTACTTGTATACCATTAGTGAGAGTTTTTTATCTAATCTTAAAAGATATGTATAACAAAAAAAACTCTATTATTAACATACTCAACTTTAATACTGCTATTATTTTCAGGTAGATGCAGTGAGATCACAACGCAAAGAAGAATTATTTAATAGTAATCCTGATTTAGAAATTTTTGAACCCTCATTTGATACAAAAAAACCAAAAGTATTGAATGACATCACTGATTCAAGTAAACAAAGTTGTCATACATTAGAAGCCACCAAATTAATGGAAACCCAATTAAAATCACATTTGATAGGATTAATACAAGCACTATTCGGTAAAGATATTAAATATAGATGGGTTGATGCATATTTTCCTTTCACTCATCCATCTTGGGAACTTGAAATTTTTTATGAAAACAAATGGATGGAAGTACTAGGTTGTGGCATTGTCAGGAATGAAATCCTTGCCGCTGCCGGACCTAATAATAGCATAGCATATGCTTTCGGTCTGGGCCTGGAAAGACTTGCGATGGCATTGTACAATATACCAGATATAAGATTGATGTGGAGTAAAGACTCTGGTTTCTTGAATCAATTCGCTAATAAGGATGTTGATGCAAAAATAACTTATAAACCAATATCGTTATATCCCCAGTGTGTTAATGATATATCATTTTGGCTTCCAAATGATCTCACTATAGATACATTTATGAGTAATGATTTCTATGATTTAGTAAGAGATATTGGTGGAGATATTATAGAACAAGTAAGATTTAATTATATTTTTAAAACAATAATATATTGTCAATGAAGTAACAATACCTATTATTTTAATGTAATTAATCTATTGCATAAAATAATAGATTTACTATTGTAAATATTCTATGACAAAATTCAATATCTAAATTTAATCTAATAAGTGTATTAAATACACATATTAATAAACTTCGAATAAAATAGTCAATTTCATTAAGAAAATACTGAGTATTTCGCCACTTGATTGACATATATCTTAGTTCTTGTTCCAAATGAGAATACTAGATCTGAACCAATCTAGGGTGCAACAGCTTAACTCTCTTGCTATAACATATAACAGTTACTACTATGACATTTGAACTTTGCCTTTTGGTGGCTAAATTTGGAATAAATGACTAAGTTGAAAACTCTGCTAACAAGTCCATATACATCATTTATTCTATGTTATTACATGTGTTTATGTAAAACTACCATAGTCATTTAGTTAACAACGAAAGGCTAACATTTTATTTATTTTTCTAATATCCTATTTCAGGTGAAGTTGAAGGACAAATTTGTACATCCAAAAACTAAAAAACACAGTGTATGTTACAGCATTGTATATAGACATCTAGAACGTACTCTTACACAATTTGAAGTAAATAAAATACATAAAGAAATTGAGAAGGCCGTTACGGATTCATATAATGTTGTTATTAGATAAATGTATTTATTAAATATATTGTTAGTTGAATGTTAAGAAGTTTACTTGAAATGCCTATGCCTTGAAATTTTGTTACAGAACAGAGCGCTAAGTGTGAGTTTTTTTTACGTTTATGGAGAAATAGAATAGGCCTTCAGATGCCATGTTAAGTAGTACGGTTGCGACCACAGATAATCTGTGGTTGTGGCCACCAGCGTGTCTCGAAGGAATATTGAGCGGGACCTAAATATACGATTTCCTTCTGTAAAAGATATATATATTTCAAGACAGCTAAGAGGGTTGGAAATAGTGTTGCCAGGTCCAATTTATTATTAATCGGGACAGCGCGTGTAATTAATCGGGATTTGGGGTTGTAAATCGGGACAGACAAAAAAACAAGTATTAGTACTAGTTTGGTAGCTTTTATGCTTGCAGACATAGATAAATATAGTTAGGGGCTTTCCAAAATGGATTTGACAGTATGAAAATTTTTTTTTTTTTATAAAAATACTTGATTTATCGGGACATTTAGCGTCCCGATTAGGTACAAATCGGGACGCGTCCCCAGACCCCTGAAAATCGGGACGTCCCGCGTAAATCGGGACACCTGGCAACACTAGTTGGAAAGTGCTATTTTAGAAACCACTGCTTAAGTGTTTCGAGTGCTTCCGAGTCACGAATTTAGTTAGTAAGTTAGATCGATTGACTTTTAAACTTCCTTCAAAAAACAGCACAATACATTTGCGAAAACAGCGCCTGAATTTCTAAATATATGGGGCTATTTAAAATCATAAGACGTTGCTTAAAACTAGGACAAGGAATCGGCTATGATGTGCTAAGGAATCTAGAAGTGTCTACACAGCAGCACATCGACTTACGATTTTCAATTCATTAAGGTTTTGGCCTTCTGTGAACTGTTGACTGTACTATCGGCATAAAATTGTACACTGCTATTCATAATAGTGATGAGCCGGATCATTAAAAATGTATATCCGCGGATACGGATCCGGATACGGATATTTGGTGTCAAGATCCGCGGATACGGATCTTTATAATTAATATATTTTTCAAGTTCCTCTAATTTTCACTGTGTTTGCTCGTGTAATCTAATGTTTACACTTTATATGGTAGGTAGTACCTACTAGGTACGCAGTATTAATTTACTTTATAAGAATTTATTTTTGGTTTTCTCATTTTCTTACATTTATAAAATTGATGTTATAACTTTCTATAATATTGATCTTATTATAAAGATAGTTGATAAGTCACCTTTGAGTTATGTACTATTGGTATAGTAACTTACTACGATAAATGTTTGCAATATAAAAATGCTAAATATTTTATATTAACAAATAAAAAATACTTCAATTTAATTTAATAGTTTTTTAAATCTCCGTAATCACCTTTATATAGCATTTCATCCTATCAATTGAAAATTAATAAGTTAAAAGATCCGTAAAAGATCCGCGAGAAAAGTAACGGATACGGATACAGATACGGATCTTTATTTTCCGTCGGATATCCGCGGATACGGATACGGATATCCGGAACATCACTGATTCATAAACAAGGTTTAGCGTCAAAGTAAATATATGCTAAAACTGCAAATTCATATTATACAGATAATAAGCAAACTTACTTTCTAGGAATAAATATTACTCCCATAGAAACTCGTACTAAGTTAACCTTTGCTAAGTCTGTTTAATAATATAAATTTTGTCTCAATAATATAATTTACTCTAACGTTAAACCTTGTTTAACGTTGTTTATTAATAACACTGATAGAGTGCTAAAAGAATTCGTATTGAGCACGAAATAATTTTTTGTACACATCAGGCAATAGCAATACATATGCATGACTGCATCTCAGCAACCAGGCGCATTCGATCGGCACGGGAGTTGCTATATTCACCTGCAAGAAATTATCATTATCGGCAGTGCAGTTGTCGCCTCACATCTAGCCCAGGAGCTCTAAAAAAGTGAACTGTATGCGGTTAGATGTGGACAGTATACGTCGACTGCGCGACTGTCCTGCGGTGCAATTAGGGTTGCCAGATAGCGAGACTAAAACATCTGGACAAAATTTGAAAAACTCGGGATTTTGTGATCACAGTCGGGACAAAAAAAAATGCTAATGTGGATTTCTTCCACTTTTTATTAATAAAATTTTAAAATAATAACAAGTATCTACTTTTTGTCATTTTATAAGATCACATAATAATAGTATAACATTTAAACAGCTTATATACCTACTTATTACATTTTTATGATATTTTTTATTCTTCGAATTCGATTTTACAGAATTTTGTCGGGAAATATTTATTTTTTTCGGGACTCTGGACATCATACGAAATGTCTGGACAATCCAGACGAATCCCGACCATCTGGCAACCCTAGGTGCAATCAGCATCTGATGGCACTACTCATTACGAATTACGCTTTCTTGGTAGGTATTGGGAACGAGCAAAAAACAAATTTATTTATTTACCTTCCTTTTATTACGTATCACTAATAAAATAAATTAACATCAAATACTCGCTATCAATGTACAAAACAAATCATGTCAGAAGGTAAGATCGGACGCCGGAGTCTCCTCAATATTAATAAAATACAACAACAGCAGACATAAATAACAAGTTACCAGTTATAGATGTATAGGATTAACAGTTCTATAATAAATCTATTTAAGAAATCTTTCCCTTTTAAAATAATTTCCTTAGCATAATATACATACTTACACATACACTTTATATATAAGTAGATTAATTGAACATTGGTGGAAATACGTTCATTAAAATTTAAAGTAATAAATGCTTGAGAAATTTGTCAGTCTTGATGAAGTCTCGGGTAACTTAATTGTAAGAGCAGCAGGCCAATTCTAATAATATATTTTTTAAAAACTTCCTCATAAGCACACGCGCTTACCGCGCAAGCACGCTATCGCCCGCAACTTTTTGCAAACAGTACTTTGCAGAAACTTCTTTTTAGCCAGGTGTCATATTAACTCGAACGTAATGGTATGTACTCTTATTTGAAACATTAGCGAAAAATTGTAATTATCATCAGATACATAAACTTATTGTTAGATCATAAATTAACACTAATGTTTATAATTTAGAAATAGTCGTTCAACATTTTAATCATTCTAGTGACATTATATTTGAGTTTATTTACAATTTTTCGCTGACATAAATATATTTATATATATATATATACAATAAAAACATTTTGCATTTTAAAAGTGTATTTGAATTTGAAAATTCTAACGAAACCGTTCGATTGCCTCTGGCAATATTTATTATTAGAACCTAATGGCAACCAGAGAATGTAGGTAAACAAGATACATTATTCTAAATCCTCTCACACGATGAAATCCTTAATAATACATTATAATTAATTGTAGCTAACATCCACTCCACTGTAAAAAAAATGTATAGCAAATTTTTACATGTCAAAATGCAATTTAAGAGTGGTTACCCTAGTAAGCCGTGATTTTCTTTTTAATTATTATACATGGACATGCATAAATTTGATTCAAAAGCACAGTAACATCAATAATTGAGAAAACAATTGAAAGTGGCTACTACGGCTCCAAAGATAGAAAGATAACCGATTATTTATTTTTTTAAAAACGGCCTCCAACTCTATTGTATAAAATCTTTAATACCTTTTGAAGTAGGTTTTGTATGGTTTATATATTTAGGATTTATGTTATTTGATTCTATGGAAGTCGTGTCAAAGTTACGGCGCACTAACCCAATATATCACAGAATTCTTTTTTATTCTGTACTAAACTCGAAGGCTCTACTTTATTTTAAATATGCGCGCGCTTTATTTATATTTTTTAAGATTAGCGCATGCCTAGAAGACTTATATTTGTGTAAATTATTATGCTTTTCTAATAATAATTCAGTATGTTTTTTTTTTGCATTTAAACATGGCCAGTCTTTACATTCTAAATCTAAAAACGGCCATATATAAATTTGAGTTTTTAAAACAGAATATCACTACCGATCAAAGTAGGTCTATGAGTCGAAACCTACATTAGTCTTGTAGTAATTAGACATCGGATATTTGGATGCCTATTTTTACCTGATATTGAGTTTTCAAGAATAATCTTTTCCGCTTAGTTAGAACTTAAAAAGCACTTAAAGTTGCCCGTCGCCACCAGGTGTTCCAGCACCCCGCTGGTTACTGAGTGATGTATAATACTAGTACCCTTAATAGAACATACTGAAATATCAAAGAGTAAACTCTTACTTTTGTCATGATCTCCTAGACTATAAGAGACCGCTTCCATAATTTCTGAGCCAAAAATTCACTTTAGGTATTTAAATAAGCATCCGATAATCCAATTAATATTAACAACAAAAATGATGCCCGGGTAAAAAAAAGACATTTAGTAAGTCAGTCAGAAAATAGAAAAATATTACATACATATTTTTTGCTTCAATTTAACAAGATATGATTTAGATTATAGACATAAAAATTAGCTCTGAGGCTTGCTACGTCACACCTATATAGAAAATGTACAAAGGTGAGACGTCATGCGACATTTCAACTCAATGCATCGCTGTAATTATATTGATTGTGCAAAAATTTTAAAAATTACCTATATACTTATTTTTTTCTGATAAACAAAAAAGAATTAGTCATGATCCTATTACCATTGTTGCCAACGATTTATTTAGACAAGTTATCGGTTCAGTAGGTTCCATACTAAAATATTCGGAATCCTTTATAAGCACATAATAAGAAAAAATATTATTTCCTATATAATGTGCAATTTTGAAGAAAACCTTTTTTCTTCCGTGACATCTAGAACAATAATTAATAAAAGTGGAGGGATTTTTATTATCATTTATAAATATACATATCACAGTCGAAAATATAAATATCTTACGTAGGTATGTACATAATAACAACTTTACATGGTCACTCATCCATCTCGGTCAAAGATTTCCAGAACATTATATTATTTTTAGCACTCTAACGCACTCTTAATTTTTTAAAGTTCCCACTTGACATTGCGGTCTCACTAACTCTTTTCCAAAATGTCTAAGCTTGTCTTTGTAACAGAAATCTTTGATCGTTGTTGATTATAAAACAAAACTGATAAAATTATATACTAAGTGTATAGTTCATTGCTATGGTTTTTTATTATAATTTTAATAATAGTAAACAGATGAGGAATTGTGACTAAGAATTAAGACAAATTATTTACTGTTATCTGAGTTATGAATCAGTAGTCCTAGTAGTCTATACGGTTAAATTTACTGCAAGTCAGCACTGACTTGCCTCGATTTGGAGTCAGTTATTGACCCTCTATAAACTCTCCCTTAGGGAAACCAATGAAGAAGCAAAATTTAATGATTTGTTTATACATTATGATTAGTTTATGAATATGTCATTTTTACATTTTGATCCAATTATGAGAACAACATCGTATTAGATATATAAGTAGTGGCAATAAATGACTCTGAAAAAATGTTCAATATAGGTACAGTAAGATACAACTGATGTATCTACGCAGAAGGATGAATTTCAAAGCGCGGCAAATGTCGGCCAATCCGAATGATTCAAGTAGCACGCCATCGAGCGATCCACCAATATCCATGAGCTTGATCTACGCTGAGCGCGTGTGACAGAAACACCTTATTGCGTTGTATTTTACACCTTATGGTTATTGAAACAAGACTCGCTATAAATTTTAATCGTACGTTCGGTTGTCGTCTGTATTGGTAGATCTGCTCTGCGCAAATGAAGATTCACTACGCGCGATATTAGTTGGAACTTGCTGTATTTGAGTACAACATCAGAGTTGTAATTGAAAAAAGATTAGCTATCTAATAAACAGGGAAATTTTTTGAGCTATCTTATCACTAGATGACTAAACACCGAGAATGCAGTCGTCATTTGAGTCATCGCTTTCATGGTCTGATAGGAAGGTAATTTCTGTATACTCTTCACAGTCATCTTTATTTTCATAATTATTTAGTAATTCTGTAGAAATTTCCATGTTATTTTTCTGAGTTTCTCGAGTGTTACTTTTCTTTTGTTCATTATTTATGTCAGATGAAAGTTGTGCACTTTGTTCATTAATCCTCATGCGTTTTGCTTTGACAGCAAGAGGTTCATCATCTGATGATTCAGATGATTCATCCTGAGTATAATTGTCGTCACTCCATAAATATTCATCGACATCGAGTGATTCCAAACTGTCTTCCGTTAATAAAATTTTCGAATCCAATTCCTGTTTCCTTTTCCTTATTTGAGTGATCATTTTAGAAGGTACGGATTTCGAGCAGTCGGTAACAGGCGCAGCAGCTGTAGCTTTTTTATTTCTTTTTAATATGTTGGATGATTTAAATATTTTAAGTGGCTTAGCCGAGTTAGGTAAATGATAGGTGTCTTTCAGCAAAGATTGAGTAGGTTTAGAAATAATGAATGCTGGAGGTTCATCATCATCCTTTGATGGTTCGCAATCATCTGAAGAATGTTGTTCTTTCGTTAAATCTATTACCGATTTTGGATTCACCAAAGCCATGTCGCTAAGTGGTTTAGTCATTAAACTGAAGTTTCTCTTTATACATACACTTATAGGTGAAATGGATCCTGTATCCAAATCCAATTTGAAAAAATTACGATTATTTTCGCACGCATATTTTAGTTGAGCGAATGATGTGATTGAATTCAATTCCTTAATAGTATTGCTTGGAGCTGTTGTGATAATAGGAGTTGCATTAATTGCTGTTTGTAAATACCGAGGGGATGATTTCTGAGCTGTTGATAGCAAAGATGGTGTTTGTATATCAATAGCTTCACTGGGTCTTGTGTCTTCTGTAGATATTCCAGACATTTCCATTAAATCAGATAATAGTGTACTCCTAGTTGTAGTAGTTGTAACGACTTCACTTGTGCTATTTTTGTCTTCTGCTACTGAAGAACTGCTGACACCTTTATTATTCGGTAATTCATGATTTTGTTCAAAGTTTTTGGCTGTAGCATCAGAAACGGAAACAATAACTTCATTTAGATTTGCATTTGATTCATCAGTAGGATTTATATCAAGAATTTGGTTTTCATCAACATTACTCAGTTGGTGAGAATTTTCATTTTCTGTACTTTTAGGTACTTCTACTATTTCATTATTTTCAGTTTTATTACCGTCTAATGCAAAACTACTTGAAAGCACAATATTATGGTCATTATGTTGGTTTTTTAATAATGTAACATCATTAGTATTATCGTTGCTATTATTATTTAAAACTTTACTGTGATCTGAATTGCTATCATTGTCTTCATTTTTGGCAACCGACGATGTACCGTGATCAATACTATAACTTAAATTGTTTCTTTTAATGCTTTCTTCAGACTTTTGTTTTGCTTTGTCTGAATTTTCATCATCAGAAAGGTTAACAATATCCAAATTCTTCTGAGGTGCTTGCAAATTGGAAACTAATGAAGACGGCTCTAACTGTTCTTGTGTAGCTGTCATAATACCAGGTAAACTTGCCAATTTATCTGCGTTCAAATTAGCTGTGGAATTCACTAAATAACTTATTTGTCCATCTGGTCGTAATGTAAGTTGTACACCCTCGGGAAGGGTAAAAGCCGAGGATACCTGTTGTGCTGTAATTGGTTTACTTGTGGCATAATTGATGTCTAATTCAGATGGTATTTTCCCATCTGTCAATAATATTTTATTTCGTCCTAAAAATATAGGGCATCCCGTTTCGGCATTACTTTTCTGTTTAGAATTTAAAAATATATGCTTTTCCTTCATTTGACTGTCACTATATGGGCCAGCCAGGTTTTGCTGAGTAGTATTAGTTTGTCGCTGTAAAGGATTAATAAGAATTTTATTTTTAGGGAGTGCATATGGAACAGACACTTTAGAGAATGGTGTTGTATACCTTGGTCTCACATACCGAATATTAATTCGAGGTTTTACAACACTTCCGTCCATAGTTTCTTTAACAGATAAGTATTTATTAGTAGGAGGTTCCTTTATAGATTCTGGTTCTTCTGTCTCGTCAATAACGATAACATTTGGCGATATGTTGGATACCTCAGTCAATCGAGAATCTTTTTGGGGATCCTCTTTCGGCAATTCTGTAGTAGGGAGATTAACAGGAGGAAGGTCACATTGTATAGAGATTTCCGTTTTTTGTGATGTTATCTTTTCTTGCGGTGATGTCGGTTGTGTCTGTGAAACTGATATATTAGCATATTTTTTATCCTGGGTCCACTTCTCCCTTTGCTGTTTGATTTCGCGATTTACTCGTTCCTTCACTTTTTGCCTCCACTTGGTGTCAATTAACTCCTGGCGGCAGCAACAAACACAAATGCGAGGACACTTATGTTTTGGTCTCTTTTTAGGAAAATGAAGTTGATATCGCGCCCAACAACAAAAATCAGAAACTCTAGGTTTTGGTTTTCTAGAAACTTGTAAATTTGTGTCCGTTGGTTTAGACGATAGAACCTGATTATCTGTTGAACTCGTGTCTTTAGAGTTCTCCTTTTGTTCTTTATCATCTTGTACCTTATCATTTTGTACTATATCATCTTGTTCCTTAGAAATTTCATTATCAAGGGTTTGCTCTTTTAAGTTGTTCTCGAATTCTAATAATCTATTTGTTAGTTCGTCTTTTTCTTTCTCTAATAACGATTTTCCTTTTTTTGTCTTGACTTTGCTTACAATTTCGACCTGTGGATCTACACTGTTATTTTTAATTATATTCAACATTTTATTAAGCGTATCTATTGTCAGCAAAGCGTCATTGTGGAGTTTCACTGGCTGTACTGGCTTACTTAACCATGTTATTCCACTTACATGTTGCCTTCTAATAGGCGCATTATATTTGTAATTAGGCTTTTTAAATTTTGAACCGGCCTTAGGACCACGTTTACTTTGGACGGGTTCCTCGAGAAGAAGAGTTTCTTTATGTACTTTAGGCATGGGTTTATAAAGTGTTTTAGCATGGTCTTGCACAATATTTGATTGAAATAAACCCGATTTCACTTCAGTACTAGAATAGTTATAATTACTGGTTACACCATCTTTACCTGGTGGCGTTTCTGTAAGTGATGACACCAGCTGTACTGGTGGTACACATTTTTCGTTGGGACGTTGAATTCGCATTGGTGTTATTTCTGCAGTAAATAAACGTTTATTCATTTTACGAACATGATCCAAATCAGGTAGATTAATTAGCCTACTTCTTTCGGGGAAAGTATTATTGTCATCCGATCGCGTGATGGGATTCCTAATTTTCGTATTTACAGTTTGTGATATGCACTGGGTTACAGCATTGTCAATCAAACTTTGAACAGGCATCGCAGAAGGGAAAACAGAAGTGGATTTTTCTACAGCCTTATCTAATGTTTCAAATTTTTGATTCGATTCTCCTGATTGTAAGTACATAGTACCATTAATTAGTTTACTTTCGAAAGCCTTACTGACATCGATAGTGATTGGCTTCAATGTTTTCAAAAAAGATCGATTACGAGTTGAACTCAAAAAACCAAATGTTAATCGCTTTAATCTAGTGTTGAAATCGGGATTTTTACAAAGTTGTATAGGATTATAGCTACGACTCCTAGGTTTTAGTAAAAGGTAACTAGACAATTTTACTTTCTTATCAACAGTCAAATCGTCAGGTTCACTCATCTCATTTTCTGATTGAGAATCATCACGATTATTCGATATATTTTGTGATGTAAAATCTTTTTCCGTTTCTTCGTTTTCTTCTTTAAAATGTTGATTCATTTTGTTTATAGGTTTGCTTTCAATTAGAGCATAGTTTATAACATTTATATCACAAACAGCATCTATTTTTATATTTTTAAACACATCCATTTCGTCTAACCTGGTTGTATATACAACAGGTTGCATTAATAGCTTCAAATCAAATTTAGCATTTTCTTCTTCGAGGTCATTTGTTTGGACATCATTTGCTGATTTACTCACATCATCACGAGTTCTTTCTAAAACAAAAATAAAATATTCATAAAATCACAAAATTGACACCTAGTGTAAGAATCTTAGTCCACATTATCTTTGTGTCTGTAACTTATAAATAATTCTATTTGTATACTCAAAGCAACAAAAAAACATAGATGTATACTTTTTTATTTAACTTGGATCAGCAACATGCCTAAATCTAAATCTCATCATAGGTAGATGGCATGTTTTAGTCTAAGTATTACACATACATGATTGATATGAGACCACAGCATTACAAATATCTTTTCAAAGTAAAGGGCTAATTTTATAACCTTAAATAACCTTCATATTATTCCTTTAAGGGATAATACACAAGTGATATAAAAATGCGTATATTGATGGTTAGCGTTAAAGACATTGCTAACTTTTTAGCACTTCCATTTGATTATCTACTGTTACTGATTTGAACTGAAGTTAAGAACGTCACTTAAATAGGTTTCCGTTTCTAATTTAAGTTACTTGATTGATCAGTTGATAGCAGTTTGATAAAACTAGAACTTCTTAACATGTGTAATGAAAAAAACTTAAGTTTTTGAGAATGAGCAGTAGAGATTTTGCACTTTTCTCAATTCAGTAACTGGCTGTGTATCGAACATTTTATTACGATAACTTACCAGTTTTGATATCACACTCTTGGATAGGTTTTATAATGTCTTCGTCTTCTTCCAACTCGATTCCATCCTCAACTAATTCAATTCCATCATCTGCGAACGTTAAATCAGTAGGAATATCCAAATAGGGATTCCGCTCGTTATTTATTGTATCCTCTTTCGACACTTCTTCTTCTCCAGAAAGAGTATTGACATCTACAGTTTGACTTTTTGATTCCTCATTTCTTTTGTTATTTTGCAAGTAAGATATTAGTTTCTCATTTATTTCACTGTCATCGTCATTATTTGTATTCATATCACCCGGCGTGTTTACTAAAGATTCTCCAACAGGTGGAACAGGAGGTTCCGATTGTTTACGTACTTTGACAGTATGTTGAATGCTCTCTACGTTTTTCAATACGTTACCAAGTTTTTCCGTTACATTGACATTACTAAACACCTTAGCTATTTGAGGCATTCCTATTGATTCATTTTGCGCGGACTTCAAATCATTCTCTATTTCCAGACACTCAACACCTTTCTCTAAAGAAATACCTTCTGATTTTACTTTAATAATATCTTCTAGTTGTGAATTAGTGGGACCTGTGTTCTCATAACATACATCTTGTGTTGTTTCTGTTTCATTAATAACAATTGCCGTTTCCATATTTTCTGTGTTCAATTCAGTTTCTAACGCGACGTTTTCATCGTCAACATCAGTTGTCTTTTCGTCCTCGAGTTTTATCTTTACGCTGTCATTCTCAATACCATATACTTCATCATCAATATCCGGAATACTTTCTAGTAACATAGCATCTCTTTCTTTAGCTAGTTTCTCTTTATCAATAGTATCAGTTTCTTCTAGAGGTTCAGTTTTAATAACTACTCCTTTATTTGACAGTTCATTGTCGGAAGAATCTTTCATTGCTTCATCATTCTTAGAGTTATCTGAATTTGAATCGGCATCGCTTATGTCAATAGTTTCGATATTTGGCTCCAATAATACGAGATCTACGTCACCACTGTCTGTAAATAATGAACATATTATATTAACAAAAAATATATATTATAAAGTTATTGACTTGAAGTAGTGCAACGAATACGAATATTCGTTATCATCGAACATCACTACAACATTTGTGTTGTTGATGTACTTTAAAAATAATGTAGGTCCTTTTGAAACGCCAAATACTCACCCTTACCATCTGGAGTCGAAGGTAACTTTGATTTGATGTTTTTCTCCTGAAAGATGAGATAGTTAAATATTAGGTTACATCACACACGTTGCTAAGATCATATACATTCCAAGATCAGTAGCTGAAGTCCTCTTATTATGAAGTACCTGAGGGACGACGACAATGAACTTTTCTAAATTGTCACAAGCCGTGACAATATAGAAAAGGTCATGCACTGACCCTAACGGGAATCGAACCCGGTAACTCAGAGATGGTGACACTTTGAAACCCAGTACACAAACAACTCAACTGTTCGGGAGATTGCCAATGTGGTAACAATTAAGCGAAGTAACGACATGTTGAAATACAATGTACTTAGAACTTAGACTTACGATTTCTTCTGGTAATATTATGAATCTTTGTTCTATGAGTTTTTCCCATTCTTCAAATGGCTTTGTGATGATATGTGGGAATCTGTAACAATTTCTTAAATTAATAAAGCAATAAGGTATTCTAATATGTATGAAATAATACTTGAAATTATTTGTTTTAATACAAAAAAGCCATAAAATGAATATTTCGGAAAACCAAACACGTTTTCTTGCCTCAAACTTAAACCAATATATTTTTTTTTCTATATCCGCAAAAACGCTGCCCGTCATATTCATGACATCATTGTGATATGTACACAAAACAGATGCATAGTAGAATATAAAAAAAGGTCAATAAAACAAAAGCGATACTATCTAAGGATCGATTACGAAATAAAAAGATATAAATAAACTAAGAACAGCGCCATCTAGGAATTTGATTTATAACTATTAAGCATGTCTTTATGACTAATCTGACAGCCGTTGCCACCATGACGTCACACAATGGCGAGTTATGTCTAAGTCACGCGACACACAAACAATAGATCACGACATTTTTTTATATATTTTTTTTATTCTTTATAGGTTAACGCTTGACTACGATCCCATTATAATCGGACGGTAATACGCTGGCAATTTATTTCTAGTCCTTTGCGGTACGTATTATAAATGACGAATCGAATCGCGCCATTCTTACCGGTGGAATATTGACGACGAAAGGATGGATACCGGCCGTGCGTCGAGACGTTCGATGGTAGAATGGGAAGGGAGGAATTAGGTCGTGCAATTCCAGCGCACACTCTCCAAATGTATCCTGTAGAAAACCGAGAAGCTAGCCACTTTGCGCCTGTGCTGAAGGCTATGCAGATTGGTTTCAACCAATTTCGGGTCGCCAATAAGCCTCCTCGCACGCCTCTCCATTGAATCCAATTCCGAAAGGTGGCATTTTGCGGCACCAGCCCAAATGTGGCAGCAGTAATCCACACACGACCGAACCTGGGCTTTGTACAATATCAAAAGCTGTTCTGGTGTGAAGTACCGCCGGACCTTTGCTAGGATACCTATCTTTCTAGCTGCCGTTTTAGCTTTGGATTCAATGAACCGCCCAAAGTTAAGGTAAGAGGATATCTCTACTCCCAATAACTGAAGGCGGTCGGTGTATTCCAAGGAGACATTTCATATGTACTCATCAGAAATGATATACGCCTGACTTTTTAGATTACATACATAGGTACTTATAATCACGCCCATATATCGGGGCAAGCAGAGCCCTACGGTGCAATTCACACAAGCGGCCACGTCTGACGAGGAGGCTAGATGTTTTTATTGTGTTACTGAGTAGTGATATGACAAGAGCTCATCAGCCCGTCGCCTCAATAGAGTACTTTAAAATCTCCTTTCCCTTCAGTCTGATACTCTGATTTTGGATCTTGCACGGGAATGATGGCAGCTGTTTTTCTTTTTCTCCCAGAGCTGCGTATGAGTACATAACTTTGTAGATATACAAAATGTTATGTTGTGAGATGTAGGTGACGGGACTGGGATATAAAAGTAAATCCTTACCTCTTTTTAGATATTAGGTACCGGGCTGACTGATCTATGTATTTTTTTATTATTATGTATTTTTAATTTCAGAAAACCACATTACGATGGACTGCTTAACGCTGTTGGACTCGCATATTATTAAGGAGCTCATACCACCAGTTAGACATAGAGTAAATTTTATTAAAAATTAAAACAATTGGAAGACCTTGATTGATTCTGAGAACGACAATCAATCCAATCAATCACAAGAAAGAATTTGATTTACATACTTTTAATTATATTATTCACTAGCTTTTGCCCGCAACTTCGTCCGTGTGGCTTTCGTAGCCTATGTGTTGACTCAACCTCTTAGTAATATTCTTAATATTCATGCAAAATTTAAAGTAATTCCATGCAGTTCTTTTTGAGTTTAGCCCAGACATACAAACAGACAGACAAAAATTCTAAACACTATATTTTTGGCTTCGATATCGATTGTAGATCACACCTCAAATATTCTTTTTACAAAATATTTAATGTACAGTATTGACTTGAAAATAAAAGCACATTTTAAGCAATCACGTCTTTACCGACAGTACCGGTGGAATAAGCCAACTACTTTTCCTGGTCCATTTACAAAATAAGAAGTTACCTACACAATACTCTATTGTTGTCATTACAAGTCATTTTGTAATGTGAACATATCATTCTGTTCAATTTCTAATACAATATTTGTCAGAGGTACACAACAAATCGTATTAGTAATTTTTTTGTAGTAAATAAAACGATGACATTCAGTAAATTTAATTAAACGTTTATATGTTATTTACAAAACTTTTGATTAACAACACAAACTTTCTTGTTGTTAGGACAAAAAAGTATTGTAGACCTGAAAAATTAAATAGTAAAATTAACAATAACAATGTGACAACTACAATTCATGTTTAACTAGAATCATTGTGTAACGTTTACGATACGAGTGGTCGTCACATATAGAGCAATAAATATTGTAATGGTAACCAGAATATCGTTACACATACCAGAATAATTTTTCCGTGCACCAATATTTATTGGTAGGATTAGAAATAAAACAAAATATTTATTGTAGTGGGTGATTTTATATAAAACTCAAAAAGTCCTCGTTACAATCTGTAATTGATACAGATACTGGGAGGAACAAAATGACCGACACAGCCGAAAGTTTCAAGTTAGGTTACATGCAAACGTTTATTTTATTTGACAAATATTTAAAAATAGAGGAGGTGTAAAAATGGAGTAAAAATTTACAATTTCTAAGTGTTAACAACCCTATAACTCGCATGCGCAATATCGATTGTGTGCAGATTACAACGAACCGCGAAATACATTAATTTAATTTAATTATTTACCGATATCTTAATGATAGTCGATGCTGAAAATGTCCACTTCCTCTCTGAAGACTGAGCTAAGCACGCTCTTTTCAATGCCGGTGCATGCACGCGCAAAACACATCACAATTCACACAAAACTAAACTCAATCTTCACTAAACTAAACTTAACACTCAAGACGAACACACTAGTATCTTATTAACAAAAATTCAATTAAAAATGCACTAGAACAAAACAAAAATCGACAAAAAAGACGCTTCGCAGCGGTGCGTCGGCGGCGATGCGCAACAACACTCCAACGCAAAAGGTCGACGGCGACTGATCGGCCGGAAAATATCGACAGAATAATGAAGCCGCCTGGCGGCTGGCGGGCGGGTGGGGCTTTGATATCGAGGGACGAACTCGGTTCACATTATTTTGTCGTCTTTTGATATCACGCATTTTTTAATGTTCTTTTTAAATGCTATTTTAATAACAAATTCCTCAATGATTTTAAAACAAAGTTCATTTGTGTTAATGATGAATCGCTGGAAGATTTGTGAGTTTATCGAGTTTAATTAACGATCCCGTTGTTAAAGGAGTATTACCCCATTCAAACATTTTTTTTTGGAGAATTGCTCTTTCAAACAGTCCAAATGGCTATAATGATTCATCTAGAAAACTAGGCGTGCAAATGGCTGGCTGCCCAATTGAACAGCTCTTTTAATAAAAAATGACAAATTTTCGCAAATGGTTTTCAACTCTACCATTCATGTTTTAGAGGTAGAATTTAAAATAAACTGGAGAAATTTGACATATTGTGGTAACATGAAGGACAGCTGCACATACAAACTAATTTGAGTGCTGTAACCCGCTTACTACGCTTGTTCAGTTCTGCATGCCAATTCTGCTAATATTGACGTAAGGTACATATGAATGATCAACTGAAGTCTTGGAGTTTATTGATTTACTAGCTTTCCGCCAGGGGCTCACCCGCGTGGTCCCTAGAGAACTATTCGATGGGATAAGAAGTATCCTATTATCTAAGTACCCTATCTGTATACCAAATTTCATCAAAATTCGTTCAGTAGTTTCGGCGTGCCATCCAAACAAAGGGACTTTCACATTTATAATATTAGTAGGATTAACAGGATACCAAAAATAAACTAGCGTTGTGGAATTCCACTAATTGATTCCATAAAAACAGAAATGTTGTCAATTAGGGCAGATGATCCGGTTTTGACTATTTTAAGATTATGAGCTACGAGTAGTTTTACCACTTTGAGAGTTACGACCAGTTACGACGAAGTGAACTTTGATAAGCTGTTAACGCAATTAGTTTTGCCACAATTAAACATTTTGAAAACCGTTCACGGCAAATTAATATATTTGTCTATGCATTAGTTAGAACGCATTGAAGTGCCAAATGGCAAAAAAGGGGACAGTGGCCAAAACCGGGTCACCTGCCCTATATGATGTAGATGCTGGCAATAGCACTAGCTAGCGTATTGTATTTATCGATATTATGCATGTATGAATAGTTTGAATATGACTAGAAGTGTATTAGCACGAAAGAACAATGGTCAAAATGGACTACGAAAAAAAAAGTTCTTGTACCAAGGTGGAACTATCACCAAAATGTAGTATAAGTTGAATGTAATTATTATATACCAACAATTTATTTTTAAAAGTTGGGAAAAGAAAGATAATCCTCTCTAAAATATGTCTTTATTTTTTAGAACGCAGTTTAAATTATGTTATTTTTGAACGCGTCTTATTAATAATGTCATTCCTAGAGAAGTCCCTCTCTTTTCAAAGAACAAGATCGATTTTATTTCTGACTAATCGAATTTGTTAAAAATCTTATATTATTTGCTAACCATATAAATCCGTGAAAATTATAAAACTTAGATTAGATTATTAATATAATAAGATGTTACTTAGAGTAAAATAGTTTATTTATAATGAAATTAAAAACAAGTGATTATTCATAAGAATCGATATTACAATTTTCAATCGATTGTGACCTCGCTTTTTTAGACAAATATGTGTAGATGTGTTTCTACGCAGACCGTTTTGTAACTTTGGCGGTGATTTTGTATTATCTTCTATATTATGGGGAGCATACTAGATTCCATGGGCAGTATAGAATTGAGGTCTGGAGAGAAATACCGGATTTTTTGGATTAATTAGAATTAGACTTAAATATAAATAAAGTCCTAATGATAAGGAGTAGAATTAAGTCGAGGCATTGGGAGGAAACAATATTATGTGTACATTTTAAAGAATAATGACACATCTGGGTTAGATGGCATAAGAGAACACTGCTGTAATTGTCTTATTGGTCGATCTACACTGGGATGCTGAGCTCATATAATGACCATAGTTTGGTATCTTGGATGAGCCATACACGAACAGAATGTAGCTGCTCCTGCAGCATTCCGTGATAAAGTATTGTCGTAACTAACCTTTCGTATCGTTTTCAATCCTTAGATTTATATCACTGATTTCACTCATATCGATAAACTTTTTAGTATTTTCCATTTATATTCTTTACTTTCTCCATTCTATAACTGTGGTCCTTCAATTTTATATCTGTAACCATTAAAATTTTGTAATATAAACTTATCCAAATCTCTACGAACTTTCATCCTATGTTTTTTACTATTTACACTAATGTGAACCCTTACCTGTAGCTTTGATAGTTTTTCGTTATACATTTTACGAATTCTAATCATATTTAAGCACTTATTTATATATTATAACACAAATTATCGCTAATTTTAATTGTTTTGACATAATTGACATCAAAGTTTTTCTTCGTTGCTATGGTTATATTTGATACTCTTCATGAAAATTGACTCATTGTTTGTCAGTTTTAGGCATTGAAACTCTGTAGTTTTTGAATTTTTAGGGTTCTAATTTGAAATCATTTACTTCTAAATTTGAGTTCGTCTTCAGGTATATATAGCCTCGCCCAAATAGTTCTTCATCACTTCAACGGCAACAGTTGCCAAGTTAGCGTTTTGGAGTTCATACAGAGCTAGCTAAATTCTTAAAAGGCCTATTTCCCGGGGCCGACTGCCCCGGGAACTCTTCAAAGTTACGGTCTCAAAGTCGCTTGACATCTTTCTAGCTTTAACTAGACGACAACAAATCAATACTCCACTATAACCTCCTTCGCTACTTCACTCCTGGAGGCTGTCTGCGAGTATACGCCTTAGGCCCGAGCTGCTGCTCAGTTCTGGGCTGCCGAAGAATCCCTTGTTCGACGCATCGAGACTACGCCTCGCCGATTTACGCTCTCGGTTCTTGGCTGCCGAAGAATCTCCTGTTCGACGCATCGAGAGACTACGCCTCACTAAATTTACGCTCGGGATCCAGACGCCCCTCAAGACTGCTGAAGTACTTCATCAACGGAACTTCACCGCTGACCCACGCCCCTTCACCTACAGACACTCTCACTCACACTTCTACACTTTTCACCTCACTAATCACCTCGTCCCTTTTATTTTATTTTTTTGTTTAATGTAAATAAATTATTTAATTTGATTTATCATCTTTTAGTTCTTTTTATATCTTGTTTCATAACAGTATTCATTAAAGTTGTAATAAAGAAAAGAAAAATCAACATGTTGTTTTGCTATATCCTTTTGAAATTAGTATTTTCACTACTACTTTATATAAATTATAGTGTAAGATAGAAGCTAGAAAATTATAGTGTAAGATAGAAGCTAGAGTTATTGAGAGTAATCTTAAAAATTCTAGTTTTTTTTTGATGTTCATGGGTCACAAAAAATGATTTTATTTCTTACAGTCAATAAAAATAATTTATCAGACATGGAGCAAGTTTGAAGTATTATGTGAAAGTATGCACTTCTAGGACTACGATTAGGCTTTATCTGACGTGTGCTTTACATATTTCCACTGTAATACTTCTAGCTCAAAATGCTACAGTTTAAATAATACGACATAACCTCAAAAACATATTACACAATTCCTCGATACTCCCAGCTTTTAAAAATATATTTAATGTCTTTCTTTGTTCTAGTTGCATAGGCAAACAAAATAACATATGTTTCATCAAGTTACGTTTTATTCGATTTTACTAGTCCAAGCATGTTAGGCAGATGGCCATTGTTCTTTCAAATATGAACTTATTATAATACGGGGATATTTATCCCAAGTCCCTTAACGTGTGTTACACTCACCTTTGGGCGACGTTCATTTTCAATCTACTAATAGGTACTTTTTTCTTGCAGTTCTCTAGTAGTTTTGAAATTCCTCGATAATTTGCCCAGAACTCGTAAAATCTGTTCCTGGATACCTTTTTTAACTGGTACCAACGTTTTTGCAGGAGCATCGGTGAGCATTGTCTTCCTCTGTGAACAATACAAAACTCAATGGATGTTTTTTTATTTTATTTTAAAAGACGTGTAAATATGTGGGGAAGCCTAGTTAGCGTCCAGCACAGAGCTGTACGAGAATTATTAAGTTTTTTTTAATAGGGAGACATTCAGAAAACGATATCATTATTTTTCTTAAAAAAGTATTTTTTATCCGTAGAGTCACTATTTTAAGTTAGTGCAAGAGGGTAAGTTAAAAAAATCTCATTATTACTACATAGAGCTTCAAGGAAATAAAACCTTTCTTATATGAGCTATAAACCATTGCTTCATCCCAAATTTCAAGATTCTAGGTCGCCTAGAAGTACCCTATTGGTTTTGATTCTCTTGCGAGTAGTTGCGAGTTGGAAAATATTGCTTTTGATTGCGTTGACATAAAAGTTTGATTTGATTACAGCTTAAAGGTATTATAGACCTAAGGAGTATTTGAAATGAAATTGAATTTAATACCTCTACGCGTTCATGAGGAAAGGGGTAGTAATTTTAAAATTATTAAAAATATTTTTATTAAGTATACGATGTAACAAAAAAAATATGGATTTCGCAATCTGTGCTAGAAGACGTTGCTTTGTACCAAATTCAAAGATTCTGAGTACATGGAAAGTACCCTGTTCGTTTTCACTCCCATGCGAGTATCGAAAATTTGCGGAATAAACGGCTGTATCTTTTATTGCATCGGCTTAAGTTTGATTCACAACTCCAAGGGATAGTAAATTTGAATATTTGATATAAATTTCAGCTTGATACCTACATAAATGCGTTCCTGAGAAAAGGGATCTTGACGGACGGACGGACAACAAAGTCATCCTATAAGAGTTCCGTTTTTTCCATTCATTCATTGACACAGACAATAATATGTTCAGGATCGCTAGAACCTTTTTTTCGCCGCCACCAAGTGTTCCTTCGCCTGACCTCTGCTCTAGGCACTGAGAGATGTATATTAGTACTTCAACATATAAAAGATCAAGCTTTAATAAGATCTTACACATTTTTTACGAACTCCACATCTACATATATGTGGATACTCTATAAAACTGCACATTCGCATAACTCACTCTGTGTTATATGCGATAGTGGCAGCTGTCCAGGCTTGAGCAAGTGCCTCTCCTTGTTTGCCTTCAATTTTGAATTTCTCCACAATATCTAAAAGATCGGCGAGCGGGCGCAAGTCAGTTACAACACCCATGTCCTGTGAAAGCAATATTTTTAATCATAAGCACTATACATTACATAATATTTTCCCAACAGAATGTTACAGTTAGTTCCAACTAATGTTTCCTATGTTGAATTTTCATTTGCGCAGAGTAGATCTACTAATTACGATGATGAACGTCGAATAAAAACTATAGAAAGTCCTTTCAATTATTATATAATACAACGTGTAACACTAGCTTTCCGCTCGCGGCGTCCCGTATTATACATATTAAGCTTTCCTCTTGTATCGCTATGTACGAGGATGGTTTGAAAAGTTCTCGGCCCGAACAAGAAAACAAAAAAATAAAAACATGTTTTAATTTTCTACATATTCTCTCCTTGTCTCAATATAATGGCACTTGACTTACGATTAAATAAAGAATCGAGCTGTCGAATGACAATAAATTAGTATACATACTACCCTCAAATCTCGTTCAGGCCGAGAACTTTTCAAACCACCCTCGTATATTGGTGAAAACTGCATTATAATCCGTTGCGTACTTAGACAGACAGCGACATTTGTCGAGCTTCGAAATTTGAGACTCAGGATAACTATCTGAGAGTGACATCAGTTGTATCCGTACATAATCTAACATTACAGTTTACGTTGAGTGCATTTTGATTGAATACAATGCAATTCAATCCGAAGTCAATGAATAACTTAAATAAAGAATAAATATTCAACAACATAGTGTTACGGAGTGTTGCGGCGCGGTTCGTCTACACATTACTTGATGGCGATATGCGCCAATGAATCGCGCTAGTACTGTCGAAACTACGTGTGTCATATAGCTCGGCGAGAGAAGGACCGTCGGCTCTCAGCTTTCGTTGCACGCCCCCGTGCGCGTACACGACTCTCTTCTACCCAAACTGTGAGTACATCTCGTGCCTTCTGCACACCCCGAGCGCAGGCCCTACTGCTTTTGTTTTTTTCAAAACATTAAAACAGTAGGACTTGACTCACTCTCAATGGTGTGTCGGTGGATGGATACCATACGGTATCAACTAAGCCGTCTGAGCGATCCCGGTGCGCTCGCTAAGGCCCCTCAGACTTTAGCAACACCGAAGACCCGATCCCAGTGCACTTGGGCCTTGTCCCAAGGGTGAAGGTTTGCCGCTAATTCCATTAGGGGTAGCCGCATTTTTCCGCGTCCCCCTTTCCCCCTCGCTCCGGCGCGGGGTTAGTTTTTTGCACACTTGCACTATCTCCCTCTAACCTACCAAGGTAGGCGTGACGGAGAAAAGTACGAGTGAAATACAACTACTCCTCTCTCTCTCTTGCATATAACGGTTTGCATTGCCGATATGTCTGATAAAGAATACTCCCTCGATGAGCCACAGCGAATCTTGCCTGATAGCCTCTTCCAAGTCATCCTTCGCTCGGCGATGTCGGAGTCGTCATGGAGTGCTAAAGCACATCCATAAAGAGGACCGCTTCACAGCGATATCCCCCCGCCCCTCCTCGCCGTCGGACGACGACCTTTTCAGACCGTCTGATTCCGACCAATCTACCAACTCTTTTCATACGGTACGAAGCCGAAGGAAGCGTCGTAAGCCACGCTCCCCTAAGTGCGGACGCTTCTTCGGACAACGTCACTCCCAAGCCTCGACTCCCAAGTCCCAAGGCGGGGTGTACTCGGTAAGCAATACCGCCGAGAAAACCTCCCTCGGCCCAAACCTTACCAGAGGCAATACCGGCAAGAAAGCCACTCGGGAGAATACTCCTAGTATTACGCCCTCCCTCACCCCGCTGCGGCCGCATAATAAATGTGCTCCAATGCCGGGTAAACCCAAACCTCCACCTCCCGTATTCATACGGGATAAATCAAGACGGGCAGAGGTCTCAAATCTCTGCACATCAAACAAGATAAGCTACACCCATGCCAAAAACATGGGTATAACTATCCGGATGGAAACACCCACTAGTGAGGACTATAGAGCTCTCACTAGACTTCTAACCCACCATCAGGTGGGTTACCATTGGTCTGGGTAACCTGGGTTTCCTTGCCAGATACCAGGTCCCAGACCTCTGTGAGGGTAATATGGGGGGTTTTGCACGGTAGGCCTGCTGTAGATAGGGGTTCTTTAACTTCCGCAGCAGGAGAGCCTGGATTCATCGGCCTCTAATCAAGGTCGATGGCATGTTAAGGTCAGTTCCCCTCGGTACAAAAAAAAAAGGTGGGTTACCATACCTACGCTCTCCCAGACAAGCGTAAAGTTCGTGCGGTTCTGAGAAATGTTCCGAACTCGCCACCGATCTGATCCATAAGGATCTAAATGAACAAGGCTTCCCTATGGAGTCTGTTCATAAAATGCATAGTAGAGCCGACAGGCCTTTCCCTCTGGCTCTACTCATCATTCCAAATGTCCCTAACGCTCGCGACATTTTCAAGGCTAAGGACCTTAGGGTCTGTGGCCTTACCGGGGTTAAAGTAGAACTCCCTCATCGACGCGGTACCCCGGGACAGTGCCACCGATGTCAGCTTTATGGGCATGCGGCGGCCAACTGTTCCGCAACTCCGAGGTGCGTAAAGTGCCTCAAGTCACATCCCACAAAGGAGTGCTCTCGAACTCGAGACACTCTCACCCCTCTGGCCTGTGTACTGTGTGGCCAAATGGGCTACACAGCAAACTATAAAGGTTGCCCACGAGCGCCGAAGCCCAAACCCTCTTCTTAGAAGAAGGGTAAAAGCCCGGCGGTCAACAAAGCACCTAAAGCCCCCCCCCCCCTCCCCCACCCACTGCGGCGACTTACCAAAGGCGAATCATTCCGCTCCCAAATTGGTTTGCCCCGACAACACAACACATTGGTTTGCACAACCGATATGCCCCCCCCCCCCCCCCTAAAGGCTTCTGTCTCACCTCCCAAAACCGCCCCTGTTTCCTCATCTATAGCCGATGACATAAATCTAGTTCTTAACTTGATTCGTGGAATCGACATAAATGAAATCTCCACCCTAGCGGCTAAACTTCGCCGCGCTTCGTCCACGCAGGAACGCCTTCTGGCGCTTTGCGAACACGAAGCGTTATTAAACCTCCCACAATCCATCCTTTGGCCGACTTGGACCTCCTTACGAGACCCAGTAGGCCAATTCCGCCCCCATCATACTGACCCTACAGGTCAACCCTTTCTGCCCTCTCGACCTGACATCCCTTCAGGATGCAGGCCACACAAATTGATACGGGCATCAAATAGCACCCTTCTGGTGGTATCCGATACAATTCACGTAGGTGAATAATGACGTCTGCGCCCCCCCCCCCCCCCTTGTGGGGGGCTGTCGCTCCGGTCGAAGGTTCGTTTCCTCAGGGCATGTTACCAGCTGTCCAAGGCGGTGTTTAATCAGTAGGAGTCTGACATAACCTCACAGCCGGCTGTGTGGATTCACCGCCTCCTTCCCCCGTTGGGAAGTGGCTCCGAACCCCTAAGGTTGAGAGCCTAAAAAAAAGACCGTCACTAAGGAAGAAATGGACGAGTAGCCGTACTAGAACTTTTAGGTAATGCCTCGAATACATCAGTAGGGTCGAGGCCGGCCTAGAAAGGAACGTTCTTGACGTGGTATAGGTCCTTATAATTAGGCGGTGGGCTAGCTGTCCCGACTTTCATTCAGTGACTAGTGGGCTGAATACAAAAGCGATCGAAAGCGAAACTTGAATCGAATAGTAGTGAAGTGAAAACTGTCCGGACGATCTTATAATGTTTTGAAGTGTTATGAGGAAGTATTTAAAAAAAGAAAGCACTAAAATGACACTTCTACTAGATGGCGACTCTAGCAAATGTTGTCTTTGGCAGGAAACGAATGGAACAAAGACAGCCATTTCCATTCCTTTTAACTAACATATTAAAAAACTGAAATATGAAAGTTCGAAACTTAGATATCAAAACCAAATACGAAAATGTACAAATAGAATATGAGAAGTTTATTGGGTTTTAAAAACAAATTTACTTTTAAACATGAACGAAAACCAGAAGGGTTGTCATGAAGAAATCAAGAACGTAACGTAGCGACATCTAGTTTGATTTCGGGAACTTTTTTTTTAATACTTCCTCATTAGTGACGTGAAATAGTGATGTTGAAGTTGGCTTAATTTTGCAATTTTATTGTGTTAAATAAAGTCAGATTGTGAACTAATTGGCGTTAATTTTTATCCCGAATCCTAAGTTATAATAATAGCATATATTGCTCAGAGTATTCAGATTTAATTATGACTGATAATCGCAACCGTGACCTCAGAGATGGCGACACTTTGAAACTAAAGTGCGAGTCATTCGGCTACGAAAGACGTCGTTTTTAATGTCCTTTCAAAGGAAACGATTTTCTAAGTTATAAAAAAGATACCGACGGATAGCAAACTCCCCCTTTTTGCATGTCAGTTAAAACAACCGAGCTCACCTCTCCAATGACGTCAATATCTTCGTGTACCAACACCAGATCGAAGATAAGCCAATCGGAAAGCGTCATCCTCGCTATAGGGATAATGTTGTCCAGCTTATCTTCGGCTATGAGAAGTCGCTTCATTTTCTTCAGCGTGAGACTACGCATGCGTTCCCTATTAAAAAAAAAAACATTATCATTCCACTTTAAAACAGTCTTACTAGTATCTATAGTCGAGAGAAAGAAAAGTAATTAGCAGATATTTTTTACCGAGAATTTTAATTTAAGTATGAACTTACAACAGCTAATAATAATAGAATTCTAACTTTTGAAACTTCTTATTCATTCAAATTTCTAATTCAATCGAATCGAGAATAGCTTATGACCCATCACGATCACGGTCGGTGCGGATTAATGGGTTTTAACAATTACAATGGAGCCCCGACCCACAGCTTGACATGCCTTCCATGACATAGAAGATCTAGAGATAATAAAGTTTTGGTCACTCTATCCTCATGCGTTTCCTATTACCGGCCCATACCACCACCGCGCCATCGACCTCAAAATAACGTGATTAAGTTCTTTTTAGAAATAACCAACATGTTATCATGCAGCACTTAAATCATAACTGTTACCAGTATGACAATGAGATTATCTCACCATAGCAGTTTGCAATCACATTTGGTCTCCTTTTTTAGTTCTGTCCATATTTCCTCTTCTGGTTTCTTCTCCACCCTCTTCATCCGTGCTACCGTCCTGATGATACGCCGTTTAAACTTGTCCAATTCCGCCATCTTTCACCTGGACGTCAAAATTATTCTAGAAAAAGAGACACGTTATACCTGTCTTACTTGATTTAGACCAAAAATGTAATATACCATGAGTACCAACTATTTATCGGTTGCATTACAGGCATCACTATCTGTTAATTAGCTGTCAGTGTCACTTTGACATTGACGTTAGATGAGATTCGCGATGATACTGCCGGTTGTGGATAGTTGTTGTTGCCATTAAAAGATAAGAAAAAGTGGATTATAGTAAAACTATTGGATCAGTACATTATTGAAGAGAAAAAAGGCTTTATCACTTGGAAGTTATCAACAGTGCTATTCTGTTATAAAAACAGCCTCGAACTCGACATCAATTACAGTGCTGTAACAGCATAAACGCTCGGTCAAACCAAACATTTAATTTTAGATACCTTTTAGGTTTTAGTTTGTATGGCAGGCGTATGGCAAGCAGGTATGGCAGAGTATGGCAACACCAATCAACCTATTCAATACCTAGTAAATATGCAATACCTAGTAAATAAAATAAAACCTACTTTTAGAGGTGTACCTTTACTACGTAGGTACATCTTAAAGTAGGTTTTATTTTATTAACGTTTATGCTGTCAATTCTGTTTATGTTTACGTTATAATCGCATCTCAATAGAATCTCCACGACTTTAAATTAATCATTATACTATCTACCTGAAGTCCAATATTATTAATGCAAAAGTAGGACCTCTATAAGTTAAACATCAAGGGAGACTCCAGAAAATTTGAGTTATAAAGTTTTTTACTTAAGCTGATTTTAAATCCTCATTTCATTCTCATAAATGTTGAGTAAGAGAGATATAATAAGTTAAAATTCAAGTTGCAGAGATGTCAAACATATTTTTATTTATTATGTAAATTTGGACAAAATAAATAAAAATATAAAAATTTTACACCTGCACCAAGCAAGTAAACACCTGTTACCGTGAGTCATAAATTTGTGATAATCCTATTTATTGGATACTACTAAATTGTTTTATAAGAAACAATAGTGTACTTTAGGTCTATCATCGGCAAATTTTTCGTCGGTAACATATTTATTTTCGAATTAAAGAGGTAATAAGTTTCAGGTAATCGAATTGTAAAATACAAACTGCTATGTTCGAGATACAGAGGTACAATTTAATTTTTCGAGTTATGGAGGGAAAATATGTAGCAATATGACTTGGAGGGAGTTAGTGATTTATTTCGATTATAAGAGGATTGAGATTTCAAGTAATGGCGGTTTTGGTGTTAGAAAGGAAGGGAACAAAACATTTTTTTGAGATTAAGAGATTTTCTACTTATCGACGTTTGGTATATTATTTTTGATTGTACTATTGGAAATTATAAATTTAAGTTATACTAAAATAAATAATTTTTGTTCTCAATCGTGCTCATAGTTACTGCTCAAAAGGATGTTCAAAACTATAGATTAAATTAAAATGAATATGAAACACATTCCCAAACTGTACTTAAAGTTGATTTTAAGCATTTTTGATTGAGAATATTTTTCAATATAACATTGTTAATGCGAGATTGATCAAATACAATAACAGTGTGATAGCAGTTTGATAAAACTAGAACATATTGCTTTGTGAAATGTAAAAAAGTGTAATGGGAATAATCATTATAAATTTTGTGAATTCAGAAACCAACCAATATGAGAAAATAAGTCGAAATCGACACAAAATAGGGTATTCTATTCTATTTGAAATAATACTTGTAACTGTTTAATTTAAAAAGTCATAAAACAAATATTTCCGAAAAATAAACACGTTTATTGCCATAATATTAAATCAAAACTTAAGCTATTTTTAGACACAAAAACGCTGTCCGTCATATTCATGAATCATTGTGATATGTACACAAAACTTTAACTCTATGCAGCTCTATGCACAAACCAGATGTATAGAGTAGAAGATTAAAAGGTGTCAATAAAACAAGAACAATGTCATCTAACGATCGATTACCAAATAAAAATATGTAAATAAAACAAGAATAGCGCCATCTAGGAATTCGATTTATAATTAATATGCATATCTTTATGACTAATATGACAGCTGGCGCCATAGTGGCGTCACAGAATGGCGAGTCGTGTTTCAAGGCTCATGACACACAGACAAAGAAATCACGATTTTTAATTTTAAGATATTAAGTTAATCGTGCGATTTTAAGATTCAAATAAAAATCTCTGTTTATAGGGTGTTAATTAAAAATTTTGTGCAATTTCGTGACTTATTTTTCACTTCCGAAATTACCCTAATAAAGACAAATGAAACCGTATTGTCTGAATTGTGTGGTTCTCAGTCAGGTCAATATAGAAAATGTTTTTTATTTATATTGTCTAGGGTGTGGGTGTTGTGGTACTCATCTTGATTTGTATTACTTGATTAAAAAATTATAATTAAGTACTTTATCCTAGGCAATACGCCACAGAACACAGAAAAAAGGTTAGAAAGGCGATCATGCATCGTTTGTACGAAAACCGACGTCTTGCCCCACTTTTCGTCCGCCATACATCAGACGAAATATTAGATCACCTATACAAAAGATATGCACACACTTTCATTTAAAACATGCCAATCAGAACGCTCCAATATAACTATCTCCAATCACGCTCAACCGTAACAGACAACTGGATTGCATAAGAAACGTGTAAAAGCCATTTTAGTTTGATATATTACACTAGTGATGACATAAAGCGATTAATGTCGATATTTAAAAACAACAAGACAATTAATGAGGAGGTATTTAAAAAAAAACGAAAGCACTAAAAAAGCACCTCCACAAGATGGCGACTCTAGCGAAAGTTGATTTTTGCAGGAAACGAATGGACCAAAGACAGTCACTTCCGTTCCTTTTAACTAACATATTAAAAAACTGAAATTTGAGAAGTTCGAAACTAAGATATCAATACAAAAACGAAAAAGTACAAATAGAATATGAGAAGTTTATTGAGTTTTGAAAACAAATTTACTTTTAAACATGAAAGACAACTGGAAGGGTTGTCATGAAGAAATCAAAAGAACGTACCGTAGCGACATCTTGTATGATTTCGGGAACTAATGTTTTTTTTTTTAAATACTTCCTCATTGTAATTATACTGGAGTAAAGATTTCTTTACATTATTTTGGATTTAAATTAAATAGTATTGATTAATGGTTTAAAATAAAAAATCTAATTTTCTATTGCAATATTAGGGAAATAATAACTGACTCTTTCGCTACAGCACTCATTATTAATTTAAATTACAAATAAAATATGTTTGTCTAGAACAGTATAATTCCCTCGGGAACCACTCATGCAAGGGCATGTCGCATAACATGAACCAGCCATTGTTTTGCTCGACTATATTTTAGGGGCACACGGTATACTATGTGGAGATATTCTTATATGTATTTAAATTATAATTTCATTAAAAAGTATGTACATACAGTGTATATACCATTTTTATGAGGAACTACACCATCTTTTAAACTTCTTTTTTTCTATACGACGTAATCTTCATCGCTAGTGTTGTGAAGAAATTGTGCTAGTTTTAATCGATATCCCGTCTTCACTCACTACCAGTAACAACAATCCACTTTTCACGTGAACCTGGTTCTTTAGGAAATGAATAAATATGAAACAACAAACTCACACTGACGGATTTTATACATTTTATTTATTGCAATTGTTAATCTCTGATTAAATTTAACTTTTATTACCACTATTTTTATCGTCCTTACTTAGTTTTTACTAATACACAAAAAATTGATAAAATGTTTCCATGGTACTTTATTAGCGATCTATTGTAATCTATTATGTTACTATTTAGAACGGTGATTTCGACATGTGACAGGAAATATTTTTTTTCTTTAAATATTCAAACTTTTGATAACATTTCACAAATTTGGACTAAAAATTGTATATTTTGAGAAGTGTTCTACTTATTAATTAATAGAAATCCTTCCTTTGGATCTACTTGAGGATTGGCTTCTTGTTTTGCAATTAATAACCGCGCAAGCCGGCATTTTTAACACTAGTGGCGTATTACATAGAATTGACAGTGTGCGTGTTCGTGAATCACTAAACATCGCGATCGCATGATCCTGTACGTGTGTCCAGGAATGTGGCTATGCTGCCACGCCCACAAGGCATTTCTAACGTTTTTCTGTGTTCTGTGCAATACGTCATCACCTGCATTAAATAATATCTGACTTGTTGATCGGACTATTTTCGCTTAGTCTATGGTACGGCCGTGATTGATTGATTGATTAATACTTTATTGCACAAAAAACAAACTCATAAAACAAAAATAAATGAATATTTATGCAAAAGGCGGCCTTATTGCTACGGTAGCAATTTCTACCATGCAACCTTTGTCTTACAGAAACAATACCAACCAATAACAAATATAACGGGTTAGCTCTTTTCGGGAATAGGATTAAAGGCGTCGGCAGTTGTAAGAGTGTTCAATAGTAGAATGAAAATTTAATTTATGTAATTAATTATAAGAAGATATTTAGATAAATTATAGCCACGTCAAATACAAAGGAAAAGCTCTCATATAGTTGGGAAAATTGAAAGTGAGTGAGAAAGTATTTAAAATAAAAAAACATTAGTTCCCGATATCAAACTAGATGTCGCTACGGTACTTTCTCCGTGATAACCTTTCCGGTTTTCTTTCATGTAAATAAGTAAATTAGTTTACAAAACTCAATAAACAACTCATATTCTATTTGAACTTTTTCGTATTTGTATTGATATCTTAGTTTCGAACGTTGCAAATTTCCGCTTTTTCATATGTTAGTTAAAAGGAACGGAAATGACTGTCTATGGTCCATTCGGTTTCTGTAAAAATCAACTTTGCTAGAGTCGCCATCTAGTGGAGGTGCTTTTTTGATGCTTTCTTTTTATTTTTAAATACTTCTTCATTGCAGTGGTAATACTAAAAACCAAATGTCTAAGCTATTTATGTATATTATTATTATGTATATGCATGTATATTATTATATGTAT